CCATGGAAGCCCAATCCTCCAAAGATGAACTTTTGGACAAAGAAGCTGCTGGGACGGCTGGAGAAGCTGGGACGGCTGAGGCAGCTTGTGCTTGGGTAGCTTGACAAAAATCTTCCACAGATCGGAAGCTGCAGCGGTAACGCATCACACGAAAATCAGCCCTATCGTCCACAGAGATGGATATGGACTCTGCAAGCAAAAGCAACTTCTTCCTCTGCGAGCGCACCACCCAGTGCATGCCTTGAATCATCTGGGCCAAACCTTGTTCACAGCAAGGTTGGGCTACAGACATTGAAGTGACAGTGAGACATGTGATGAAAAAATGACCCGGCCAAAATCAATCAGTCAGGGAACATTTCCTGGTAACACTGCATGCCCGACCGGATGCAAAGTCCTCCGTCTCATAGTGCTTCTCCGCATTGTTGAAGGCAATCGGATTCAAGCAGGCATTCCAAGCACATAGCCAATCTCGAGGTTGAGGGACATTTCCTCGAAAAACATCCTGATCCTTCAAATCATATGGCAGCAATTCGCTGATGGCTTTGTCGGGCTGCAGGAAATAGTTCTGAGCAACCCTGTGCACTGTGCCATCTGCATGCTGACGTATGCAACTAGCTTGCATGCACTTCAAAGAATTCACACTAAAGGATCCCCATTTGGTTGAAAAGCGGCTGCCAAGCCTCAGGTTCAACAAATTCCACCAAATGTTCCTACTGAGCTGGGGCAGCTGGGACAGCTGGTGCTCCTGTGGCCCTAGCTTTGCAAATAGGAAAATGGTGCCCTGTTACTGAAATAAGTCGAGATTCAAGCGCTTCCGCTCCTCAGGATGCTTGGCCAATTCATCTACCAAAAAAGCACAAAAGGTACAGCCAATGCCCCAAGCACCTCCCCGACGAACAGGCTTTTCAGCTAGCCAGACTGTACGACATGGTTTGCCCCAAGAACTGTGACGCAAGGTCCCTAATTTCTGCCACTTCTCCCTAAAGCGGACAAACCTGTGCCAGCAGGAAGGCGAATCCATCTGCACAATAACCGATGATAATCCATTAAAAGATCTCGCGCAAACGAAATTTCCAGCAATATGTCAGCAGAGCCACTTGAAAAAATGTAAATGCAAACAGGTGAAGTAAGATCTGGGCAAATCTGGGTGTACAAAATTCCAGATTAAAGAGGAACAAATAAGGACTGTGCCTATATAGGATTAGTAAGACAACCTGTGTGTTGAAGAACAATCTCTTCACATCTCTGTCACCTTAGATCATCTCCCTCTCTCTCTCTCACAATTTCTCTTCCTTTTGACATCTCAAAACACCATATTGCTAAAACAATGTTGACAATGATGCAATGGCTGCAGCTGTTGCAACTGAAATTGCCCAGCCATGTGACGAGCATACAATTTGCATCTTGCTCAATTGTTTTCAACATCCCTCTGTTGCATTGATACGAATGTCTATTCCGGAAAAGGATTAATAAAATTTGCCTAGAGACTTGCAGCGCGCACATTGTTTCCCAGCAATAGTTTTGACATGTCGTGCACAATGATGAGCTTCTGACTCACCCACAGGGCCAACAAGCTTCGCGGGATCATCGGCCTGTGCTCTTTTGGAACTGCCAGACTGGGATGGCTGGGACGGCTGAGACGGCTGACTTCTGCTGGACTTTGCAGGTCTGAGGCCCCATCGGCTGCCCAAACCCTTCATCGGCAACGCACGCGCCGCAGGCTGACAAGATGTCTTGGGCGCATTCTTGGGCTTGGCTTTGGGGGCTTTCCTTCCAAGGCCCCATCGCAAACCCAGAGAAGACATGGCGAGGGCAACAGCACAAACATATTATAATTGCGCAAGTAACCATGAAAAATACGGTGGGGCATTATATATATATACATACACATATTAGTTATGATATATCATATCATTTAATGTATTATTATTATCATTATTATCATTATTATTATCATTATTATTATTATATATTATTATATACTAAGTATGTATAACAAATTATGTTTTAAATTGTGCTTGGCCATGTCTGAGAGTCTAGATTCATTTGAATTTCTCGATCCACCCTCCACAAAGACTGCAGCTTGGATTGCTTGAGCTGCAATAATCATGGAAGATGCGCTTGCATTGTGCAAATGACTGACAAAATGGTTTGGCAACAAATAAACGTCATGATTATTAATTAACTAATTCATGTCTGAACCTTTTTCAAGCAGTCCTCACCACACGGCCCACAACCTGAGCAATTCCCCTGAAAAGGCACCTTAAGGAGCAAAGATGTCAAACGGTGTGAAGCCTGTTGGGGGGCAGGTAGCCAGCTTAAACAAGAAGAGCGCGATTTTTTTGAGAAGCCAATTTTTGATTCAGTGATACAGCTGAATATTATTGTTGAAGGTGCAACACTGGTGTCATCAAGATGCGCCCGCATGCATGGACTGCTTGCTCAATTTTCGATACCATGCGAATTAAGAATCAATCACTCAAACATCCTCTGTGGTCATGACGTCCGTGCCTCTTGTTGCTGGAATGGCTGGAACAGCTGAAACGGCTTGGGCAGCAGAAACCTCCAGGCAAACAGCAAGCACCACAAAATTGTGAAGGCTTCAGCTGCCAAGTTTGAAATTTTGAAGCCCCAATTCAGGAGTATTTGACCTGGATCAAACCAGAAAGTTAAATTTAAAATAAACTGGAACCAAAAGAAATCGTTAAACCAAAGCCTGCCAAGACTTTATCTCATCGCAATGTCAAAACACAATGGTAATTTCATGCTACTTGTGGCCAGGCCTCTCCAAAAGCTGGTTGCTGGAACGGCTGGCACAGCTGAATCCTGTGGGCACAGGACAGGAACCAAGTCAAAAAACTCTTGCAGCAGCATCAAACAAAACAGTGCTTGCAAAAGACAACCCTCATTTCAACTTCATTAGTGGCAAGAGGCACCTCTGCAAACAGCGTCCGGTCGTGCAACCACACTGGACACCAACCCAGGCCTGCAAAGTCTGCTAATGTGTTTGAAGTTTTTAAGTTCAAGCTAAACCCACTAAACTGATCTGGATTGATTGCTGCGCTGCGTATGGAATAGAAACCTGATGTCGAAGCGACTTCGCAAAAGCCCGCGTAGAAGCAATTTTGGCTAAGCTGGTCTGGCCTCCACTCTCCTTGGTGGCGATGCAAGATTCCACAGCCTGCGCCGATCATCAGGAAGAAAAAAGGTGGGAGCCCAAGTAAGAGGAAAAACATTCGCATGGGGAAAGCTATTCTTAGTAAGAATTCATCTCATTATAAATTGTTTTGGGTGTAAAAGAATGAAAGAAATCTGATCATGAACTTGCAAATGAGGGCACCAACCATGAACCAAAAACTGCAAGGCTCGAACCATGCCTGGCGAGCGTTTTTGAAGCCACCCACAGGCAGCAACAGCAGCAAAGTAGGCCCAGAGTACCTGCCATCAGTCAACCCTTGGTAGCTGGCCACTATGAACATCGTAATTTTATTTATAGTCCAGTGTTTTGAATGTTCAATCTCATTATCAAACTTTCCTGAAAAAGACGGGAATGTTCATTGAACGTGTTTGTCTGTGAACTTGGCATCAGGAACTTCCCAGGCACCTGCTTCTCCAGAAAAAGAACGTAGGCAAGGGCCCGGCCTGGCCAAGGGCTAATCGAATGCGATGAAATGGATGAACGGACTAAATTGCAAAAAAAGATTGAAGCCAAAGCGAGAAAATCACCGCGCTTGAAAAAAAAAAGTTTTCTGCCACTGCAATGCCACCATCGACGTGATAGTGTGCACAGTTGAGCATTGTTCCAAACCCCTGTTAGTGATGTTACTAGCCAACATTGTGGTGATTCGACTGCTACTAGATTAGTTGCCATATTAGTCGGGATTAAACATCGGTGAAAGGCTTTGAACGATGCTCAGTTGGAAGAAGCCAAGCAAAAATAGCTTGGACGGCTAAAGGCTGGACAGCTGTGGCCAATAGCACCAGCGACGTGCCGGCTCTAATCCAATGAATTAAAGCGGCTGTTGCCGCACTGCACTTTGAAAAAAATCGCTACCCCTCTCAGACACGCTTCTCAGTTCCACCAGCCCTGATTCTGCCCCTGATTCTGCCCCTGGTTGCGCCGGCCCTGTCCATGCTGGCCTTGTCCCTGCTGGGACGGCTGTGACGGCTGGGACGGCTGCTGCTGCCAAGTCTGCTGACTCCAGAACGGCTGAAAAGCAGGCATGGCAGGGCGAACTGGAGCCGTCGGCACAAACATGGTTCCGCCCCACCCATCATCCATGGGTGTCATTCCTGGTGGAAAGCCTGTTGCAGCGCTCGGCGGTGGCTGCTGCTGCTGAGGCTCCTGCTGCGACTCCTGCCCGTAGCGCGACTGTGGGCGGGAAGTGAAAACTTGGCGTGTGCGATGGGCGTATTGGGCAAGCTCCATGTCATTGGTGTTCCTGTAGGTCTGGCGACAGTATTTGTCCGCATGGACGTTCGACTGTGCCATCGCCATCTTCACACCATCAGGGACCGAAGAGCATCTGGCCAATGTGACACTTCAGGGCCGTCCTTTTGAATCTTCCCAGCGGGACAACCGAAGTGCAAGCACCATGGACGTTGTCGTCTTTGTGGCCACAAGCGCCCTTTCCTGAAACAAGTTTTCGTTATTTTTCAAAACCAAAAACCACACAAGGGCCTTCAAAGTCACAGGGAAAGCATGCGCTCATGAAACGCACATCATGGGCATATGAAAGTTTTTCTGAAGTCAAATCCAAGCTACAACTTGCATGCCATCCCACAGAAGGTTGAAGTCATCAGGGCCCTCCCCAACCCACTGGATGGTGCAGGCTGCTCGTGATCCAGCTCGGTAGGTCCACTTGTCGTCGTCGAAGTCGCCCTTGAAGCACTCGCCCTTGCAGGCAAGTAGCGATGTTTGAAACCCGGAAACACATTGCCAAGAACTAAGTTAGGGGGTCACACACACACACATGGCATAAGTTTGAACAAAAATAGTAATAACAATAATAATAATGTTAAATTAAAAATAAACATATATATATATTATATATTATATATATTATATATATTATATTATATATATATTATAATTACATGTACACTCTCTTTTCGTACATACACTGACTATATTACATATAATTTGTGTGTATGTGTGTGCAATTTCTGTGAACCTAATTTGTGCTACTGCTAACTCAAATTTCATCCAGCCTGCAGAATCCATCGCGGGGTGCCTTCGAACTTCCGCTGGGCCACGTCAGCAGCTCGATAGCAGAGGACGTAAAAGAACCCCTCAGCCGAGACGAAATAGGAAGTGGGTCCATAGCCAGCTTCTTCTCCAAAATCGAAAAATTGTCCGAAGCCCACATCCAACTTCTCCACCAGCTTGTATTGGATCTGGTTTTTGTACCTGGCAAGATCCAAGGCATACCGCACGCCTGCTGAGGCATGCTCTTCCAGCTTGCCGTGGAACGCATTGCTGAAGAAGGATGCTTGGATGCAAGCCTTGTTCCTGTCCTCGACAGCCATGACCACCTGGTTCTCGTCTGAAAGAAAGGCATCCAAGCTTCTGGGACCATTGCTTCGTCGCCCCAAGCCAGCCAACTCCACAAATTGGCGCGCCATCTCGAGGACGTCGGTGGCGTAGAGGCCAACCGGCATGAGCAAGCCGTCACTGCCCCATGGAAGCGCCCACCCGGACCATGACATGTCCTGCAGGATTTGGAAAACTAGACAACGTTCGAACAAACTATATTTTAGTTAAAACATATGACTACGTTACGTGACCAAGAACTTCCATAACAGCTAGGACAGCTAGGACAGCTATAGGACAGCTCGCACTTCCATGTCTTTAGACTCTCCCAGTCCTTGGTTGGCACTGACAATTTATAGCCTCGGGCTGCCCCATTCATCACATATGGGAAAAGCAGCACATTGCAGATAATGTCGCCGTCATGCTCCTGCACTTCGGCGAACTGCTCCAGGTGCTCCCGGACGATGGTCGACAACTCAGCCAAAGGAAGCTTGGAAAAGAAACAATGGCAGTTTCACGTTTAAGCCCTCTAAGCTCTATCCAAACACGATAAGGCATGACTCAAGCCAGCATGACACATCATCAATAAAATCAAAACCATTCGGAATGAATGTTGATCAAAGTCACGACCATGAACCTCTGGGGGACGCCTCCCCCGGTTGGGATCTGTGCGAGCAAATCCCGGGCAGTTTCCACAATGTGCCGCTCGGTGGCTGGCAGCGTAAAGCCTGAAGCAAAGCGGGTAGAACGCTTTGGAAAATAAAATCGCAAATTGCAAACTTCACCCTGTCCAACAGTTTTATTTTGGCAAGAAAAACATGCTTTTAGACACCCCAGTACCTGCGCAAATGGCTTCGACGTTCTCAGCGTTCTTGACCTCATTCTCGTAGAAGCTGTTCAGCAAAGTGTTGAAGCCGAAGAGAGACCAGGTGAAGTCACTCTGGGTATCGTACTTCTCACGGAAGATGCTCGGGGCCTGCGGCAACGCAATTGCGTGCCGCTGCACCTCTTTCTGCTCGAGCAACATACCTTCCATGCGCAGGTGGAAAGGCGTACTGCCCACTGCAGCCATGACCCCTTCCGCGATCTCCTGCCGCATAGATCGGGCCACGACATTCTCGCCAGCAGGCACCAGCGCTTGAGCTTGGACGGCTGGGACGGCTGGATCGGCTGGGACAGCTTGAATGGCTTGATCATCTCCAGCACCTCCGTCATCCCGAGCAGGCTCTGCAGGCTCTTCGTCCTCGCCATCCTCAATCAAAGGCGCGTCGCCTTGAATCACCGCTGCATCTGCTGCCTCCATCGCTTCCACTGCCTCAGCAATTGCAGCAGTAACGTTGGCCATGCGACAGCGCTTGGACAGCTGGAGCAGCTTGAACAGCTGCGGGAACGGCCTTGCATGCTGATGAATGCCGCATGACATGAATGAAGCTCCCCAATCATGACAATGACCAACTCTTTTAAAAACCTGCAGCTCGGCAACCACATTTCTCATAAAATCCATTACTATGCAACTCAAAGCAAATCAACAACGACGACAATATGATCAATATTTAAAACTTCGAACTGGGGACCAATCGCTCGAGGTAAGACACCCACCAGCCCATGCAAGCCTTCTCGACTGCAAGGCAGCAAATGGAGGGGCAAGAGAAATGGCCTCAGCAAGGACAGCTTCGGGGCAATAAAATGAACAGAAAGCATAGCAAACCAACCAGTATCTTATTTATAACTAATGAATAATTAACTAATCAATGTTACGTAACTCACCTTTAAATGTCTAACCGTTACCCTTGAATGCACACTGGAAGCCAAATCCAGCACCCAAAGGTCTTGAGGCCGCGACCAAGGGTCAAGATGATTAGAGCGATGAAGATGGAGAGCTTTTGGCAGCGGGGACAGCGGGGACAGCGAGCGATAAAGATGGAGGACAGCTTCAGATATATTGGATACATACTTCAGAATCTGCTGATTTCAGATATCTGATATATTGGATACACACTTCAGAATCAGGTATATAATGTGGTGGAAGCCTGCCAAAAAAAAAAAAATATATCCTAAATGCCGACGTAGCTATAGAAGTGGAATTGTGCAAACTTTTGTGACGGGTTCTAAGTGGTGTTGGCCCCAACTTCTTCAGTCAGTCTTTGCCGGAGTTTTTCTGGGGCTCAGATCTTGCTTGTAAAAATTGGGTGTAAAATATCGAAAAAAACAAATTGGGTGTGAAAAGTGATTGTCAAAACAACATTCAACCGATCATTTGAACAACGATCTTCAAAGATCTTGAAGGATCTTTGAAATTGGGCACCGAATCTTCACCGACTTCACTGTGACTTCACTATCCACCGAGCCGAGGTGCACATTGGCTCGGTTCCGGCACAGGATCTTTACGACTTCCAGCATCCCCTCTTCAGCTGCTGCAGACAGAGGGTCGTAGCCGAAGATGTCTGGCTGATCGATGTGGGCCCGAGCTTCCAGGAGGATCCTTTGAGGCCAAAGTCCGGGATCAGTGGCTGGCGCTGCACGGACGAAAGCAATGAAACATAATGAAACTAGTTAAAAATCGTGAAAAATATGTTGATAAACCAAGCAATTTACGAGACAACCATAGACAACCTACATAAGCACCCATTAAGCCACTGCACTAATTGCTAGAGAAGTCTCGGAATCAACGCACTGTGGCCATAGTATGCCGCCATGAAGAGAGGCGTGGAGCCAACTTGCAGCGTATCAACATCTAACCAGGGGGCAGTAGTAACCTGAGCTGTGCCAGATTTCCAACAGCAAACCTCTGCAAACTGTTTTCACCGCACCAAAGCCACCATGATACGAATCACAAAACAGGTTCAAAAAAGCTTCAGCCGAAAGCCATCGAAAACCATCGAAAACCTGGCCACCTCGTTGACATCCAACAAATGAGGAGAATCAATCGTGTGTATATCGTGTCGAGATGTTCATCCACCAAGCAACACCACCTCCGTAACACGCCTCGCAATCGTCAGGAGCATGAATCAAATCTTCCTCAAAGTCTCCCTCAGCTTCTTCTTCGGGTTCTTCCTCAACCTCGGTCGCGACGAACAGCTGGATGGTAGTGGTCCGCGTGGGTGCGAAGTACATTGAAGTACAATTGTTGAAGTATGTTGAAGTCACAACTCTCCACAGATCTGGTGCGGATGCAAATCCCCAGTGGATATGCCCATTGCCCAGCAAATGCCCAGCAAACAATTGGCCGAGATTCCTGTTGGTCAAAGTTTTCCTCCAAAGCAATGAGAGTGCTTGGCGTGTTGCCTTGATGGCTGTCGCATGCTGTCGCCAGTGGATTGGTTAAGTTTTTCGGACATTCCGAAGTTGTCACGAAGTGGAAACATGTGGAAACCACATGATAAATGGCGGGGTTGGGACATGGTTGGGCTGCAATTGCCGTTGCAAAATTTGCAAAGCCTTTGACGACTGCGGTCTACTCCCAAAAAAGGTCTTTTGGGAAGCTGCTGACCGAAAAACATACATCATGACTATAGTAATTGGATGTAATTGGCATCATCTGGTAACAGGTTGTAAGACTGTAAGACATTTCATGTCAATCATCTCTCTATCATACCCTGCATGATAGCGCTGAGACGGCTAAATGGAGCCTAGCAGCAGGGATGCTGGCATTGCGCTTCTTTGGCAGCATCCACCAGACCTCTCAACATTCTCTCAACTACCACAGAAATTGACCCAGTAGAACTACAAACGTCAAAGCATTCCAAGCTGTCCATTGAGCCCGCCTGCGATGTCCTCCGTGGTCGCTGTCATGTTCACATCACACCGCGACTCGCACAAAGTTTTGATGGTCTGCACCTGAGGGTGAACACCTGTGCCTCCGCAATCCTCTGCATAGTGAAAACGTTGTGAAAACTCATTCTGTAGAGATGTTCTGTGAGGTCTCACCGGTTTGGGGGAAGCCATCAAGTGATCACCCTAGCAGCATTTCATCAGAACATCACAGGTGGGTTTGTTGAAAATAGGCTACCCCATTTTTTACCCCTATTTAGCCGATTCCACTGGCATCATTTTCCCAACACCGGGATACGGTCCACATGTTGTCCATGTGTCATGTCGTTTCTGAGAGTCACCTGGCCATTCCTGGCCGCCACGTGCAGCAGCAAATTGCAGAAGTTCGCACCGCGTTGGTCGCCTTGGAAGAGCAGCTGCAGCACATCCTCCTGGTCCTTCGCAGGTCAAAATTGGATGAATTGACGCACGCAATTCACCAACACTTTGAACCACTTAATTAAAATCTGTTAAAATCTGTTGAATATGACAAAATCTGAAGATGGTAATGGGCACAGCCTGTTGATAACTGGAAGAAATGAAAGAGATTTGTTGAATACATAAGTCTTCAATAGTCTTCATCTGTAGCTGCTATATGCTGCTATAGCCTTCCACTAGTCCATTCTTTCACTTCAGACACTGTATCAGTTCGCACGTGTTCACAGCACCATCCCCAGTTTCCTGGATGACTGCCATGAAGATTGCATTGATGCCACGCCGTGGATTGCCAACCGACAGGTGCTTATCGGCTCCAGCCTCTAGCAGGGCTCTGGCCACATCCACATGACCTGCGACGATGAGATTTGGCTGAAACCTGGGGTATGTGAAACCGAGACTGGCTTGCAACACACTTCCGGAGGGTCCCTGGATGTTCCTAATGTTCCTAGATGTTCCTAGATGTTCCTAGATGTTCCTAGATGTTCCTAGGAGACTCCTAGAATCATTCGTTAGATATATATCCCATCCCAAATGACTTCTCAAAATGTCAATAAAGTGTCATTGGGATAGGTGGCCACATATGGCCACCTGCAACTCATTAGCCATTCTTCAAGCTTATGCCCTTGGCACTGCAGGTTACTGCAGGGATACGATGATACGTTGTGATGCAAACTGTATGCGTGCATAAAAACAGTTTGTATGATATAGGCTTATAGGCAAAGAGAATAAAAGAGATGTTGGCGTAGTCAGACACCTTGCCCTTGCATAACAAATGTTTCATTCATCAAGACGCATGTGAGCGGAAGTTGCGTAAGGCGATTCACAAGCGCCTGATTGACACTGATAGCTGACACCAACTTGGAAACTTCATGGACAATACAAGTGAAAGGGAGGAAGAAAGCGAAAAGAAAAAAATAAAGGAAGAGAGAAAGAAAGATCGCCGTGGATCAGCCACAGTTGATTCACCATCTGTTTGCCTGATACATCTGATACAAGCCTCAAAGATCCCCCGATGCACCTCCCCAAGCGGCATAATGCAAGGCCGTATGCCCTCGAGTGGTCGTCTTGTCCACTTGCGCCCTTGCAGCCGCCAGCGTCCGCACCATGCAATCGCTCCCTCAAAAAAAGAGCGTCCATTCCGAGACATGGAATGGCGTGGAATGGTGGAGGGGTGCTAGCATGAGGAATGTGACATGGCACCAGCATGATGGATATTTGATGACATTTGGACCACCAAACACATCAAACATAATCAAACCAACACAACTGAAAAACGGAAATGTTGCGCTGAAACCCCTGGGGCCTGCATATCAATCATATCAGGAAGCAACGTTTGCAAGAATCCGAAAAGAAGACCGGGCTAAAGTCCACTCTTTCAACATGTTGACATTCAGCCCGAGTTACCCATGAAAGTAGCAATGTGCAACGGCGCCGCTCTGCATTCCAAGTTGTTTTCACGGTTCACGTCTGCTTTGTACTTTATCAGAACATCTGCGGTCTCAACTTGACCAGTTTCTGCAGCCATTAGCAGTGCAGTGGTGCCTTACACTGCGGAATGTCACACAACCTGCATATCAAAGGCCTCATAACCTCAACATGCCTCAACAGGTCTCAACAGGCCCGAACCTGGTGTATCAAAAACTGCTGTAAAGGCTGGAGCGGGCCCATCAAGTTTCCCACTTTCATAAACGGAAACAGTTTCAGTACTGAATTTGAAAAGGGTTCAATAAAAAAAACTAACCCGTAGCCTCATGAATGGTACATTCACCAGCACCCAAACGTGTCCCAAATGTGAGTCCTACTGGATCCTATTGGCACGTATCCGCCGACCCCGGCAGACGCAAGGGGGAGCGCGCCAGGGAATAAGACATTGTCACATTTGCCAGCCATTCGAAATTGACGGCCGCAATGCCCCTGTGTTTGGACTTTTCCTGTGATAAGACATTGTCCCATTTGCCATTCGAAATTGACGGCCGCAGTGCCCCTGTGTTTGGACTTTTCCTGTGAACAGTGTGGATTTGGTAGCTTTGCCACACCGGGAGGTGCTTTTGGTACTCTTCTTTCAGCAATAGCAGCAGCAGCAGCACCACCACCACCAACACCAGCGCCAGCAGCAGCAGGAGGAGGGAAAAGGTAGCTAAAATCATCCTTTTCTTTGGGTTTCAGAAGTTACATTAGGCATTTTTTGGGCGCAATTTTGATGCCTTACCGCCCCTCGCTGCCATGGTGTTTTCCCATCCGGGAGCTAGCATTAGAACAGAGGGAGCAGCAGGAGCAGGAGCAGCAGCAGCAGGAGGAGGGAAAAGGTAGCTAAAATCATCCTTTTCTATTGGTTTCAGAAGTTACATTAGGCACTTTTTTGGTCGCAATTTTGCTGACTTTCCGTCCTTCACTGCCATGGTGTTTTCCCATCCGGGAGCTGCCATTTGAACAGAAGGAGCAGCAGGAGCAGAAGCAGCAGCAGCAGGAGGAGGAAAAAATTGCTAAAATCATTCTTTTCGATTGGTTTCAGAAGTTACATTAGGCACTTTTTGGGCGCAATTTTGCTGCCTTTCCGTCCTTCCCTGCCATGGTGTTTTCCCATCCGGGAGCTGCCATTTGAACAGAAGACAGCGGGAGCAGCAGCAGGAGGAAAAGGCAGCTAAAATCATCCTTTTCTATGGGTTTCAGAAGTTACATTAGGCACTTTTTGGGCGCAAATTTGCTGCCTTTCCGTCCTTCACTGCCATGGTGCTTTCCCATCCGGGAGCTGCCATTTGAACAGAAGGAGCAGCAGGTTTTCCCATCCGGGAGCTAGCATTGGAACAGAGGGAGCAGCAGGAGCAGGAGCAGCAGCAGCAGGAGGCCTTTTCTTTGGGTTTCAGAAGTTACATTAGGCACTTTTTTGGGCGCAATTCTGATGCCTTTCCGTCCTTCACTGCCATGGTGTTTTCCCATCCGGGAGCTGCCATTTGAACAGAAGGAGCAGCAGGGGCAGAAGCAGCAGCAGCAGGAGGAAAAAATTGCTAAAATCATTCTTTTCGATTGGTTTCAGAAGTTACATTAAGCACTTTTTGGGCGCAATTTTGCTGCCTTTCCGTCCTTCACTGCCATGATGTTTTCCCATCCGGGAGCTGCCATTTGAACAGAAGGAGCAGCAGGAGCAGGAGCAGGAGCAGGAGCAGGAGCAGCAGCAGGAGGAAAAGGTAGCAGCAGCAGCAGTAGGAGCGTCTTCAGCAGCAGGAGAAAAAAGTAGCTAAAATCATCATTTTCTATGAGTTTCAGAAGTTACATTAGGCATTTTTGCGGTGCCATTTCGAAGCTTTTCCGTCTTTCACTGCCATGGGGATTTGTCGCTGGGAGAGGTTCACTTTTAGGTGTCGCAGCTAGCCACCAGCAGCAGCAGCAGCAGCCTCAGTAGCAGCAGCAGCAGCAGTAGGAGCGTCTTCAGCAGCAGGAGAAAAAAGTAGCTAAAATCATCATTTTCTATGGGTTTCAGAAGTTACGTTAGGCATTTTTGCGGTGCAATTTCGAAACTTTTCCGTCCTTTACTGCCATGGGGATTTGCCGCTGGGAGTGGTTCGCTTTTAGGCGTTGCAGCTAGCCACCAGCAGCAGCAGCAGTAGGAGCGTCTTCAGCAGCAGAAGAAAAAAGTAGCTAAAATCATCCTTTTCTATGGGTTTCAGAAGTTACATTAGGCATTTTTGCGGTGCCATTTCGAAGCTTTTCCGTCCTTCACTGCCATGGGGATTTGCCGCTGGGAGTGGTTCGCTTTTAGGCGTCGCAGCTAGCCACCAGCGGCAGCAGCAGCAGCAGCAACAGCAGCAGCAGCAGCAGTAGGAGCGTCTTCAGCAGCAGGAGAAAAAGTAGCTAAAATCATCATTTTCTAATGGTTTCAGAAGTTACGTTAGACATTTTTGCGGTGCAATTTCGGAACCTTTCCGTCCTTCACTGCCATGGGGATTTGCCGCTGGGAGTGGTTCGCTTTTAGGCGTCGCAGCTAGACACCAGCAGCAGCACCTGCAGCAGCAGCAGCAGCAGCAGTAGGGATCCGTCCTTCACTGCCATGGGGATTTGCCGCTGGGAGTGGTTCGCTTTTAGGCGTCGCAGCTAGCCACCAGCAGCAGCAGCAACAGCAGCAGCAGCAGCAGTAGCAGTAGGAGCGTCTTCAGCAGCAGGAGAAAAAGTAGCTAAAATCATCATTTTCTATGGGTTTCAGAAGTTACGTTAGACCTTTTTGCGGTGCAATTTCGGAACCTTTCCGTCCTTCACTGCCATGCGGATTTGCCGCTGGGAGTGGTTCGCTTTTAGGCGTCGCAGCTAGACACCAGCAGCAGCACCTGCAGCAGCAGCAGCAGCAGCAGTAGGGATCCGTCCTTCACTGCCATGGGGATTTGCCGCTGGGAGTGGTTCGCTTTTAGGCGTCGCAGCTAGCCACCAGCAGCAGCAGCAGGAGCGTCTTCAGCAGCAGGAGAAAAAAGTAGCTAAAATCATCATTTTCTATGGGTTTCAGAAGTTACGTTAGACCTTTTTGCGGTGCAATTTCGGAACCTTTCCGTCCTTCACTGCCATGGGGATTTGCCGCTGGGAGTGGTTCGCTTTTAGGCGTCGCAGCTAGACACCAGCAGCAGCAGCAGTAGCGTCTCCAGGAGCAGGAGAAAAAAGTAGCTAAAATCATCATTTTCTATGGGTTCCAGAAGTTACGTTAGGCATTTTTGCAGTGCACTTTCGAAGCTTTTCCGTCCTTCACTGCCATGGGGATTTGCCGCTGGGAGTGGTTCGCTTTTAGGCGTCGCAGCTAGCCACCAGCAGCAGCAGCAGCAGCAGGAGTGTCTTCAGCAGCAGGAGAAAAAAGTAGCTAAAATCATCATGTTCTATGGGTTTCAGAAGTTACGATGCTTAGGCACATTTTGCGTTGCAATTTCGAAGCCTTTTTCCGTCATTTCCTGCCATGGGCGATTTGACCCGCTGGGAAGTGCGTTTCGCCCTTTTTAGGCGTTGCAGCTAGCCACCAGCAGCAGCAGCAGCAACACTAGCAGCAGCAGCAGTAGGAGCGTCTTCAGCAGCAGGAGAAAAAAGTAGCTAAAATCATCATGTTCTATGGGTTTCAGAAGTTACGTTAGGCATTTTTGCGGTGCCATTTCGAAGCTTTTCCGTCCTTCACTGCCATGGGGATTTGCCGCTGGGAGTGGTTCGCTTTTAGGCGTCGCAGCTAGCCACCAGCAGCAGCAGCAGCAGCAGCAGCAGTAGGAGCGTCTTCAGCAGCAGGAGAAAAAGTAGCTAAAATCATCATTTTCTATGGGTTTCAGAAGTTACGTTAGACATTTTTGCGGTGCAATTTCGGAACCTTTCCGTCCTTCACTGCCATGGGGATTTGCCGCTGGGAGTGGTTCGCTTTTAGGCGTCGCAGCTAGACACCAGCAGCAGCAGCTGCAGCAGCAGCAGCAGTAGGGATCCGTCCTTCACTGCCATGGGGATTTGCCGCTGGGAGTGGTTCGCTTTCAGGCGTCGCAGCTAGCCACCAGCAGCAGCAGCAGGAGTGTCTTCAGCAGCAGGAGAAAAAAGTAGCTAAAATCATCATTTTCTATGGGTTTCAGAAGTTACGTTAGGCATTTTTGCGGTGCCATTTCGAAGCTTTTCTGTCCTTCACTGCCATGGGGATTTGCCGCTGGGAGTGGTTCGCTTTTAGGCGTCGCAGCTAGCCACCAGCAGCAGCAGCAGCAGCAGGAGCGTCTTCAGCAGCAGGAGCGTCTTCAGCAGCAGGAGAAAAAAGTAGCTAAAATCATCTTTTCTATGGGTTTCAGAAGTTACGTTAGGCATTTTTGCGGTGCAATTTCGAAGCTTTTCCGTCCCTCACTGCCATGGGGATTTGCCGCTGGGAGTAGTTCACTTTTAGGCGTCGCAGCTAGCCACCAGCAGCAGCTTCAGCAGCAGGAGAAAAAAGTAGCTAAAATCATCACATCAGTTTCTATGGGTTTCAGAAGTTACGTTAGGCATTTTTGCGGTGCAATTTCGGAACCTTTCCGTCCTTCACTGCCGTGGGGATTTGCCGCTGGGAGTGGTTCGCTTTTAGGCGTCGCAGCTAGACACCAGCAGCAGCAACAGGAGCGTCTCCAGGAGCAGGAGAAAAAAGTAGCTAAAAAAATCATCATTTTCTATGGGTTTCAGAAGTTACGTTAGGCATTTTTGCGGTGCAATTTCGAAACTTTTCCGTCCTTTACTGCCATGGGGATTTGCCGCTGGGAGTGGTTCGCTTTTAGGCGTCGCAGCTAGCCACCAGCAGCAGCAGCAGCAGCAGGAGCGTCTTCAGCAGCAGGAGCGTCTTCAGCAGCAGGAGAAAAAAGTAGCTAAAATCATCTTTTCTATGGGTTTCAGAAGTTACGTTAAGCATTTTTGCGGTGCAATTTCGAAGCTTTTCCGTCCTTCACTGCCATGGGGATTTGCTGCTGGGAGTAGTTCACTTTTAGGCGTCGCAGCTAGCCACCAGCAGCAGCTTCAGCAGCAGCAACAGCAGCAGCAGCAGCAGTAGGAGCGTCTTCAGCAGCAGGAGAAAAAGTAGCTAAAATCATCATTTTCTATGGGTTTCAGAAGTTACGTTAGACATTTTTGCGGTGCAATTTCGGAACCTTTCCGTCCTTCACTGCCATGGGGATTTGCCGCTGGGAGTGGTTCGCTCTTAGGCGTCGCAGCTAGACACCAGCAGCAGCAGCTGCAGCAGCAGCAGCAGTAGGGATCCGTCCTTCACTGCCATGGGGATTTGCCGCTGGGAGTGGTTCGCTTTTAGGCGTCGCAGCTAGCCACCAGCAGCAGCAGCAGCGGCGGCAGCAGGAGTGTCTTCAGCAGCAGGAGAAAAAAGTAGCTAAAATCATCTTTTTCTATGGGTTTCAGAAGTTATACGTTAGGCATTTTTGCGGTGCAATTTCGAAGCTTTTCCGTCCTTCACTGCCATGGGGATTTGCCGCTGGGAGTGGTTCGCTTTTAGGCGTTGCAGCTAGCCACCAGCAGCAGCAGCAGCAGCAGCAGGAGTGTCTTCAGCAGCAGGAGAAAAAAGTAGCTAAAATCATCGTTTTCTATGGGTTTCAGAAGTTACATTAGGCATTTTTGCGGTGCAATTTCGAAGCTTTTCCGTCCTTCACTGCCATGGGGATTTGCCGCTGGGAGTGGTTCGCTTTTAGGCGTCGCAGCTAGCCACCAGCAGCAGCAGCAGCAGCAGCAGCAGGAGCGTCTTCAGCAGCAGGAGAAAAAAGTAGCTAAAATCATCTTTTCTATGGGTTTCAGAAGTTACGTTAGGCATTTTTGCGGTGCAATTTCGAAGCTTTTCCGTCCTTCACTGCCATGGGGATTTGCCGCTGGGAGTAGTTCACTTTTAGGCGTCGCAGCTAGCCACCAGCAGCAGCTTCAGCAGCAGGAGAAAAAAGTAGCTAAAATCATCACATCAGTTTCTATGGGTTTCAGAAGTTACGTTAGGCATTTTTGCGGTGCAATTTCGGAACCTTTCCGTCCTTCACTGCCACGGGGATTTGCCGCTGGGAGTGGTTCGCTTTTAGGCGTCGCAGCTAGACACCAGCAGCAGCAACAGGAGCGTCTCCAGGAGCAGGAGAAAAAAGTAGCTAAAATCATCATTTTCTATGGGTTTCAGAAGTTACGTTAGGCATTTTTGCGGTGCAATTTCGAAGCTTTTCCGTCCTTCACTGCCATGGGGATTTGCCGCTGGGAGTGGTTCGCTTTTAGGCATCGCAGCTAGCCACCAGCAGCAGCAGCAACAGTAGGAGCGTCTTCAGCAGCAGGAGAAAAAAGTAGCTAAAATCATCATTTTCTATGGGTTTCAGAACTTACGTTAGGCATTTTTGCGGTGCAATTTCGAAACTTTTCCGTCCTTTACTGCCATGGGGATTTGCCGCTGGGAGTGGTTCGCTTTTAGGCGTCGCAGCTAGCCACCAGCAGCAGCAGCAGCAGCAGCACTAGCAGCAGCAGCAGTAGGAGCGTCTTCAGCAGCAGGAGAAAAAAGTAGCTAAAATCATCCTTTTCTATGGGTTTCAGAAGTTACGTTAGGCATTTTTGCGGTGCAATTTCGAAGCTTTTCCGTCCTTCACTGCCATGGGGATTTGCCACTGGGAGTGGTTCGCTTTTAGGCGTCGCAGCTAGACACCAGCAGCAGCAACAGGAGCGTCTTCAGCAGCAGGAGAAAAAAGTAGCTAAAATCATCTTTTCTATGGGTTTCAGAAGTTACGTTAGGCATTTTTGCGGTGCAATTTCGAAGCTTTTCCGTCCTTCACTGCCATGGGGATTTGCCGCTGGGAGTGGTTCGCTTTTAGGCGTCGCAGCTAGCAACCAGCAGCAGCAGCAGCAACAGTAGGAGCGTCTTCACCAGCAGGAGAAAAAAGTAGCTAAAATCATCATTTTCTATGGGTTTCAGAAGTTACGTTAGGCATTTTTGCGGTGCAATTTCGGAACCTTTCCGTCCTTCACTGCCATGGGGATTTGCCGCTGGGAGTGGTTCGCTTTTAGGCGTCGCAGCTAGACACCAGCAGCAGCAACAGAAGCGTCTCCAGGAGCAGGAGAAAAAAGTACCTAAAATCATCATTTTCTATGGGTTTCAGAAGTTACGTTAGGCATTTTTGCGGTGCAATTTCGAAACTTTTCCGTCCTTTACTGCCATGGGGATTTGCCGCTGGGAGTGGTTCGCTTTTAGGCGTTGCAGCTAGCCACCAGCAGCAGCAGCAGCAGCAGGAGCGTCTTCAGCAGCAGGAGAAAAAAGTAGCTAAAAAATGATCATTTTCTATGGGTTTCAGAAGTTACATTAGGCATTTTTGCGGTGCCATTTCGAAGCTTTTCCGTCCTTCACTGCCATGGGGATTTGCCGCTGGGAGTGGTTCGCTTTTAGGCGTCGCAGCTAGCTACCAGCAGCAGCAGCAGCAGCAGCAGTAGGAGCGTCTTCAGCAGCAGGAGAAAAAGTAGCTAAAATCATCATTTTCTATGGGTTTCAGAAGTTACGTTAGACATTTTTGCGGTGCAATTTCGGAACCTTTCCGTCCTTCACTGCCATGGGGATTTGCCGCTGGGAGTGGTTCGCTTTTAGGCGTCGCAGCTAGACACCAGCAGCAGCAGCTGCAGCAGCAGCAGCAGTAGGGATCCGTCCTTCACTGCCATGGGGATTTGCCGCTGGGAGTGGTTCGCTTTTTGGCGTCGCAGCTAGCCACCAGCAGCAGCAGCAGCAGCAGGAGTGTCTTCAGCAGCAGGAGAAAAAAGTAGCTAAAATCATCATTTTCTATGGGTTTCAGAAGTTACGTTAAGCATTTTTGCGGTGCAATTTCGAAGCTTTTCCGTCCTTCACTGCCATGGGGATTTGCCGCTGGGAGTGGTTCGCTTTTAGGCGTCGCAGCTAGCCACCAGCAGCAGCAGCAGCAGAGCAGCAGCAGGAGCGTCTTCAGCAGCAGGAGCGTCTTCAGCAGCAGGAGAAAAAAGTAGCTAAAATCATCTTTTCTATGGGTTTCAGAAGTTACGTTAGGCATTTTTGCGGTGCAATTTCGAAGCTTTTCCGTCCTTTCACTGCCATGGGGATTTGCCGCTGGGAGTAGTTCACTTTTAGGCGTCGCAGCTAGCCACCAGCAGCAGCTTCAGCAGCAGGAGAAAAAAGTAGCTAAAATCATCACATCAGTTTCTATGGGTTTCAGAAGTTACGTTAGGCATTTTTGCGGTGCAATTTCGGAACCTTTCCGTCCTTCACTGCCATGGGGATTTGCCGCTGGGAGTGGTTCGCTTTTAGGCGTCGCAGCTAGACACCAGCAGCAGCAACAGGAGCGTCTCCAGGAGCAGGAGAAAAAAGTAGCTAAAATCATCATTTTCTATGGGTTCCAGAAGTTACGTTAGGCATTTTTGCGGTGCAATTTCGAAGCTTTTCCGTCCTTCACTGCCATGGGGATTTGCCGCTGGGAGTGGTTCGCTTTTAGGCGACGCCTAGCAGATGCCCAGCAGCAGCAGCAGCAGCAGCAGCAGGAGGAAACAGGAGGAAAAAGTAGCTAAAATCATCATTTTCTATGGGTTTCAGAAGTTACGTTAGGCATTTTTGCGGTGCAATTTCGGAACCTTTTCCGTCCTTCACTGCCATGGGGATTTGCCGCTGGGAGTGGTTCGCTTTTAGGCGTCGCAGCTAGCCACCAGCAGCAGCAGCAGCAGCAGTAGGAGCGTCTTCAGCACCAGGAGAAAAAAGTAGCTAAAATCATCATTTTCTATGGGTTTCAGAAGTTACATTAGGCATTTTTGAGGTGCAATTTCGGAGCTTTTCCATCCTTCACTGCCATGGGGATTTGTCGCTGGGAGTGGTTCGCTTTTAGGCGTCGCAGCTAGCCACCAGCAGCAGCAGCAGCAGCAGCAGCAGCAGCAGTAGGAGCGTCTTCAGCAGCAGGAGAAACAAGTAGCTAAAATCATCATTTTCTATGGGTTTCAGAAGTTACGTTAGACATTTTTGCGGTGCAATTTCGGAACCTTTCCATCCTTCACTGCCATGGGCATTTGCCGCTGGGAGTGGTTCGCTTTTAGGCGTCGCAGCTAGACACCAGCAGCAGCAGCAGCAACAACAACAACAACAACAACAACAACCATGTGCCACCTCTGCTGTGCTCTCGACAGTCCATAAGCTTCAGGGTTAGGCTGCAATTTTCTTAGATCAAGTCGTGTCTTTGGTACCGGAGCATACTACTTGCCAACATTTTGTTCCACATCTTTTCCCGTTTGGTTTTTTTGTGCGCTACCCGTATGCGGCCAAAGCGTTTCGTGCTTTGCACTTCTGTTAAACATGATGGACACTGATGTGTGAAAAAGCTCTGAATCACTGTGCCACCGCGAACACGGAAGCGGACACCACAATGCTGTTGTTTCGCATCAACTTGTCCATCAGTGACAGTACTACGGACCTGTGTCTCACAATGAGGACATATATATTCATAGACCGGCTTTCTCTGCGAGATAGTAGTTGCTTCCGGGGTCGGCGGCAGGGGCGGCAGCCCTTAAATATGATAATATATGATAATATGCTAGGATATGATAAGTATTCTGATAGAGGTTGATGACATATTTCTCCAATCAAAGGATATCGAAGGGGAAGTCGGGCAAGTGCGCATGGAACCACAGTCCACGTACTGTCCACGCCACGCCCTCCTCCAAATGGAACCTGTATGAATGCCATACCTCCAGTCCTTGCAACGACGGAGGCGCTGACACACATCTTTGCGCTCTTAACACGTCGAGTCTTAACCATCTTTGGAAGGAGACACCAATAATCAGACAATATCAGACATAATCACATGGTCAATTCAGATAATTCAGCACCCATTAAAAATCAGTAAGTCAATAAGAAGTTTCCATCTCCTGATGGCCATCCACTGGCCCTGATTCAGCCGTGTCTCTTCAGTAGGCGTCCCATCTCATGGATGGCCTCACGGGGCCGTAGGACATGCTCCAGCACGTCGGTGCACACGATGACGTTAAAGGACTTGTTGGGCAACGGCATGTCCGCAATATCCGAAACGATGTCAATGTCCGCATAGCCGTGCCTAGGGATATTTTGATATATGGCCAACCAAACCAAAATAGTGAAGTGTGGAGGAAGAAAATGGGATACAATGGATTCTATTGAAGGGCGAAGCCGCTAAATGTCATCTTGAAATTGAGTGGTCAACGCATTGGTTACAGATTCTTTTCTTGCCCATTGGCACCTTTGCTTCGAGGATCTGCAACCCAAGCCGCAATAGTTAGGTCACATCCCTATTCTTTCCGTGTCTTGGGACTCTCTCTGCAGCAACGCTGCAGGAAAACTGACCCAGCAATGGCTTCGGTGCCGACGTATTCTTTGGCATCCTGCAGCGGATTATCCAAGGTGCAGGGAGCGTGTCCATAGTGGTAGGGTGGGGCCTATACCATATGGAGATCCAAGGATATCATGTCCAATACTTCCTCGCCAATACTTCCTCGCTAATACTTCCTCGCTAAACATAAACATGTGCTCAAAATACTAATCCACTCAATTCCAAAATTAACTCGGTCCATGTTGCCTGCGGCCGTTCCTTTTATCTTCCTGTCGTATCCTGAAACGACTTGTTTCAACTGAAAGCCGTCCCTTGATGCCTGGGCAGTGTAGCCATAGCCCAAGGATCGAATGATGGGTTTGCAGGGTGCAGTGCCAGCTCCCACATCTAAGACCTGTGGCGCGAAGGCCGTTGATGCGCTGGTGACTCCTTTGATGCGCCAGACCATGCCTTCGTCTCCAAGGACATTCCCTCAATGGCCCTGGCAATCTGCCGGCACTTCATCAGGTCGTCATTGGACCCACCCTGCATGGCTGAGGGATTGTGTGATGACGTGAAGTCACAACAGTGATGCAACGTGAAAACTCCACTGTTCATGGTTGTGTCATGTTGTGGCGCGGACAGTCGCAAGCATTGATCTATTGAATCTATTGAACTCCAATCGTTTCATCCGGCTCTAATGCAATTGAGTCTGACTGCAAGTGAACTCCATATATTCTTGCAAGAATCACGGAGCATATACGGTATCGCCAATGTGACAACATGGAAGTGCAACACCTTTTCAACCGATGTGATGAGCTCTTAACAAGCCCAGCGCCTGCAGCTTGTGGTTCAAGAAGTCCTTCTGAGCATCCATTAAGAAGTCTAAGCCTGGCTTGCAGCGTGCCAGCAGGTGATCAGAATCACAAGTCGCTACCACAAAGCTCACGAACCAAACTGTAGCTGGTAGCCCGCTTAGCAGAGCAACTTCAGCATTTCAGCTTGCGTACTTAAAATAGAACGGTCTTGTCCAATCTCAGTCTATCCGAGACCAACTCTTTTCCACTGCAGCTCCCAAGATCTCCCAAGTTCTTTTGGCCTGGACCTCCAATCTTTGACTTCCGCGGAAAACAGCTATCATAAGCCTCACGAGCTACACTTAAAATCACTTAGCTTCTCATCTGTGGGACTGTGGGATGGAATGCGAAAGGACTTTTGCTTCCAAAAGGTTTCATGCAAGCCAAACACAAGTTGTCACTGTATTTCACTATTGCGCCTAGCATTCATTGTGCTGAAATAGAACCTGACCTGGGTATGTGACGGTATGTTTGAGAACAGGGCATCACAATCCCATGATTTTCTCATCATGTTCTTTCATTTTCTCCGTTTTCTCCCCCATTCAGCGGTCCATCCCAGCCTGATAGCATCCAGGCTGAGTCTTGCAAAAGAAGTCCCCATTGCCGTAGGGATCGCAGCATCCCAAGTTTCCCTCAATCCCGAGCTCTGGGGCCATGAAAGGCCTATATGAAAGGCTATCAAAGATGGGCTTCACCATATTTCAGATGATTTACCAGTTTACCATTACGAAACATATTGAGATTAAGGCTTATATGGGCCTATGCAAACCACATATATGGAACTGTATATTGAGGTTTTATATGTTTGTATGTTCGAATTATATACATTCTTACACTATAACATCTGATATCTATATCACGTTGGGTTTACCACATTACCATATATGAACCCATTATAAAGATACAATTCACCATATTTGAAATGTCAACAGTCACACACCGCGGCGCTGCCAAGCTATGCCAAGCTGCTTCGCACCTCGGGCAGTATGGCCAACAGGGACACCAGGATTCCAAAGGTAGCTAAGAGGACTGGGAGGTGAGAAACATGTTTCATCTTCAAAAACTAAAATATGTTTTCTGAATCTATATGTTTGTTTTTTTTAATATCTATAATCCCATATAATTCATTATATATATATATCGTTGATTCTATTTCCTATCAATCTGTTTCAAGAGTCCGACTTTTCTAGCCTTGCGCTTGATGAATGTACATGAATGTTCAAGTGGCTTCAATCCAAAAAAAAAAATGAGCAAATTCATCCCATCCATGAGTTGCCAAGATATTGCAAATTAATTTCTCTTGGCCCACCCTTCCAGTACCAGCATATCCCATCACCGCAAAGTCGAGGAGCCGGAAGCCTTGAGACGCAATGGCTTGAAACGACTCACTAAATCTGGAAGGAACCTCGCTCAACGACTAAAATTAGAAGATATTACATAGAAATGCAATGAAATACTATATATAGAACATGGCTGGTCCAAGCTAAAAGGTATTTGCAGAACCTACCTCGGGGATGTGTTCTGAGCAAAGCTCCAAAGAAGTCTGGCCTTAAAAATGCACAATCTTTGCATTTTTGGGGCCTTGGGAGTGTGGACAGGACTTTCTACAACAAGACTCCGCATGACTCTCAGTCAAAATGTGCCAAAAAGAAACAGAATTTCTCATGCTTGAGAATCTCCCACTGGCCTGACACCAGCTGACATCAAAACATGTGGAAGGCACTAGTAGCTGCAATTAAAAATGCAATATAAATCAATATAAATCAATATAATATAATATTGAGATAGATTGAGGACACCTTGCCAAAGCATTCTTTGAACTTTTCCAGGTCCCCTGGCTGCTCGGATCGCATGAGCAGCATGGCTCCATTATGCTCCAGAGATAGGGACCCCTGACCCATCGAAATCATATCAATTGCACAAACAATGTGAAACAACGAAGGGTAAAAACGGGTAAAAACGACTTAAACCACCCAAATTCATCCGAAATGCAGGTACAGAATCAATTTCAATCCAAGGACCACAGATATAGGACAAACTTGGAAGCATTTCTTTACGAGTTTTCACAGCGGGCCCCTGCAGCTCAGCGGCTGGTAGCATCACCCAAACCCATCTCCCACTCCAGCTCACCTGACTCAACTGCCCAAGTACAAGGGATCAACTGTAACTATGCATTTCAAAATGTTTCACGGATCACCTGCGATTATCCACCTCTGCATGGTTCTGGTCCTTCTGATTCACTGGATTTTCTGCAACTTCCGATGCCCCTTTCTCACAGCTAACTCCAACATGCAGATGTTTTGTGCGTGTGAGCCGCACAAGCAAGCGTTGACTGTCAGAGACGTTGGTTGCCGGACTTTTGCTTGCTGAGCGAGATGCTCCCAACCTACCAGCGTAGCAAAAAAACATGATTCAAAGGCAATGCAAGGCTGGGCCATTTGATGCCAAAACATCATCAAACTGATTTGTCCAACAAGAAACGATGGCATCTCAAACAAACAACAAATACAGCGCAAAATCAGAACAACTCTCCCCAAGGCCTGCCTCAAATACATGAACGATTTGAATATACTCAGCAGAAAAAAAAAACAACATAGTTTCTTGGTCCAGGCACGTCCAGGCCCTGCTTCTAGGTGTAATTAGCACATCGTAGAACCATCCAAAATAAAACCCTTGCAGCGCTGCGCTTTGCCTTTCGGTCGCAGTTTGCGCCAAATTTCGTGCAACAACGTCAGGACCGGTGCAGGACTCATCAAGAGCCTTCCACGGAGCGGCCAGTGCTCGTTGCTTATAAGACTGTGGTGCAACTCAAAACAAGAAAATCACATCACAGTATCACATCACGCAACAAATTCTGTTTGACAAAGCCATGGAAATTGTATGCAATTGTTGCATGCTCATCATTCGGCTTGACACATCTTGATGCGTTGAAGCTACATTTAGAGTGTCACTGTTGCACAGCAGCTGGTCAGGATTCGCCCCCCCCACAAGCCGTGGCTGTCAGCGGGCCCTCGCAAACGCGGCAACAGCTTTCGGTGGCATCGGACGGCCAAATGTTCTGCTTCCTCAACTAGTTGCGCCTCGCAGACTGGGCTGCGGGGGCAACTGCCACCAGCCTAGGGCGACAAAACCCGAGGTATTTTTACCCATGCTGAAAGTACGGGTTAGGTACGGGTTGGGTACGGGTTAGGTAAGGGTTAAGTACGGATTAGGTACGGGTTAGGTACGGGCTAGGTATAGCTTGAAAATCAATACCCGAGGTCTTCAATCGAAAATCGAGGTTTTCTGATTTTCTGAAATACCTCGGGTTCTTGTATTGACCCGAAGGATTCTTAGGGTTTGGGTGCTCCAGGAATATTAAAATAAATAAATAAAGTACACTGCCGTACTGTACCGTCCCAGGGGCTCATCCAGTCCATACTTCGTGGCTCATGTTAACGGGGGAAGTGTCATATGCGATGCGATGCAATGTATAGTATACATGCATATACAGCGCACAGGTATGTACAAACGATTTGGGGTTCAAAATGCTCAAACCCCAGTCGGGATCTGCGACAGTCATGACTGGATCTACAATAACCAAAAATAAGTCGTGCATCTACAAACCGCAGTCGCGTGTAGTCAGCAACGCCTTGATTACATTACACTTGGATACACTTGTTCCATGTCGTTCCATCCGATGGAAACTTCATGCGATTTCCAATCATTTTCCCAGCTACATCTCCAGGTTGAAGTTTAGCCCAGCATCACTGGGCGATGAGGGAAACTCTCCCCCCATCTCCGAAAGCAGCGCCAAGTGGAGACGCGCAGTGACACCAGCCATGCCTTTGATTGGTGGCTATACCAACAGTATTTGCCAATTGGGCTTGATCTGATAAAACAAAAGAACATGTGGAAACTCGCGCTCTGAAAATCTCAAGCCAAAAATACATGTAAGAGTTCTGTGCATCTGGCAATATGGAATGCTTGGCTAGGCGCTGTGGAGTAACTTCTGGTGATTATACGGACAGCGCTTGCAACGGTTAGCTTATCAAAGATCCAGGGAAGCAGAAGAAGATCTGAAGACTACTTATTCGCGCCCCAACCTTGGATTTGAAACTAAGACATGCCGAGCCCAGATTCCGTGCCCCATTCTCCTGGTTTTGACGAGATGTTGCGACTCTGAAAGGGTGTTGACAACCTACCCCAACAATATCTTCATCCTGTGTCCATCCCATTATATGGTCACCAAAAGCTATTTCAAGCACCCAGATGAGGATGTGCCCTGCTCCAAGCTACAATCCTCCGTTACATTGAGACGTGACAGTGCCTCAGGCGCATGCGCAAACCTAGTTGACAACAGCAAGTCCAGTTGTCGGTGCTCTGCAAAACATGAGGCACGTATGTGGAGGTGGCACATGGCGCACGTTTTCTGACAGTGCCTTTGTATATCATTGGGTTGATCAGGTATTTGGCACTAAAAACTGCGATTTCCAACGAATCCGATATTGTTCAACGGAGAGGCTTTGTTGCAGTTAATAGTACCCACATGTACCCACTCATAGCTGACAACATAGACTAGTGACTTTCAAACACTGAAGCATTTGAGTCTACAGTAAACTTGCCAGGAAAAACAACTTCCAGCAAACCCAGAAAATAGATAAGAAAATGATAGAAAATGGGTCCATGTCATTCCGAAGCGAAGCGCCTTCCCGACTTGTGAGGCTTCAGATGGTGCTGTCTCCAGTTGCTGATAATAGACATCAAATATCTCTGTCTTTGGCTCGGTACCTCAAGGTATCTCAAGGTCAACAGAACTGCTGTAACTAACGCAGGGATGCTTCTAATTGGCTGCTCGGTCTGCCTTGACTTGAAGAAACGAATCAAAGACTTGGAAATACCTTGTGACTTCAACGTCCCACCGATCTAAGAGTAATAAGATGATCTCAGATGATCTAAGGACATCTAATACGCTTCTTGTATCGTCTTGTAAACCTGAAGTCTCAAAATGCAAAACCTATAGGAAAAACATCAGAAGATCTATTGTACCAAACACCTTCCAGCACTGCATCCCCTCAACCAGTCCACCTTAAGGTCAGGAGCTCCACCATCAGTCAACCCCTCCAAGGTGCGCAAAAGGTGGTCACGGATTCGGCGAAGAATTCCGAAGACGGGCCACTTGTTCTGCAGCAAATTGCTCCATCCGGCGCCCGCAAAACTCATAGCACGGGCCTGGTGGAAGCATCCCCCATCGATCTCAGGGAATTATTCACGAATTTAATTAGACTGTGGAAACTCTGCAAGCATACGTAGGGATCATACAGTGGTCTTCTTCCCTTGATTCCCAGCAAAATGTTTTTGCAGCGCATCAGCAAAAAGGTCTTGGACTCCGCGCCAACCATGTGAGCTCATGATCGAACAACGTTTTCTTGTTCAACCTCAAGTCTTCCTCAGATTACAACCAAGCCAGAAAGAACAACGCGTTGCCCCATGCAAAAGGTTCGATAACTGTTCCGCATCAAAATACATGAAGCGTTGAAGTGTGAAAAATCATTGAAGATCTAGCTACCATTAGCTACCTATGTCAAAACAAACGCTTAAAAAAATCAGGGCAAGTATGGCAAGGAAGAGCAAACAACCCTGTCCCCAAGCACTATTCATAGACCAAACCATTTAAATTGTAATAGCAAAACCCTGGGGTTACCAGGACAACCAATCATTTCCAGCCATGGCCAAGGTCACATCAAGCCGGGCAAGCCGCGTGGCTGGATTGATGAGAAACCGACTCATTCACCCTGCTGACCCAGGAACGATTTGATAAGGCATCAGTTGAGTCAGCGCAGCTGCAAAGGGACAGTTTCTCTGCAGGACATCCCTAGGCAGCTCAAACACTCACAGGAAGCAGAATCTCACTCATCTTAACTCATGCCGTCCTACCGAAGCCTTCACATAGAGAACAATTGCTACTGGGCAGCATGCTATTAAACAGTCTATTTTCTGACACATGCTGACACAATTGTTTCATCGGTGGGGACCGGAAAACATTATGCAAAAGCATGAAACATCAAAAGTAGCAAGCCCGGAAGGACAATGCTGTCAGTAAAAACCTTAGTCCAAAATAAGGAGAAGTCCATCATGGTCCGAAGAGACGGCGCGTGCTACGTGCAACAGAAATTGACCAAGGGGGCTAAATCCCTGCAGTTTTCAAATATCTGTGTGCTTACCTTGCGCAAGCTGGATTTGACTGGATCTTTGCACTGTAATTAAGCGGGAGTCTAGCTGCAATTAAGCCATCACCACATGGAAAAGACGGAACTAGTTCAATATCATCTTATGGATTCATCTTGACGGCATTATCTTGCATCATCCAAGTATGGGCCGAAGTTGGGGTGCCAAGTTGGTGGATGCTCAATACTAAAAAATGACCAAAGCTGCCTGCCAGGGTTCTTAAATCTTCACCCATAGCATCCCATCGCCATCTTTTATCTCTTTTGGAGCTCTCCACCTCATCTCAGCCTGCAGGGAATGCCGCCAAGGCACTGCTTTTGCATCACCAAACCGATGAGATAGTCCTGGTGACTACTGAAAGGATGCTGACAAATTGGGTACAGAAGACGGCCCAAAGATGCGGCATAGAAGCGGTTTCTGTCCATCTCCCCAAATCTGGCAGGCCTTGGATGAATGCGGGGGATGTTTGGGGGCCCCACATATGGCGAAGCACCCAACATGGCTGTCCTGCGCCAAAACTTTCTGGGAGAAAGGTCCCTGGCATGGCTGGAGACAAAGGCACCCCACCCCTCTATAATCACGAGTCGGCGGCCTGTTGGAACTCCTAAGTTACATAAGGGATCATAAGGGTACCTCAAAAATAGCTATCATAGGCACTTGCCAACTCCGAATACTCCATGCAGACTGTGAATAACCAAACCAACGCAAGAACTAGGGGACTTGGGTGATGGCCACCGGGTCTCCCTACTCCACCCCGCAAAAGCCTCACAACACAGATCTCGATGAGCTTGATCTTTGAAGCAACCGATGCTGGGCGGCTGGTGGCAACAAAGGAACTTTGGGAGTTCGTCGAAGCAGGTCCGCTCCTTGGCAGAATCGATGACAGATTCCTCGTGCCCATTTTTCTTTGTGGTGATATGATGAATGAGGGCTTTGGTTGGTGATTACAATCATTAAAGGGGGATTAATCGAACTGTATGATGTGGTGCACCTGTCTGCCAATAGCGCCAGGAGCATCCACTACAGTAGCCATCAAATCTCATTCCAAGCAGCTGAAACCTTGACCAGCTCATGCAGGATGAACTTGCAGGCCCCTGCAGGTCCGCCACCACCTGCTGTGTCACAGCCATGCAAATCCTGCAAATGGTGGGAAATTATCTCAGTATAAATGTCTTTGGGCCTTTGGAGGTCTTTGGTTGGTGGTTTCAACCCCTCGGTAAAGTATTCGTCAGTTGTGATCATCATCCCAAATAGGGTTGAACATAAACACATACTTACTTGAAACAACCCGTCAAGTTCAACAGGGTTGACTCATTGGCCCAATTGCTCATGAATGCCCTGGAAACTCTAATCAACATAATTAACCAAGGACTCTCTTTAAATTGGCCACTGTTCGTTACTATTGGTCAAGGTTTCCTTGTACCTTTGCCAGGTGAAACCAGCCGCTGGAAGCTGTGGCCGTCCCACCTTCCTCCTGAAAAAACGCCTCTGATGACGCTGCCAGTAGACCTGAGAGATGCAAAAGCGCTGCAACCGGTCGGACGCCAGCTGCCATGCCCAAATGAGTGTTGATTCTTTTGGGCTACACTAATTACAAGAGGCCTTCGCTGCAGCCTACGCCTGGTCTAGCGGGACCGGTTTTTGTTGGGAAGGGTGCCTTCGGCGCATACTTTTGTGTTTTTCAAGACCAGAAATGCGAAGAGCCTTTGCAGCGGGCTTTGAAAGTGTTCGGGAACCTGCAAGCCACGGAGGAAACGTTTTTGCGACAAAAGTTGGAGTTCAACCTTGTCTAAGTCTCAAAATCCCATAAAATCCCTGCATCCAAACAGAAACGGTACCATTGTCTTTTTCCCCAAGAGTGTGCGTCCCAACATCCTCACCCTTTTCCTTTGCAGGGAACCATCATCACTGCAGGACTTCGCTTCCAAGGTACCCAAGGTGACACACAGTGACCTCGGCCAACTGGCGCTCGCCATCCGCCTCCCTGCCAGTCAAACATTGGGATTTACCCAATCCAATATAGTGGTATATTCGTAAGATAGAGGTATATAATATTAATAGCGTTATTTTTAAAAATTACTTTACTTCGTGTGATCCCCACCATGACATTTATATCTTCTGGCATTCTATCTGACATATCTTCTGACATTCTATTTGGCATTCTATCTGGCATATCTTCTGGCATATAATCTGGCGTATCTTCTGGCATATCTTCTGGCATTCTATCTGGCAAATCTTCTGGCATTCTATCTGGCATATCTTCTGGCATTCTATCTGACATATCTTCTGGCATTCAATCTGGCATTCTATCTGGCATATCTTCTGGCATATATTCTGACATATCTTCTGGCATTCTATCTGACATATCTTTTGGCATATATTCTGACATATCTTCTGGCATATCTTCTGGCATATCTTCTGGCATATCTTCTGACATATCTATCTGGCATATCTTCTCTATTTTCTGGCATATTTTCTGGCATTCTATCTGGCAAATCTTCTGGCATTCTATCTGGCATATCTTCTGGCATATTATCTGGCATTCTATCTGGCATATCTTCTGGCATATATTCTGACATATCTTCTGGCATTCTATCTGGCATTCTATCTGGCATTCTTTTTGGCATTCTATCTGGCATATCTTCTGGCATATATTCTGACATATCTTCTGGCATTCTATCTGGCATTCTATCTGGCATTCTTTTTGGCATTCTATCTGGCATATCTTCTGGCATATCTTCTGACATTCTTTCTGACATTCTTTCTAACTTTCTTCTGCACATTCTTTGTCCCATATCTTCCTACATGAGGTCCGGCAGGGAACACTTGGCATGGATACCCGCGGTTGAGGTCCGGCAGGGAACACTGGCGTGGATGGTCGTGGTTGAGGTCCGGCAGGGAACACTGGGCGTGGATGGTCGTGGTTGAGGTCCGGCAGGGAACACTGGGCGTGGATGGTCGTGGTTGAGGTCCGACAGAGAACACTGTGCGTTGAGGGTCGCAGTTGGACGAGGAGGACGAGGAGGACGACGACGAGGACGACAAGGACGACAAGGATGACAAGGAGGACGAGGAGGACGAGGAGGAGAGGAGGAGGAGGAGGAGGACGAGGCAGGAGGCAGGAGGCAGGAGGCAGGAGGCAGGAGGCAGGAGGAGGCAACTGACATAAAATCTAACAACCCTCACCTGGCAGGTGGGGAAAAATATTACTATTTATTATTATCATCATTATCATTTTTATTGTATTATATATATATATATATCTGTCTGTCCGTCCGTCCGTCCATCAATCCATCTAACAGTAGTACCGCACAAGGCGGTGGCGGAAGTTTCAAAAATAGGAAACCTATAGGAGAGGTTGGTTGTTGTGACTCACGGATGGCAGAGCGAATCTTCCTGATGGACTGAAAGGTGATTGATCTCTCTCACTCTTTCTCTCTATTTTGCTCTCTTTCTCTCTCTTTCTCTGATTATCTGCCTACCTACCTACCTACCTACCTACCGATCGATCTATCTATCTATCTATCTAGCTATCTATCTATCTATCTATCTGTCTGTCTGTCTGTCTATCTATCTCTCTCATCTGTCTATCTAACTATCTAACTATCTAACTATCTATCTATCTCTATCTATCTCTATCTATCTACCTATCTACCTATCTACCTATCTATCTACCCAGCCATCTAGCTATCTAGCTATCTAGCTATCTAGCTATCTAGCTATCTACCTATCTACCTATCTACCTATCCATCTATCTATCTATCTATCTTACTTATCTATCGATCTATCTATCTAATCTAGTCTTATCTTATCTTACCCTATCTTATCTTATCTTATCTTATCTATCTATCTATCTGTCTGTCTGTCTGTCTATCTTATCTATCTAATCTAATCTAATCTAGTCTAATCTAATCTATCTATCTATCTATCTATCCATCTATCTATCGAATCTATCGAATCTATCGAATCTATCTAATCTATCTAATCTATCTAATCTATCTATCGATCTATCTAATCTATCTATCGATCTATCTATCTATATCGATCTATATCGATCTATCTAATCTATCTATCGATCTATCTATCTATATCGATCTATCTATCTATATTGATCTATCTATATCGATCTATCTATATCGATCGATCTATCTATCTATCTATATCTGTCTATCTGTCTATCTGTCTATCTGTCCATCTGTCTATCTGTCTATCTGTCTATCTGTCTATCTGTCTATCTGTCTATCTGTCTATCTATCTATCTACCTATCTACCTATCTACCTATCTACCTATCTACCTATCTACCTACCTACCTATCTACCTATCTACCTATCTACCTATCTACCTATCTATCTATCTATCTATCTATCTCTCGGTCTGTCTGTCTGTCTATCTATCTGCAAGCTTGAAAACCTTGCTGTTCTACGAGACTTCTTCATTTTTTCCAAGTTGACAACATCAAAGACGCAGCACTTCTGCGAGACTCATCATTGTTTGAAGTTGACAACATCACAAACGAAGCTATTTTGCGAGACTTTATCATTTTTCAAAGTTGACAACATCACAAACGAAGCACTTCTGCGAGACTTCTTCAATTTTTCATCTTGACAACATCAAAAACATAACAATTCTGCGAGACTTCCTTCAAAAATGGAAAGTTGAGTGCAGAGCTAACAGCTTCGTACCAATGCGTTTTGCGATTTTTCCAGTCCACCTGTCGAAAGTACTGCGCCTGCCACGAAAAAGTGATGCCAAGTCATACGAAGTGCTGCACCTGTCACGCAAAATCATCTCAGCAAACCTGAAGATCTGATGCTCCAAAATGCAACCCCTCTCAGGAAATCAGCGCCCTGACCTCCTAACATCTCTGATGATGAACATATCTTTTGTACTGCGCCTGCCACGCGAAATTCATCTTTGAAGATCCTCTTCAAATTTCCCACGCCTGCCATCGCTTTTGGAAATGTTACAAAACCCTCACGTTCTGCTCACTTTTGACAAGGTGCACAATCCCTTGCGCCTGCCACGCGAAAGCACATCTGAACGTCCAAAAATGCTCCGTACCCGTCAGTTTTCTGCACTTTTGACTTCAAAATGTGCTTCGCGCCACAACAGCGTGCACTTTTTCGACATCTCAACTTCCAAAAGTGGTCCGGAGCTGGTGTGTTTTGACTCTGAAATGTGCTTCGCGCCACAACAGCGTGCACTTTTTCGACATCTCAACTTCCAAAAGTGGTCCGGAGCTGGTGTGTTTTGACTTCGAAATGTGCTTCGCGCCACAACGGCGTGCGCTTTTTCAACATCTCAATTTCCAAAAGTGGTCCGGAGCGAAGGTGTTTTGTACATTTTGACTTGGAAATGTGCTTCGCGCCACAACGGCGTGCAACTTTTCATCTCTCATCTGACCACATGGCTCCGCACCCGCCGCTTTAGCGAGCCTACTTTTCGACCCTCCGGAGCCACAAATCATTGGATAAACACCGTGTCTCGCGACTTTCCTACCTTTTCGCGCACCTGGATCTTCTTTCTTCTCGCTCTTTCTCTTCTCTGATCTGCTCTCTTCTAATTACTCTTCTCTTCTCTCTGCCTCTGCCTATCTCTGCTTTTCATCTGTCCATATTGTCGGAAGTTTGACTTCTAAACTTCCTTCGATAAGTCTATAAGTCTATACAGTCTATAAGTCTAAAAGTCTATACGTCTAAAAGTCTATAAGTCTAAAAGTCTATAAGTCTATCAGCCTACAAGTTTATAAGGCTATAAAACTATCTATCTATCTTTAAAAAACATATCTAAAAAATCTATCTAAAAAAAATATCTAAAAAAAAACTATCTAAAAAATAGATCTAAAAAACTATCTGAAAAACAATTATCTAATATATATATATATAAAATCTATCTAAAACAAATCTATCTAAAATATTCTATCTAAAAAAATCTATCTATGTAAACAATCCTATCCAAGAAACATATCTAATAAAAACTATCTTTAAAAAATCTACATCTATATATTATATATCTAAATCTATCTATCTAAACCTATCTATCTAAATCAATCTATCTAAATCAATCTATCTAAATCAATCTATCTAAATCAATCTATCTAAATCTATCTATCTATATACCTACCTATCTATTAATCTATTATATAACGGGATGTTTCTGGATCATTCTGGATCATCATTTACAAAAGGTGGATCTTCACTGATTCAAGAGTGCGACCAGTGATATGAAACCTCAGGAAATCCAGGCGTACAGGACTGACACACCAAAAAGCGAGGAAGAAATGAGCTTGGCGGAATCTGTCAGAGCAGATGTCCCCTAGTGTCGGTCCAAATATCCAAGTCCACAAACAAAGTAAAGATCGTTTGGGATATACAACGCCCTAGGAGGAACAGCATAAACAATCTTCTGCATCTTGGCCACTCCAAAAAATGTTGTAAAGCAACCCAGATTTTCAAACAGTCGTTCTTGGCCTCAGGAGCATTCATTCGTTCTTGTCATCCAAATAGCAAGAGATTCTTCAGGGGCCAACTCAAGAAACCCATGGACTAATGTGCTGCTAAGCGTAGTGATATCACAATGATGGCCTCCAATATTCGATGGTTTCTGCGACCAGGTTCTAATAAGTAAAACTGGGGCGCGTTTTAGCATTCACATTGGACTCCTGCACTATTGACTTCCTTCTCTTGAGCACGGCATGTTTTTCAAAGTGCAAGCTGCGAGGTCTGGTGGCCCGTAATGTGGCTGCACCGCATTGGGAGGTGATGGTCTGCTGCCAGCATTTTGGCATCTGCCGAAACGACCATAGATTTAAGCACAACTGAGAAGTTCCATTAATTTTTGACGGTAGTTCGATTCCGCAACTACAAAATAGCTGTCAGCAGGGCCACCACAATGCCTATCAACAGGCCTATAGATTCCCGAACCTGACCTGCGTGGAAGAGTTCATCAACAATATTTTTGACATCTGGGTCGAAAGATTAAAGCATGGATGAATGGCTGGTAATTTCCTCACAGTTGCAACTCGAACTCTCTATTCAACATGCAACAATTGCCAATGTGCATTGCTAGTTGTGAGGTTCTCAACATCCTCTAGAAACGAACTTGCAGAAGGAAGGTCCTGGTCTAGGCCAGCTTCAGGGGATCCCTGGGCTTCTCCACTGCCGCGCGAGCAATAAACTCGTGCCATCACCGAATCGCGAGCTACGTAGCTAGATACTTCAAGCAAACGTTGCATAGCAAAACGCGACAATTCAACTGGCTCACAACAAACGCACAATTTCATGTTAGTCTCCTTCTATCTCCTTTTCAAATGCCTTCATATGCCTTCAGTGATTGACGCGCGTTTGACTACAAACCTATCCGAAGTTCAATGTACACCAAGATCCAACTTGATTCTTCTTACTAGGACGGCAAGCACACCCGCAGTGGCTCAGCGGTATTGTGCCATTGGACATGCTGAGCGGTGTCGCTTTACCTTACAGTACATGCGGAACAAATGAAAAGGGTGCAAGTGTTGGCGCTATGTGCTGCTCGCTGGTAGTGTTGCAAGATGGCATGGTCCGTGAAGACATCAGAAATCAGCTGGCCATGCCATGGCTAGACGTCAGCTTCAGAGTGTCAGGACAATTCCAGAACCACCCAGAACCACTACGGACTTTTCCAAAAATAGTGTACCAATGTGTACTATATATGGCTGGTAAATTAACATAGACCCAGAAGATAAATGATCATGACATAGAATGACCAACAATTTTAGTGGAAACTTATCTTCCCCCTATAATATAGTATATATTAATCTATATTAATGTATATTAATCTATATTATATCATATTATATATACCCCATCTTCCCCCCAAAAAAATCTGGCTGTCCTTTTGGCCAAGCAACCCATCTCCAAGTCAGATTGATCCGAGGCCCTGGAGCGCCCTCCTTAGGCACTCGGTGCTGCATGTGCTTCCTCAGTGGCGAAAAGATGTCCTGCAAGCTGTTTGAACATTTTTGGTGCCCCGAAAAAGGTCCCCAAAGTCCACCCAACTCCAATCCCCAATATGTATATGAATATATATATATATGTATTATATGTATATATAACTATTAACTATATACTGTATATATTATAAATACATATTTGATGTAATATATACTACATCATATTTTTTCTCATGAAACTTGCTATGTTTCACTGTCTCTCCTTCCGGACAAACCCATACGGAGGGAAGATGAGTACCGGACATTTCATTGTGGATACACGTTCAAACGCTCAGAACATCCAATGTTAGCTGCATCAGCTCGCATCTCGGCTGATTTTACCGAGCGTCTGGGTCATGCCCTCCATCGTCATCAAATCGCCATTGTTCAGCACAATGCACATTGCATCCTTACAGAATCCGCTGACTCCCCCAGGATTCTTGTGCAATGTTGGCTGATGTACATGTGGCAAACCCATGACCGTGAACCATGCCATTTACATCCATTTACCTAATTTCTAACAATGTTTTGGGGATTAGCAATCTTAGCATGATGTCTTCCACATTGCCTGATATCATATGATACTGTATCAATCTGTATCACATGACATGACAATGATCTGATTCTGATACCATCCGCAATGGCGCTGCGGCCTGTGGCATTATGCCAGGTGGCGTCCTCCTCTGCCGTTTCGGGCCAGTTGTAGCGGATCTCAAATCTCCTGCCCAAGAAGAGATCAACTGAAGGACTTCAGCCACTGCAAACAAACAGACTTTTTAAAGGGTACAAGTAAGATCAAGTAAGCAAATGATAGCAAATGTTCATGGTCCCCTGTGAACTAGCACATCAACATTGTCAAACAGCATTGGGGCAGGATCGTTTGAAAGTATGAAGAAAACTCCTTCTGTAGCTTGCTGCCAGCTTTCTGGCGAGTTTTTTCCCCCCCACTCGGGGAAAAGCACCCGCAAAGTCAAAAGCGATGCAACTTAATGCCGCAACCATACCGTGTGTGGCAGCACCTGCCTTGGCATACCAAGAGATAGGGAGACGATGGTGATGTCCTGGTGCTTACCTCAAGTGCTGCCAGCATCACACAAGAATAGATTCTAGGGCTTTAGGGCCTCAACATGCTTGCGGGGTGACATCACCTTTTGATGCTCAGTTTTGAAGATGGGAAGGACAGCAAGGAAAATCAGGATGAACATGATGATGCTGAAAACGGTGCGGAAAGTAAACACATGATCATGAATGATATATAATGATATATACACTTGTTAGGTCCGTTAGGACCTGATAACAAGGAGGCTCGGCGAAAATGATATCCCTGCTTCTTTGTTTCACATGGTTCAGAGGTGATAGATCCAGCTTTATACCTAACCCTATGATGAAGCCACATGTTGGGTAGATTTCACTATATCAAAACAGTAATTTGCTGATACGGTTGTTGCTGGTGGCGTGGCAATGTTCTGGATGTTGATGGTGACGGTGAAGACATGAAGAATAACATTAAAGTCACGACTATGATGAAACAAATCGATAAAGACAATCGACGTGGTGATCGTGATGATTCAGTGATACGCATGATGCTGCAGTGGATGATTCATGATGCGAAATGACGCGAACCATTGTCTTGATGACAATGCTGCAGAAATTGTAATGATGGCCATGTGCTGCTCTGCTGGCGAATGTTGATGGAAGGGACAACTTCTAGTGAGAGCTTACCTAGTTTGCAAATGAAGCAATGCAGCCGTAAGAAATCGCAAAGGGTAGACTCCGGGGTGGTGCCATTGCAATCCAAGCCAAGGGTCCTTGGAAGAGGGACTCGTCATCTGCATGCCAGCCGACGGAATGACTACCATCAACGTACAGGTTGAGGTTGCAACAATCCTTAGAAAAGGTCCAACGGCCAATCATGACTTGAGGTAAAATCTGGTGAGATGTGGTTCCAGGACAGGATGCCTCAAAATTCACTGCTCTGTACGAAATATGTTCCCATTCTCTCTGCAATGTTGTGTATGTACATATTTGCCATGTATATCACGCCCCAAATTATGAACAACCCCCTCTGATCCAGCCACAATCTTGACAAATTCAGCTTTCAAAGGCGCCCAAAGAGCACACACATAGCCATGTACCCTGACCTTTCCTTATACCTCAGTGTGACTCATATACATGGAAATGATGCTATTGAATCCTATTGATGCATCACTATCTAAAAGCCAAACCTGGTGTTGTCAAAACTGATGCCAACCAGGGTCTGGCCATTCCATCATGCTGTTGATGCCACACGTAGGCATCACCTGTTGCATAGCTTTGAGGAAGGTTTCTGACCCACTGCTCTACATATGTGTACAAGAGAACTAGGTACAGTAAACAAGGAAAAACCATCATGGCCAACAGCTCCGTTGTTGCACAATTCAGTATATATAGAGGTCAAAAATTAAGGACGCAATGGAACCAGGAAATTTATGGACATTTGGCATCTGTGGCACTAAACCATCCATTTATTCTTTTTCGATATATGTCTAGCAGCCTGTAGCAAGTTTGAGGGTTAGTGAATCTTGTGACTTCATCTGGCTCCCTGTGAATGGAAGGCACCCAACATTTCCACTAAAATGCATGTAAACAAGTCCATTTCCAGTGGAAGCTGCATGAACCTATTGTATCTTTGATTGGTATCCCAACCTTCACTTTAATTTGAGTCTAGGAACAATGGGCCATGGGCCTTCCCACATCACTTTATTCACTGTCCTAACCTATTGTATGCCCAGTGCCTCCGACATGAGGTTCACCATCCACGGTGGAAATGGCGATGGAGGCACCTTCCAGAAGGGCTTCCGACATATGGCCACAAAACATAGTCTGAAAGGAGAAAAATGCAATGGCAGCTAGGTGGCAAAAAAACTGCCGCTATCAACACACACACATATAAATAATTATATATGCAAACATATTATGCACATATCGACTACTTGTGCAATAATTTTACTCCAACAATTGCTTGTTGATCTCCATTCAGATTCCCCAAATATGCGTTTCGACATGACAGCGTCTCAGTGACAAATAGTGCAGCTGTGCCTGAAAGGAACCGTAGTTGTACTGGCACTCGCAGCCTGGCCTTACCAACCACGCTGTCCTTGGAAGCATTAGAACATTTGGCAAGGTAAACATGCACATAACCCCTGAGGCAACAAAACCCAGTAAGAACATGTAAGAACTAGCACAGATTCACGAGCCAATCCTACAAACTTGGATTTTTTGCCACAGATCCTTTTAGACCCCATATGTTTGTGAAATATCGTGAAATATCATGAAATGGGTCAGTACCAGCGTCTAGTATTGCAAACGTAGCATTATATAAATAAATGAAATACACATGAGCTACCTCCAAAACTCTATTGCCCCAAAATGGAATATCTATTTTTCCTTCGTTTTAAAGGGTCACCTTCGTTTTACAAGGGTTTCGACCAAACCTTCACAGATATACGTGCGATATCGCGCAGTCATCATTTCGAGCTAATGGCAGCAGCAATGGCAAAAGTTATAAAAAACAGTGCCAGGATGTGCTAGGATTAGTACTGTGACTCGTAGAAGCGACAAAGGTGCTAGAGTAGCAGTAGCACTGGAGTAGCAGTAGCAGTGGCAGGAGCAGTGGCAGTAGCAGTGGCAGTAGCAGCAGCAGTAGCAGTAGCAGCAGCAGTGGCAGCAGCAAGTGACAGCAGTGACAGCAGCGACAGCAGCGACAGCAATGACAGCAGTCACAGCAAGTCACAGCAAGTCACAGCAAGTCACAGCAGCAGCTACCAGCACCAGCACCAGCAGCATCAGCATCAGCATCAGCAGCAGCTGCATCAGCAGCAGCAGTAATCGCGGTGATGCAGGCGCTGTTGGTGCTTTGCTGGTGCTGGTAAGACAAATGCCTGCAGCAAAAGCACAACTAGGCCCCGCAGTGGCAATGGTAGTGGTTGCAGTAGTAGCAGGATGGGGAAGAAGGCTTGCCTGCTCCTGGCCAAGTTCATGCCAAGCTGCTTGTCGTGAATTTTGCCTTCGTTTTTGCCTTCGTTTTGGCTTCGTTCCAGAACGCAAAACCAGACGGGAAAACAAAACCGCCGGATAAAAAGAATACTTGCAGGCGGAAAGCAGAAACTTGACAAAATGTAAAGGGTGCAGAATTGTTTTTTTTTTTTTACAGTTTTGGAATTTTTTTTGGGGTTCGTGCCTCTTCAATTTTTCCATGGTTTTCTTCAATTTTTCCATGGTTTTCTTCAATGTTTCCATAGTTTTCTTCAATTGTTCCATGGTTTTCTTCAATTTTCCATGGTTTTCTTCAATTTTCCATTGTTTTCTGCAAGTTTTCCATGGTGTTCTTCAATTTTTCCATTGGTTTCTTCAATTTTTCCCGGGTTTTCTTCAATTTTTCCATGGTTTTCCAATGGTTTTCTGCAAGTTTTCCATGGTTTTCTTCAATTTTTCCATAGTGTTCTTCAATTGTTCCATGGTTTTCTTCAATTTTCCATCGTTTTCTGCAAGGTTTCTTTGGTTTTCTTCAATCAATCAATCTATATATATATATATATATGTATGTATGTATGTATGTATGTATGTACGTAGGTAGGTAGGTAGGTATGTATGCATGCATGCATGTATGTATGTATATGCAGGGTGTGGTTTAGGGTTTAGGGATACAACATGTAATTAGGTATAATTACATGATTATTTGTTGTTTATGTTGGGATGCAAGTTGTGTATAAAAACAACCACAAATATGTCATATATATATATATGTATACGTCTGTATATCTATAAGTAAATATGTATGTGTATTTATAATATATATATATACTTATAGTTATATAATTATAAATATATATATATACAGTGATATGTATATACATATTAATATGTATGTATATATATATACATTTATATAAGTACATTAATATATATAAATATAAGTGTATATATAAATGCAAATATATACATATACATATACATATATATATATGTATACGTGTGTCTATATATATATATATGTCTAGATATATATATATATAATTTCTAACAAAATATTAATATAGTCGAATCAAACAAGTGTATTGAAAAGTGTGCAAGTTTGAATTTAAATAATTAAAAAAAGCGGGAGGGGGGGGATTGGGGGGAGGGCGCAGCGCCTCCCCGCCAAAGCAGATTGGAAACACCTATTTTACATGCAAGGTGCTGGGTTGAATGTGATACTCAAGGTGTATAGACTACACGACATGCACCCTGGAAACATGTGGAATACAGTACATGTACTTATAGATACATACTTCTATTATATATATATATACATTTATATGATTTATATGTATATACATATGAATGTATATATATATAGGTACATAAATATATATTTATATGTAAATATAAATATATAAAAATAAATATATAAATATAAATATAAATATATAAAATATCAATATGAATATGTAAATATAAATATATCAATATAATATATATTTAAGTGTATATATACATGCATAAATATAAATATATAAATATATTTACATATATATATGTATATATATATAAATATATATATATATAAATATATATGTAAATATATATATAGGTAAATATATATATATATATGTATATATATGTAAATATATATATATGTATATATATATATATGTAAATATATATATATATGTAATATATATATATATGTAATATATATATATATTTGAATTTGAACATAAATAGTAATAATATGTAAATATATATAAAATATATATATAAGTAGAAAATATAAATAATATAAATATATCTAGATATAAATATACAAGTGTGTATATAAATGCATATATATATATATACATATATATATACATATAATATATACACATATATATATATATTATGATTTTAATTTAAACATAAATATATATATATATGAATATAGTCGATTCAAACTAGTGTATTGAAAAATGTGCAATTTTGACATACTAAAAATACCACCAAAAGCCATGGAAAGCAAGCCAAAAGCCAAAAGCAAACAAGCAAAAAGCAAAAAAGCAAAAAATGCAAAAATAACAAAAAGCAAAAAAACAAAAAGCAAAAAGCAAAGCAAAAAAGCAAAAAAGCAAAAACGCAAAAAATCAAAAAAAGCAAAAAGCAAAAAAGCACAAAAGCAAACAAGCAAAAAAGCAAACATGCAAAAAAGCAAAAAAAGCAAACAAGCAAAAAAAAACAAAAAAACACAAACAAAAAAGCACAAAAGCAAAAACGCAAAAAAAAAAGGAGAAAGCAAGATAAAACAAGAAACCCAAAAAAAAATCCAAAAACGTAAAAGAAAAAAATTCCAAAAAAAAATAGGCCTCCAAATGTAAATGCAGCAGGAGGAAAAACAAGATAGGAAAAAACAAACGGGAACAACAGAAAGAAACGAAGGCGGAAAGGAAGCCAACAGAAACTGTCCCAGGAAAGGCATGAACACAAGAAAGGAAACAAAAGGAAGACAAGGGAAAACAGGTAAAAACCAAACGACAATAACTCCATGATACACCATTCTTGACGTTCGCTTCTCAAATGGAAATCTATCAACAAACATTAGTTGTAAGGTTTGCCTTCGTTTTAAAGGGTCACCTTCGTTTTTGCAGGTTTTGAGCTATATTCCATTCCAATACATATCCCTTGCATAGACCTTTTTAGTGGTAGCCCACATAAATACACCCTTCCGTGCCACTTCAGTGCTGGTTACTATACCTATCTGTCAAAATTATCTTTCTATCCTATCTTGCTCTATCCTCGGATGAATAGGTGCGTCATATGAGCAACGATGAGCAACGATGAGCAACGGCTTTTCACCCCAACAGCATTGCAACCAGGTGTCTTTCGCGGCATGGGCCCCTGCGGAGCGGGCCATCAAAAACAGAGCTCAAAAAACACATATTGACATCGGCAAGAATCGCAAGTGTCGTCCGGCAATCGAATTTGGCAACAATCGCAATCCCAAATTTTAGTCAAAACATCCTTTGCAAACAAGGGTTTGCAATGGCCGAAGCGTATCATGTGTATCCAAGCGCAAGGTGCGTAGGCCTGTCGTTCACTATTGATATAATACCTCCCACAATCAACGATAAACTCAGCAGCTTTTACCAAGTTCTGGTTCACACCCGCCATCCTGAAGATCATCCAGTTCAAAGTCCCACAGCACCCAGCAAAGCCTTGTCACCTTCCGGTTGCAGCCATTGCACCGAGCTGTCAATCAAAGTAAAATACCTCATCGACTAATCAGACTAATCGGAGATTGGACTGAGGAAACTGTAAATTTCGAGGTGTGCTGATGTTTGCTGCTGGATGTCCTGTGGTTTGGATGTGGGTTGTGCTATGTTGTGCTCAAATTCGGCAGCACAAGACTGCAGAAGTCTTGTCCCTGCCCTGACATGCCCTGACACTTAATCATTCAACCCAGATCGCGTGAGGGGAAGCAAAACGTACAGTACCCATACCACAAGCATCTGCAAAATCTATAGGCCATTTTTCATCAGCCATTCCAAATTTTTCACAGCACAGCCGCCATCAAACGTGTTCCACCAGGCCAGGCACATGTTGCACTGCTGGGGTGTCCAAATGCTTGGAAGGTAACCAGCAAAGCATCCTGAGCCAAGTCCAGGTCAGCGATATCAAGTGTCGGTGCTGCATATGACCCATGAATTGTAGGAAGGCTGTCAAAATGCACTCAATAATTATATCTCCAACCACCACCTTACAGATCTTACCAGTCATGCGCCAACCTCCCCATGACAGGGACAAGCACCAACCCATGAAGTTTCCAGTGGCCACCGATCCCAGCGGCGTCGTTTGTCGTCCAAAACCGGGTACTGCCAAGCTTGAGGGGACCGGTCCTGGCAAGGCCCTTTTCAGACCTCAAGAAATCATAAGAAATCACCATCCAAAGGGTACTGAGTTCCAAAACCACAGAACATATCAAAAGATATCAAAACCATGATGCTAACAAAGGTGAGAACCTCTGATTTTAAACTCCAAGTGCTGAGAAGATCCTTTCTTTTATAATTCGCTCAAAATAAGGCTCCACGGGCAGGGGTCCTTGACCAACGTCAAGCCGACTTGCTCCCGGGGAAATTCCCACCACTCGCCGAAGAGTTTGTCCTTGCAGGCGGCACACGCGCCAGCAGCTGTGAAACGATCATGGTTGTGGAATGTTGTGGACACCCATCGTGGAAACAAGGTGGAAACCATCTACGGCCACGGTATATGTTTACATGTTTTTTTTTTGTTTATGTTTGCTACCCTGATGACACCGGACTGAATACAACTTCCGCATGCTAAACAAATCCGGCAGTGAAAATGAGACGGATGGAAGATATATGAGCAAATAGTAGAAACATGTCTCGATGAGATGCTTGGATAGGTCTGAAGCAGGGTTGCGTTGTTGTTCAACAGTCGTGACATGGGCCATCGAACAACCATCGTGCGCCAAGTCTCGGGAATTGTCGGGCCTCCTCAGACACGTACGTGCATCCAATGATACCAAACTGCTAATTTGGACTGTGTCACGGCAGTGCTTGCAGAGTACATACGGTGCCTAAGACTGCGTACATACAACAAAAAAACTATATTAGAAATATATAGAATATTATAGAGTCATTAGCGATCAATGACAGCTTGACTGAAACCATGCAGTTGGCGCACAGTGGCTTTTAGAGTGCACACTCGTCAGCCAATCAACATCAATATGCTTTCAATTTGTTTGATTTCAGAAGCCCAACTGTCTCTACAAAAGTGTCTCGAAGGCCTCAAACATTTTTCGATATTATTTGATTCCAAGATGCTCTTTTTGTCTTTCTTCTCCGTCTTCTCTTTCTTTTCCTGCAAGCATGGAAGCCCCCCTTCCACGCTCGACAACAGCGCTTCATTCCTAGCTGGAGGCCAAAGGCCATGACATGCTTGATGAAGAAACAGAAGTTGTCAATATCAGATCATCATGTTGCCATCTTTTTCTGTTGTGTATGAAAGCATTCTGTAGGCACCTTCTTCTCATATTCCATACTTTGCCGAAATAAAGTCAGTCCGTCCTTCTTCTCTTTTTTGTGCTGGGCTTTGTCCCAGTCCTTCCGTCTCAAGGAACATTAAGTGAAACATATGGCGCGGTTTGCATGTCTTTGGTAATTTTCGATTGGCATGCTTCCAACCGTTGCAACAATAACTACATCAGTGCACCCACCCCAACAGCGATATTCCCAGCGTTTCACCCGATTCGATAAAGCCGGTGATCATTGGCAGGGACCTGCATGCTGAAGGATGAGTTCTCATCGGGCTACATCTAGCAGCAGAATCTAGCACTGATTTCCCCTTCCTACCTGGTATCTCAGTCATCACACGTATGCGACTGATGTACAGTATTTACGAAAACGCATGACCTACAAAAAATCTGACTGAAGTCAAATGCCTCCAAATTTTTGGCGCTTCCATGCGCTTCCCAACAAGTGAATAGCCCAGTCGCACCATCATGGTGTCCTGCCACTGCGCAGTGCCACCATCAGTCCAGTCCTCACGCCCAAGGCATTCCACTCAATGGTAACGGTCAGGGACACCTGGCTCTAGATGACTTGCCAATAGCTTCCACCTTCTTCCTTGGCCAACAATATTTTCATAATATTATACATGTAATATATATATAATTATATATATATACATATATGAGTGTGTATGTGTGTGTGTGTATGCTATAAGTATATAACCTTAAATACGCGTTTAATAATTCCATGTCAGAATCACTTCGGAATTCTACGCACTGGGGCAAGAACAACTCACCAGTTCCCAGGTCGCTCCTCCTGCCTTTGCCTTTTCCATGCTCCCTCTCCGTGTGCTTCCCAGGCCTGAAATGGATGCTCTGCTATTGCGAAACGGACAGGTGCATCCACTTGAATGTATATAGATATCTAATTATAGTCTATATATATATTATATTATGTATATGACTATGATTTGACTGATTTGAGGATGTTTATTTTCTCATGTTTTCATCATTTTATGCTTTGGCCCTCTTTTTGTGCGCCACTGAACAGTTCGGCCAAATCATGTGACTGAATGACCGCTCTTCCCAGTGTGCTGCTCTTCCCACTCTGCCTGGCCACTTTCCTAGGTGGCTCCCGTAGGAGGACTACCCCCATGGGAGCATTTTGCAGCTTGGAGGTTGAACCCGGCCGTAAAACGTTGCAAGGGGAACCTACCAATTCAAGAATTAGAAGCAACCAAAGAAGGTAACAGGTAACCATGTATCTCAGCTATTGTACTTGTTCCCCACTTTCAGAAGTCGTAGCATGAGAGGCTTCAAGTGGCGTCCAAAGCCCCAGAAAAAAGCAACCCTTCACCACATGATACAGTGGCGAGAGAAAACATCAATTCGGTGCACAGTGGCCCTTCGAAGAAGTAACCAGAATTGCCACCACCTTGCCCTAGTGATTCGGGACATCCAGCCAAATCTTCCAAACCCACCTATCTCAAGAATAGAACATTGAGCAACAATGTAGCAACATGAGTATATACATGTATATACTTAAGATTCATTGTCCTACTCATATCAAAAGACCCTCAAAAGAATCACCACATTCAGAACTGCGAGGCTGCGGTGCATTTTGCGCATCTGGGATTCCCATGACTTCCAGCTGCATCCAAGGCTCGTTCCAGGACTTGGACCTGGCTACTCTGAGGTGTGGAAAACAGCTGGTGTCAACCCCCGAAAAATATATGAAAGTCATTATGCCATTGGGCCTCACATCATCGTGCAAGGAAAAGACAGTAGTATATACACACATATATACACACACACGTATATATATATATATAACATGTATATCTATATATATATATAATTATATATACACATATTTGTGTGTGATTGCCTGTGTGAAATTATATATATATATACATATTGAATATAAACATCAGAATAACCGATGAAACTACCAACCAGAAAAACATCAGTTCTGATGGAAGTTCCTTGAGATCATCTTCCAAGGACAACTGCAAATGGCCTGTCGTCTGACCACCAACCGTTTCCACCATAGCTCCTTGTCACAGGATCACGGATCACAATCAGAGTCTTTGTGAAACATCATCACATCTCAATGTCCCCTGGATTGCTCTCACAACTTCTGGTGTTCATATGTGTTCATGACATTTCATGACTGCCATGGGTGGCAAATTCCATTGCAACTGCAAACAGCTCAGCTCGTTCAAGCCCTGGGTTCAGCCATGAATCGACTGATCTTTCCATTCTGACTGACCATCACCTGCAGTCCTGGAGCACTGAGAAGATTGGATACAACTTGAAAGCTCATTGGAAGGATGGAAGCTGATGGAAGGGCATTCAAAAAAAGTGTGAGCTCAAGAGCAGTGGGCTAGCAAGTGTCTGCAACAAAATGCCCGCTGGTTGTGCCGGCTATTCCCTCGCTCGCCAGATTGGGGTTCATGGCGGGCAAAAGGTATTTAGGTGATAATCTATCATACACTGCAAGAATAAACGATTGAGATTGCCTAATTTCAACCTGTTTCTGTATTGCGTGCGTGTATGGATTGCAACAAAATTTACAGTAACAAATAGACACAATTGTAAATGGGTGTTTACATGCGGTTTGCCAATCTTTGCCAGTTCTTTTCACACCATTCCCAGTTGCGCTTGTCATGCTTTGTTACGCAAGAAACCCCTGTCCTGGCATCCTCCGCAGCTCCTGCACACTACAAGCAACACACACACACTGTGGGACACACACACACTGAAGGTTGTCTGTTGATGCCAATAACATCACATAAACATCATACACAACAAAAATAAGCATAATAATAATCAATTATCAATATATACATGTATGTAGAATATCAACAAAAATAAATATAAATCACCTGTTGGTAATCTATCTAAAATAATGTTTGATCATGTCATCCCCCGATTTTTTTAAAACAACATAAACAACTCCAGACATCGATGTGCACTGACCATTTTAGAACATATTTTATACACGTGAGATCTGCGCCCATCGGGCCCCCGGACCGTCGCTTGGCGGTGGCCGGGCCTCAGAATGATGTGACGAAGGATGTGGCTCCACCCCAGGTACTCTCCCGTTCAGGGAGGTGCCACACCACACAGTGCCATCTGCCAAGGATCTCTTCTTGGCAACGGCTCATCACTCTGTCTACCTCAAAACAGGCGCTCTTGCCATCTCAATGGGATAATGTGGTGGGTTCCAGAAAAGATTGGGCAATATTGGGCATCAACAAAATCCCTAACTTGGACTTTGGGCATCCAATGTCTTTCCAAATCCAAAAACGTTGCCCAAACAGGCATCCAAATCCGGCAATCATATCAGCATCATTCAAAATGGTTAATTAAATTATGCTAAATCTCAATTCTTCGCATATTTTTGGGTCAGCCCAAAATGAAGCTAACGGTCAACGGTTCGTAGCTAACCCCTGCCAAGCGTCGAAGAGGTCGCCGACTACGTGAGCGACTTTCCCGGCGCCGGTCGCGGTGGTGATCCTTGGGGGTCAAGCACGGGCAGTTTCACAGTGGAGAGGTTTTCCTTGACACATTGAGTCTGACATACATAGGCATCAAACTGACCATAATGCCAGTAAAGTTCAGGAAAGCAATAGTAACCATTTCATATTTTACTATACATGGGTGGTATAAACCAGCTAATTATATGAGTGGTTTACCAATGCTTTACCAACATTATTTGAAGTACGTCTGACATAAACCTGAGCTGAATCCATACCTCCTTTCAGTATATCTGACGCCGCAATTCCTCATACATATATTGTGTCCTCATAATTTGAAAACAATCAACATCAATATCTTCAATCAATTGTCATTATACCCTTCAACCGATAGAAAAGGCCCTTGCGCGCACAGAAATAAGGGATTGATTTGAGTGAAAATGAACAGGAAACCATGGGTTCTACGCCCACATTTGGGGGTTCCGGAAAAAAAAAGGCCCTTGAACCAATTCCGGGAACCTCTGAAATAATGGGTCTTGACTTTCACATGTCTAGGCTCTCAGGAATTCGCAACCAAGGCTCCCCGTAGCCGTCGCGCTCATCGCGATGGTCACCATTCCGAGCATCATGGCCCCGGTCCTCACGGTACCTGACATATCGCCGAGGTTCTCTGGGCCATTCAGTCTGTATAATGAAGGCAAAACTAAGATACATACAATACATGGCGATTTTGAATGAGATAACATGGCTGTTTTGGCCTGATAGAGGGTACATTCCGTTCTCGGAAAAAAAGTCTGTTTGAATGAAGGGGAACAGATGGGAACAGCCGCCAGTCAAACCTGCCTCTCGTCTTCTCGGCCACTTCGCCCGCGATCATAGCGGTCCTCTGGCTCATCGCGAGCCTCTGGCGCAAACACTTTCAGTTGCAAACTTGCTGCTTGACTGGTTGATTGATCTTGATATGACACATAATATATACACATATAATACAGATATCTACCTGGCAAGCCTCAAGACTGGTAATTATCAGTCCGTTCTTTAAAAACACTTGGCTAACGGGCGGGATGAGGAAAAAAATCTCTCCGGAGTGGAAACTATGCTGATGTAGCGTTGCATTGGAATTGCATTCAAATAACGTTCATGCAAAGAACGTTAAAATAACGTTCAAAAAACGTTCAAGTAAACAAAAACATGCATTCAGCGTATCCTTGGGGGCGACAAAAACCGTTCAGGAGTGACAAAGAGCGTTCTCAAAAGACACGCCAATGAAACCTCCCTTGAGGCAAGAGCGTTCTGGAGCGACAAAATGAACATAATCTGGAAAAATGACTTTTCGAAAATGGACTTATAATTACCAGTCCTGTGGCTTACCAGGTAATATAATATCACAATATCGACAGTAATGTTTATTATACATTTTATTACTTATTTGCGCTAATCTAGCTCGCAAATGCTCACAGTGGGTGTCATCCTCGTCCACTTATTTCCACTGCGTCAATCAGATACGCAAACTGTTTTCATGAGACCTGCGGATACATCAAGTGACTTCTTGGGTGCAACCCTCTTACCATGTACTAGTTGGCGTTTAATGCATCACATTCATTCACATTCTGCCCTATGGAAATCCAACACAAGTCTGGGAAAATGCAATGAACATGCAAATGTCCGTTTGCTGCTTGCTGCCCCCGCTGCTCCCTACAGTAATATTCATTGGATGCGCGCACAAGGGCCACCTGGTAGTCGCGTCTGTCTCGCATGTCAGTTCCCATGCGACCACCACCAGGGCTGCCTCAATGGTCAGCTTGTGGCAAGGATGTGCCAGAATTTTGAACGCAGGAAATTTCGACTCAAGTTTTTGTACACAGTGAGACAGCGAGACCCATCCTCAAGCCTGCATTTGAATCCACGGTTTTCAAAACTGATTTATACAGAATATGGATGAATATGGTTTTTGTGGCCCGTTTTAGGGGGTTAGTCCAGTTGTGAAGCATCATCAATAGCCAGCTTGGGAAATGGATGGGCTACTGCACGTTGCTGCTGCCAATCCACTTCCAATGTTATCTGGCCAAATTGCTTTAATTCTTACCTCGTCTCCCTCGTGTCTAAATTTGTTCCCCATGATTACTGTCCTCGTTCGTTAATTTGCAGGTGCAAATTAAGGCTTTACCTCGTTAATTCGAACGAAGAAAGTAGCTTGTGGGCCTTCTTTCCAGGGTCCAACCCCAAGGAAAAAACTTTTCAGCTTCCGAAAAGTTTTTTTCCACGATCCACGGTCTCTTGCAGGGATGTTTAAATCTGAGTCTGATCGGTCTTTGCGCTTCTTGCGCTTGGGTGGTGACATCTCTGACATTATCGCAGGGATGCAATGCTCTTCTGGAGCAACTCTGATTTTTTTTTTTCCTTCCTTGCCTGCTGACCGGCCTCTGGCGATAGGAAATAAAACTTTTGGGGCCTGAAAAGTTTTTTTCCCTTCCTTGCCTGCTGACCGGCCTCTAGCGATAGAAAAAAAAACCTTTTTGGGGCCTGAAAAGTTTTTTTCCTTCCTTGCCTGCTGACCGGCCTCTGGCGATAGAAAATAAAACTTTTTGGGGCCTGAAAAGTTTTTTTTCCTTCCTTGCCTGCTGACCGGCCTCTGGCGACAGGAAATAAAACTTTTGGGGCCTGAAAAGTGTTTTTTCCTTCCTTGCCTTGCTGACCGGCCTCTGGCGATAGAAAATAAAACTTTTTGGGGCCTGAAAAGTTTTTTTTCCTTCCTTGCCTGCTGACCGGCCTCTGGCGATAGGAAATAAAACTTTTTGGGGCCTGAAAAGTTTTTTTTTCCTTCCTTGCCTGCTGACCGGCCTCTGGCGATAGAAAATATTTTTTTGGGGGCCCGAAAAGTTTTTTTCCTTCCTTGCCTGCTGACCGGCCTCTGGAGATAGAAAATAAAATATTTTAGGGCCTGAAAAGTTATTTTTCCTTCCTTGCCTGCTGACCGGCCTCTGGCGATAGAAAATAAAACTTTTTGGGGCCTGAAAAGTTTTTTTCCCTTCCTTGCCTGCTGACCGGCCTCTGGCGATAGAAAATAAAACTTTTTGGGGCCTGAAAAGTTTTTTTTCCTTCCTTGCCTGCTGACCGGCCTCTGGCGATAGAAAATAATTTTTTTGGGGGCCTGAAAAGTGTTTTTCCTTCCTTGCCTGCTGACCGGCCTCTGGAGATAGAAAATAAAACCTTTTGGGGCCTGAAAAGTTTTTTTTCCGTCCTTGCCTGCTGACCGGCCTCTGGCCCCCAAAAAAGTTTTTCTAGCCAAGCCCAAGCATGCAACAGAACCAATGCAAGGCTACCTCGTCGAGGTCGGCTAATTCTGATGAGCAAATTAAGGGCTGACCTCGCTAATTCCTGCAACCTGCCTCGTTGCCTCGGCTGTCCTCGCTATAATTTGTGCAGATGTTATGGGATGATGCTGCCAAGACCTGAGCAGTTAATGACCAAGTGACGTCGTCGACGAGCAAAGGGCCGGTGATAGTTCGAGGTACTGCGGCCTCGAATTCAGATTTTTTTTTGGCCAAAACATGTTGTTTTGGCCATGGGGTGCCATGGGTCATCCTTCTGAATGAATCCATGGCTATAACGGCAATTTCAAGGTCCTTTATATAATCATAAATCCCTGTGTAACAAGAACCGCCCAAATACATGATAATTTAAATGAAAATTCCATATAATTCTTGAACATCACAAAAAAATCTATCCATTGCCCGAACATAGCGTGAAACTCTAGTGCTTTGCAATCTGCAGATTACATCAGATTGCCACATCACGCGAAAATTCTTTGGCCAAGTCGCGGTCAAATCGCTTTAGCCTCCAAAAGTTGGGGCAGCACTGGTATTGTCTTCAAACGTCTCCTAGATTTTCCTAAACGGCTGGTTAACGATTCGAGGAGCTAGATTCGAAACCTCAAGCATCTCTAAATACCAGCATGCTATACATACAGTATATGCATACATATCCTGCAAACAACTGCAAACATTGGTAATATCTCACACCCTTAGCACTGATGCTATTTGTGCCAGATGACTACCATGTTAGGTGCCTATACAAGAGGTGTCTCAGATTTGAACCCCCTGTGCAGCGAAGCCCCATTAGACTGAATTAGACTGAGCTGCATTTGAAAGTAGCGGGGTTTGGCCAGGGACCTTTATATACACAATTCTCTTGTGACCACTCCTTCCAGACAAACTGAATCCCAACCGGTCCAAGTGCTGTCTGATCGCACTTTTCGGTTGGACCTTTGTGACCAAATCGGCATCCTTCTTCTTGCCGTTGACCTTGTCCACCAAAAGTTCCTGTTCTGCAACTTTATCTTGTAGCCACAGAAGGCGCGCCTGGACATGTCTTGTCTGTCCATCTCCACGCCTCTCTGAGGTTGATTTTGCTGCACTGCTGTCCGCTCGAAGTTGGGTCACCTTCAGCTTGAAACCCCAAAACAACAGCACATTCTTCACGAACTCTGCGAAAGTCAAAGCGCTCTGCTATATCGTTGATCCTCACCCTCACTCTTCTCCTGCTTGGGCTCAAAGGTGATGTTGTCCTCGACCTCGAAGCATCGGCTCGGAATGGTCTCTCCCTCCTCGATCTTGACCTCGATGATCTCCTCTGGGATGATCTGGTTCTTGAAGATCTTCTGGAATGGTCTTCATTGGGCTCAATGATGTCATCACCTGCTGGTTCTTTTTCTAACTCCTTCTTGTGCATCTTCTCCACGGTCCACAACGGTCAAGGTGTCCACCTCAAGCGAACATAGCTCCAGGCCACTGGCTGCAGCAGGTTCAGGTTCTGGATGGCTCTCAACTGAAGCCACGGGTTTGGGCTTCTGATTGCCCCCTGATTTTCCCTTGCCCTTGCCACTGGTCGCCCAGCATGCAGCTTTCTTGTGACCGGGCTTTCCGCAGTTGTTGCGCTTGCCTGCAACCCCTTCCTTCTTGGGGCTGTTGCTGGCCGATCTGGAAGATGAGAAGATGAGCCACCTTTGCCCCCTGATTTGTCCTTGCTCCAGCAGTCCTTCTTTCTATGGCCATACTTGCCACAGTTGTCACAATTCCCATGCAACTTGGGACTTGGCTTCCCTCCACCAGATCCTTTCCCTTTTCCATCTCCCTTCGTTTTGGCCAAGGAAGAGATGCTCCCACTCACCACCTTCATGAGGCTGTCGACATCCATTGGCACCACTCCAGAACCGCTTGGTGTCTTTGAGAAGTTCAAAGAGATGACCATCTTGTTGCCAGCCTTCGCCTCCATATAGTTCACCACCTCTCGCTCCATGTCCTCGAAGGTCTTGAAGCGGACGAGGTTGAGAAGCAAATGTTGTTCTAACTCCTTCGGCACCGGCTTCTCCAAGGCATTCATGGCCAAGCTTTCAGGAAAGGCTTCTCGAGCTTCAAATTGATCTTGTTTTCAATCATACCGGCCCCTCAGCATCTTGCATCTCCCTAGGGCCATCTGCATGTTCCCATAGCTAGATCTCTCAGGAATGGTCAGCGCCTGAAGCATGACTGGAACCAGTTGCAGGATCAAATCGACGGCGAAGACATCGCCAAGCTTCAAGGCCTGAGCCAGTTGGGGCGCTCTCCACCACATCAAATGGAACCCTTGTTGCCCTCAAAACGCTATAGAGCTGTGCATTGAAGTCATCCTCATCCTCCCATTGACCCAAGAGGTCTGCATTCGTCCCATAGTTGTTGCTCACCTCCAAGCCAGTGACCTCCATTCAAGCACTTCTCGGGATTTCCCACCGCAGACACGACAGACATAGTCCTCCAACTTCACACTCCAAAGCCTGAACTTTGCCTCCGCATCGTTCCCCGGGGTCTGCGGTTTTCCAAAGCCTTTCACATCGAACACGGCTTTCGGTTTTGACATCTTTGCCAACGCATCGGGAAGACCTTGTAGGGCTCGTAGGACTTCAGTTGCACCAACTCCTCCATGAGTAGGGCTCCCAGCAACTTGCGCTTGAAGTTGAGCAGCTTGAGCTTGAGCTTGCGCAGCTTGGGCCTGAGCTGCCTGAGTCTGGGCCTCATAGGTCGTCATGCGCTCCCGCAGGGTTTGGTTCTCCTGCTGCCCTGGGGCCACTTGTTGCTGCAGCTGTCCAGTCACCTGTGCCAGCTCGTCCATGTTCGCGGCCGCCATCCTCACCTCCAAGGACTAAACCAAGTAGTACCCAATGTCACGACCAGGAGTGTCAGGATGATGGCCAGGATGTGTAGCCACACCAAGAACAGCCTCTCCAGCACAAGCTTTGTCTCCTGGTTCTTCTCGGTGAGGCTCCAAGCACCAAGGGACTCAACAGCGCCACGCGTCCCTTCTGGATCGGTTCAGGGGTCGCTACCATGCAAACATGGGTTATATACCACACCCTTAGCACTGATGCTATTTTATGCCAGATGGATACCATGATAGGTGCCTATACAAAAGGTGTCTCAGATTTGCATATACTTGAATTATACAAAGTACATGTCATTATAAATATGTATATATATGTATATGTATATAACTAATATATGTGAATAATTAATATAGGTATTACTGTATATAAAATTAATTAGACATATCAATGAATATATATATATATAATATATGTATATATGCACAATACATCGAAATATATTATTTAATGCAAAATACATATCAACGGCTACTGCCCGAACCCAGGATCTCCAGCTCGGGCGACAGTCAGAAACCCGCTGCTGCTTCCTGGAAGTTACCACAGTTACCTCTGCTAAACATGGCTACCTGGGAAATCCTTTTAAATGGTCATGGGATGTCATGGGATGTCATGGGATGTCATGGGATGTCATGGGATGTCATGGGATGTCATGGGACATTTACCTACAAATGTTGCAAATGTAGGATTTTCGTGGATGTTCCATTTGTTTAATTATTAATTACCAGATGGCTACCCATTTTTTCCACCAATCTTGCCTCTCTTCCTTCTGTTGGCCCAGGAAACGGTTTTCCGAAGAATTGGAGGAACTACCTCAGCGCAAAGTTGCACCCTAATTGCAGCCTTGATTAAGGCGTTCATCAAGGGCGTTCAATAACAAAGAACGGACACTCGGAAAAAAACATAATTAAGGAAAGCATATTGCACATTACAAAAGTCACACCAGCATTTACATCAGTCATATGTGGGGGTTTCAAAAAATGGGGAGGGGTACCCCAAATCATCCAAGTCATTAATTAGACTATTTTAGTATTGAAACCCATAATTTTCGGGATCACCCTTTTCAAGAAACATCCAGATCCATATAGTACTACGTGTATCCTGCATCCCAGCGGCTGGAGGAACTGCTAGAGCTGCTTGAACTCCGAGCTTTTGCTCCTGTACCAAGCTGTGGTGCCCTTCCAAAGACGTGCCTCACTGAGATTTTTTTGGCGAAAGCCTCAATGATGGTTTATGAATTATGAATCTATCAGAAAATGACACCAAGCGCCTGCACCAACAAAATGTCGCATGCATATGCGTGCATCACAATCCCCATGCTAACTCCTATCCGTCCCATCCCAATCGGGGCAACGGTATCCAATACGGTCTTAGGGCTGACTTAGACCATGAGGGCAGAAGTCACCCATTGCACCTGTGGTGGGAGCTGTTCCACCGGCAGCCGGTGCTGTCGGAGCGGTGGCGGTTCCTGCGGCTGCCTCAGAGCATTGCGTGGAAGCGGCCAATATGATTTGGGTGCTTTGGGTGGTGGGTTCCACATCCCAAAATGTTCTGAACGGATTCAAAAGTGTCAGGATCGCATCCTTTTAGAATATCCATGAGTCTATGGGTATGACTTCCGCAAGATCACAATTGTGGACCAGGGTATCATAGATTATATATTATATTATATATATCACAACTCTCCTGCGAGAAAGTGACAAGCATGTTCTTCAAAACAGTTGTGTGCTGATCCTGCCATCCAATGCAGTCAACTGGAGATGTTCAGTTGTGATGGATTTCTTTCCTGGAACCTGTATAGTCCACCCATATTGAGGACATTGTGATATTTTTAGGGTCCACCATTGAGAAACACTGAGCAAATTGTGTGGGCTACGGGGTCTTTCATTTTGATCCACACCCTCCGGCAATGTTAAAAACATCGCAACGGAAATCGTGAACGCATTTACGGTACACACAATCATTAGCAGCATCTTCCCATTCTATATTCCAACCGCTGAATTTTCATTATCACTTATATACCCCAAATTTACCCATCAAATTAACCATTGGAATTTCTTTCTCACCATCGCCATTGGACTTTGGGGCACCCTATCATTGACAAACCATACAACTGCCAATTCATGGGTGACATGATTCTACAATCTTCAACATGATGATGAACCATTGAATGTTTATGGATTTTTTGGCGGTACCATTGGGTACTCTATTTTTAGAAGCCAAGCCGCAGGTGCCTTTTGCTTGCGCTTGCCTTCGTCTGATGAATCGCCCAATGAGATCACCTGCGGTGTATCTATGGGTCAAGTGATTCATCAACAGTGATATATCCATAATATATATATAATATTCACTATAATCTATAATCAACATATGTTGATATACTGTATACATATGTGCGCGCTGTGAATCCATGCCACAAAATATGCACATTATGCGAATGACCCAGGAATTTGACTACGTTTGTAAAAACCTCACATTCTGAGATCATTTGATGGTAGCCTATTGATGGCCATCAAATGACTGCAATTTGAAGAGTCATCTTATGGGGTACTCTTTAAAGGGTTCCAGTTTCAAAGCGTGACAAACCGTGACAGATCGTAGCGGGCCTACTATTTTCTATTAAAAATCCAGACGTTTGATGGCAAATAGCGTGACTTGCCGTGACAGCCCGTGACGGGGCCACTTAATGCCCAAAATGCCACCCGCAAAATAGGGCATCCGCAAATGACATGAAAAAAACACATCGGATGGCATCTGTAGCAAAAAAAAACATCTACATCAACAAATGACATGAAATAAGTGCAACGCAGGATCCCTATATAGGTATATAGCATAATTATGCATAATAACATAGTGCTAACTTAAACATATACTTTTATAGTACTCGACCATCCATTTTTGGGGAAACAATGGCGTATACTCATGTCTCATTATCTTGATCCAGGCAGTGTAAAAAGTTGTGATCTCTCTATCTACTGTATATATATACACACGTATATATTAAATTATATTAACAATTATTAACACATACACACACACATATATATATATATATACACTGTATATATATATATATATTTATTACCTATATTTTGTTGCTCGGTTTGCCCCCAGTTTCGCTGGTGCTCGTTACAATTACCAGAAGTGGCTAGTAAGTATGGATTGTATCATAAGTATAATAATATCTATAGAATCTATGCACGAAACTATTCCCCGCAATCTGGATGCGTCAAAATCCGTGCAATTCTCAACACATGCCATTGCTGCTACCCCTGTTGGTTTCGAGACTCATAAGGCAACAATTTACCAATTCCTCCAGTCTAAGGCTGCCACTGACTTGCTCCTCTTGACCCATCCTTACATGGCCAATCTGCAATCTAGAGAATGGCTCCCCAAAGGGCCCCAAAGGATGTGTTTAAGCCCTAGTGGCATGGCATGAGAAAGATATAACATGGCAACTCCCCGTCATCATGAGCATCACAGCGTCGGAAACAAAAGAAGCAATGATTTGGAGCCATTGAATGACATCAACAAATACGATAACAGAACTCAATGACAAAATATGACAAACATGGTCCATGTATGCCAGCGGATATGGTACAAACACCTGCGCCTTGGATGAGAAACGTTCAGACTGAAGGAATCTGAATAAGACATCGGCTGGCTTGACATGGATTGAACCATGCCATGTCATGCCTCAACCACCACAGCACTCATGCTTATATAATTACAACTCTTTTGTTGGATAAATATTAATATTAATATCAGTGATATTCAGTGATCATCTTCCCAAAAAGCCATATCAAATTCCAAACCAAAGGATTTGAACTCACCAAATCATACCTCCATGCCCCCGTCCCGGACGTCGAGAAACCACAGTTATTGCACTCGTTGCGTTCATCTTTGTTTGGCTCGTCCTTGCCAGGTCCCAGCCATGTATCATCATCCCCTGGAAAAAGACAGCACTTAGCCTGCACGCCTTGAAATTTGGAGTGACAGCCACAGAACATGTCAATTTCAAATGCGTCCTCAAACATATATAGGACATTGATGGTCATTGTTCAAACCAAGAGCTTGTTACGCTTCTGGCTTCCAATGTGTGTTTCTGGGGGCCACGTTCTGAAGAAACGCGAGGTGTTGCAACTGCAGTTAAGGCTCACAACGTGGACAAACCTCGGATGGGCCATGTGCTGTATCATCAGCCACTATCAATAGATGCTGAAAACCTACCTGTACACATATATAATTATAGAGTGTATCTAATACATACACGTTGGTGTGGGACAACCGGGACTTCAACAGAAGCCAAAATTGATTGCCAGTTGCTGCGTTTCTTCGACGTCTGATTGCCAAATCATCCCAGGCCATTTCAAGGCACCCATTTCTCTTTCGGTTTTGGTCTCGGCTGCTGGCAACCTGAGCTGGTGGCAACGTTGACCCGGGGATATCTCGCCATCTCGGAAACTGGTGGCAAGAACGCCAGAAAGGAACTGGATGAAAATGAGCATTTGACACTCACATTAAGTTTTTCCTTGGGCAGTCTCAGATGATTTAACCACAATCAGCAACAATCATTGATCCTGGGTGATTTATGATGATTTCACACCAAGAAACTATTGCACACAGTCCTCTCACCTTTGTTGGGCTCGTCGCATGCCGGACATACCCAACCTCATGGCATCTGTGTTGTGTCCAGTGGGTCCACTGGTGGATTGATGGCAGCTGGTGGCTTCAAGCTACATATCTTAAACATCTTTGAAACCATACCAAATACCAACAAAAACGATATAAACATATAGAAATCTAATGATCTTACAGTTCTGATTCCAAGATGCCTACTGAAGTAGATTTGCATGTGTGTCTGACCGTGGCTGTGCAATTACCCTCGTTGCTACCTGGCAATCCCCACTTACTTTGCTGTCCCAGTGACGCTCAGGTGGTTGCACCTTGGGGCAGAGAGTTCGTCCACAAGACCAGTGTCATCTGATAAATTTCAGCACTTGCTTTGTCAAGCACAAGATTATGTTTACACACACAATATGAGATTGTATCACATATACATACATATCAATATGTGCACAGACACACACACACACATATATATATATCAAACAAATAATATGCAGATATACATATTCATATAACCTATTGTTATAAGTAAATCACGATACAACAGATTGCATCGGCTCGGTTGGCACTTTGGCATGGGTGTCCCGAGTTTCTGAGTTTCTGTTCTTACGTTCTCCAAGCAACTGCTGCTGCAGCCCTTGCTGCTCCACAGTTGTTACACTGCTCCTTGGCTGCTTGTAATCTAACCCTGGGATGCTGGCCCACTAGTAGAGACATAAAGCTGCTAAATGCCTAGAAGCAAATTTGGGAGGCAAAATCTGGCAAAGTAATGCAAAGTGCGCCAGTTCCATGAATTTTCATCTTAGCACTCTTCAGTGAAACTCTGCAAAGGAAACCATGAAACTCGTCTGTGTTGGGAGCAGCGCCTGGGGCCTGAAATGGAAGAGATCTAGCTATACTTAATTACTTGATTCACTACCTCCAAACTGCAAGGGCATCCCTACCTTAGGCAAACAATGGCAAAATATGGCAAACATGTTCCCAAATTCTATGACTCTCCGACCTTCTCTTACCAGTAGCACTTTTTCTCTCACTTCGAGTCACGAGCTATGCCACCACTTGCCATCGGTCATTAAAGGCCAAGAGGCGCGTTGCGCTTTGTTGGGCTCGTCGCATTTTGAACATTTCCAGCCCTGTTCAGACGGCTCCGTTGACTCCTTTGACTCCTTGGGTTCTGCTTCCGCCTGAGAGGGACAGGGACAACAATGACAACCATGATCAAATTTCAAAAAATAACATATAATGTATATAAATAAATATATAATATATATATATACATGATTATATGTAAATGACGACGACAGCAAAAGATAAAAGGGACAGCGAGAAACAGAAAGAAACATTTATTGCCATAACAACAATAATTCTACAATGGTTGATTCCAAAAACGGAGATAATAACGGCAATCAAAGCAAGCAACGTCACAACAACACGCTGCGCGATAACACCACCCGACTCCTCTGCGCCTCGCCTCAGCCTCTGCCATGAATCTCCGCCATGCGCAGCAATGAGGCCGAAGGCCGGTGGCTCAAAGTATTGGAGTCCCTAGGTTTCAGATCTTGGCTGTAGACAAACAATTGCAAAAGATCCTATAAGTTGGTGAAGTTGAATTCAAATCACCAAAATGATCTCAAACGCACACATTCTCAGCATTGATTCAGCTCTTGCAATTTGACAATGAATTTTCTGATGGCATGGCTCTTGCTTTGCCCCAAATGTTCGCAGGATCTTTGGCTTGCTGATTAAATTATGAGGTTCCGGAAACAGCATGTTTCCACAGCCTTCAATGACTTGAAAGCAAATGCAAAAGATTGGTTCTTGACTAATACCAAATGCCTGGCTTTTCCGGATGTTCCAGTGTCAGCGCAACTCTTTGAGCCGTAAAGGGTGGTCAGTGGTCAGTGTGGGTCAGACTACCCCACCTCTCCCCATCGCCGTCTCCAAAGAGTTCAACATTTGGGATTGCTCCCTCCATTTCCCCAAGTGGTATCAAACGGTGGGGTAGCCAACGCTCAAAAGCAATGCGGCAATATGGCAATAATTGCACTCATGATAACGGACTACTGTGACAATTTCTAGCTATTTATATAACCATCCCCGGCACCCAGCACCAGAGTCACTCTGCCATTTTTGTCATAATGAGATCTAGATCTTGGATGGACTTTCATCATCAACCTTGAATATCACCATTGTATACCATTGTCATAGTATCATTAACATTCATTAACTGCATCACTAGATATCATTGTTGTATTGAAGGGTCGGAATGCCATAAAGTCAACCTAACCTCAACCCATCACCGCTGGACAGCCTGGCTTTGGCAGGCCTCAGTCTGTTCCCAACTGGTTTATCACAAACCAAACGAAGGCGACCATCATCAAATTCAACAAACGTAGTTAAATCGCAATAATCAGGATTATGATAAAGTATGTATATATATATATATATACATCCATGCAGCATGCATGGGTAGAAAGATAGATAGATAGATAGATAGATAGATAGATAGATAGATAGATAGATTAGATAGATAGATAGATGGATAGGATAGGATAGGATAGGATAGGAAAAGAAAGGACAGAATAGGATAGGATAGGATAGGATATAGAATACAATAGAATAGAAAAAGGATAAGATAAGATAGATAGATAGATAGACAGACAGACAGATAGATAGATAAATAGATAGATAGGATAAGATAGATAGATAGATGGATAGGATAGGATAGGATAGGATAGGATAGAATAGAATATAATAGAATAGATAAGATAAGATAAGATAAGATAGATAGATAGACAAACAAACAGATAGATAGATAGATAGATAAATAGATAGATAAGATAAAATAGGATAAGATAGGATAAGATAGGATAAGATAGGATAAGATAGGATAAAATAGGATAAAATAGGATAATATAGGATAATATAGGATAAAATAGGATAAAATAGGATAAGATTAGATTAGATAGATAGATAGAAAAACAATTCAATCCAACTAACATGATGGAAATTACTTTTCTATCTGTCTTTTTTCAGGTGCACTGTACAGAACTATGTAATTATTATCGAATATATATATATATATGAATATATTGCTATCACCACACTAATAAGTAGCCTTGGATGGTTGTGGAGCATTGAAAGCCCCCGGGGGTTCCATGTTTGACCCATAGCCAACTGCCTGTTGTCTGGACCTCCGGCCAGTGCGATCCGTTCCAAGCTCGGGTCGCGATTCATTAGATTAGCAAAGGGATTTGAAACTGCCGGCCATTTTGGCTATTTGGGATCGATTGTTTGGGCGCAAATTTTGTGGGCTACTCCCGTAGATGTCCAATCCAATTTGAAGATTGACGTCATCAAGGTGGCTTGAATATGACCACCACCCAAGTATCAACAGCTTCCAAATGTGTCCGTAACCAACTCAGGGCCAATCAAATTCCACGCACCTCCAGCTTGCTGTCGAGCGTAACTTTTCTGCCGCCCCAACGAGCGGTCACGGCTGGTTGCCCCACAGCACTCCATGAGCCAAAGCATGGCTTTGCCACCGTCAGCATCGGAGCCAGCCAATTTGCTTCGAGTGAATAGCTGGGAATTGGATAGTATCAGTGCAACTCAACGTTAGCTGGCGCCTTTTCAAGGAAAATGGGGATACCCAAACATGGTCATTTAAAGGGAAACTGATGCTTAACCAGTGGATTTAGGGATACCATATTCTCAAACAAACCCATATCATATACAACATCTGTGACTGTCTGTTCCCTTCAATGTGAGACTTTCTTTATATAATATATCCCAAGGTCTAGATTCTATCCTGCACTCCAAGTAAATGATGTGAATGGTTTTGGGGCCTTTAAAGTCCCTGCAGTTTGTGCACCTGATCCCAGCAAGTCACTGGTTCAGAAACAGGCATTGGTCAAAAACATTTGCTTTCCACAACTTCCAACCATTGGCCATCAAAGGAATCATTCAACCTCCGGGCCAAATGGCAGGCAAACGGTTTGGCCTAACCGAAACGCATAAACATATATAAAGATCATAAACACAGAGAGGAAACACCAAAGTTTGGTGAACAATAGTGAACATGTGAGATCTGAAACTTTCTCGCCAAACCGGCAGCTCAATCACTAGACTTTTTGGAAAGAAATGGTCTGATCTCTTGCAGAACTTGGTGGAGATCAGGGTCGCATCCATCACTGGTAATTCGCTCCTTAACATTCGACCGATGCAAATGGAACCTGGAATTTGCTCAGAGTGCTGCACGAAATTCAGCGGAAACATAAATTTATTTGGATACCAGTCTGTTGCATCGAATCACTGGGCATCTTGGCTGCAAAGTCAACCGTTTGAAATTCTAGAATTTTCTAGATGACCAAATGTGGCACCGACACAGTATCCAGCCATGCCTTTGTAACAATTTGTAACCCAGCTTTCCCACATTTTTCCGCCAAGTGTCAAAGAGCTGCACTGAACTTGCCAGTTTCGGAGCATCAAAGTGTCCCAACAACGACGTGGGGCTTCTGCCCGCTTGGAGCTGCTCCAGGACCGCCGTCATGATGGCCATATAGTTCTCTCCTGGGTCTGTGAGCTTTCAGAAAGAGATTCTCCTTGGGTTCAAAATCGCGGTCCCACTCTTAATCTTCAATGAAGAATTGGTACAATTGGTTCCGCAAGACCCAGGGTGGAACCAAATAGGAACTGAACCGGCCACATTTGCTTTTCTTACAGCTTCAAGCGTGGCGAATCAGAACAGGAATCACCCAAGTGTTTGCATGTTTTTACACCACTTCCCGGCCGTGGTTGCAGTGTGGAAAGCGTCTCACATGCAGTTTGTTACTTCCTTGCTGCAGTTTGAGGGTGAAACGTATTTGAGAGGCGCTTCTGGTTACAGTGGGGAACTTGCCATTTTTGGTTATCGTTCGAGCACCACAGCCAAAGAAAGAAAATGCGTATGGCTGGCTCCATGTGGCTACGATTGGCTACGACGTTGCTATAGGAATTATTTCCACATTTGCGGCTTTGCTCGCTAGCATTCAAGTAAAGGGATCAACCAAGACTATATCAGAGCGGAACGTGTTTGCCATCATTCAATAATGGCAGGGTCAATCAAAATATATTTGAGTCCCTTGTGCTATGCACAGAGTCAATCAATAGCATTGAAGGGATCGTTCTATCTGCAGGACCAGCTAAAAATACACCTACATGGTGGGTTTCTGTTCTCGTTCTTGGCACAGAGTTGAATCAAAACTCCAAACATACGCGTTCATCAATCCGCATTTAGGGCAGCCAATTATATAACCTGCACACAAGCAAGAGACCGCAATTTGCAAAAACCCAGCAAACGTGCAAGGACGAGGTTTTTGATAGAACGCATTTTGAGGGCACGTCGCTGACTCGGTTGGGTGGCTGGCATGGTGATGATGAGCTGGTCATTGGATCGAAGTCAGCGTTGCGACAAACGTTGATTTTGACATATGTTGACTAACATATACTAACATTATCAATATCAATGAGCCCGATTTGTATATAGCCTGATGCAGCGCATTATATTGCACGGGGGGGGGGGCCGTATTTTTCTACTCTTTCTGTTTCTGTGCCTTGCAAGAACTGGGGGAAAATTGATCCGCATTGAGGAAGCGTCCAAATGGACAAGTCGCTCAGGCCCGCCTAAAAAAATGAACCCCAAGCGATGTCCAAATAGCATCAAATAGCATCAAACAGCCAAATGTTCAGAGGTCGGACGGATCTTCTGAGGCACTTTTCCTTTGAAACGCTGCTAGTTTTTGGACCTGTTGGGCATCCCCCCAGTGCACCTTTTCACTTTGAACATGTTTAAGAACTGGGTTCAAACGCGAGCCTGTGTTTCCAAGTTTGCCTTCAGCTCTTGCGCCAAGCTGCGCAGGTTCACCCCATCATCGGTCTCAAATTTGAGGAAAGCCTTGGATTGACAACTTCTGCAGAGCATGCCCTGCAATTAAGTAGAAACCAACCTTCCAAAAGCGTGTCTCATGTTTCACAAGGCAAGAAGAACGAATCACCTGATCAAACCCAAAAGCAAACTGGCTGGCTTCTCTCACCTCCCTCAACAAATCAAAACATGTGGCAATCCATCAGACATGAACCATGCCCAGAACCCATGAGTTGCATAGAAATATGATCGTGACGGAACCATTTTTAACTACAATGAAAACAACACACTGAAACTTGTCTGCTTCTATAGATTGGAACACGTCGCACGAGCGATGACCGAGCTTACTCATGACGTTTGTTTCGTGAGCGTTCGAATGCATCACCTAGGGGAAATAGTTTACGATGAGGAAAGGCGACGCAAAACTAAAACCACATCAAAGGTGTTTACAGTACAGTCAATGGGGCTACGCAAGATCTCCACACAAATTCAAATGGGTGTCTCACAAAATTAGGGTTCCCAAAAACATTCGTTCCTCCCGTGAAAACGGACGAATTAACTCGGATTAGTTTGGGCCCCCCCGACTTAGGAAACCCTCAAACGACAACCAAGAAAGAACCAAGAGGCCCTCGCTTCCTCATCTGACCTCAAGGCAAACTTTCTATTCACCTTAGCTGACACGGACAAACGCCCGTTTTCAAGGGGATGAAACGGGCTTTGGAATCCAAATGAACACACCAGCAGGCCTTTATTTCTAATGTATCAATTCTAATTCATGCTACATCCGAAAGGCCCGAAGGAGGGCAAAGGGGTTGCTGATTGGGTTTGTAACATAGATTGAGCACATATCCAAAAAAGCACAATAAACAAATTCTCCGACACCCCGTGGACGCCGTGGATCCCCCTCACGTTGGCGAGATGCAGAGCTTCCACGTTCCACGCCATTGACGATGTGCGGAGGAGTGGGAATTGTGAACCACATCCTGCACGGGTGCCAGTGGAATATCCTCATCCTTGTCGGTTCTTGTCTGGATAACCATGTGATTGTTGCTGTTGTTGTTGCTGCTGTTGTTGTTGTCGTTGTCGTTGTCGTTGTTGTTGTTGTCGTTGTTGTGGTTGTCGTTGTCGTTGTCGTTGTTGTCGTTGTCGTTGTCGTTGTCGTTGTGGTTGTGGTTGTGGTTGTGGTTGTGGTTGTGGTTGTGGTTGTGGTTGTGGTTGTGGTTGTCGTTGTCGTTGTCGTTGTCGTTGTCGTCGTTGTCGTTGTCGTTGTCGTTGTCGTTGTTGTTGTTGTTGTTGTCTTGTTGGTGTACTACCGGGAACAAACGATGAGAAACTTCTGGAGGATTATATAACAACATGTTCTAGTGACTTGGTTATCTCACCCACAAAATGTGTATCAACTCATTGTTGGAGAGGATCTGCCCCCACCCATGCTTTAGGGAATGCATGGGAGATACATCAAAGCTAATCCTTGGAGGTTTCTTCTCTTTGCCACCATTTTTGGCATAGTATCATCATTATCATCGACGGCTCAGCTGTGCTAGCCGAAGAAAATCCAAGTTGGGTAAGCTGTTTGATGCTCAGCGCAAAAGCGTTCAAACAATTGTATCAATGTAAGCGCTTCCCCGCAATATTTAATAATACCCTAGAAACCATGGTTTAGGATTTGATTGGATCTAGATGATCTAGTCAAACTCGCCGGGAGCTACAGAAAAGACACCCAGTAAAATGTTGCCGGAATTACAGGCAATTAAATGCGTTTCTTTTTTGTGAAACAAAGTCGCCTTCATCCTTCTTCCCAAAGGCAAACATAGTAATTATGATGGTATGTGTATTAAATAAATGTCAGGATATAATGCTGTTGGATTGGTCAATATTAGACAAGGATCCAGCAACTGGATTTCCTCCCTTGGCAAATCTCTTGCAGGGCTCGGTCAAAGGTATCCTCAGTGGGGTGATTTCATGATTTCCATGGAGACCATGTGGAAACAAATACCATGAGTGATACGTGGCGATCGCGCTTTAATGGGGCGACGGAGCCCAATTGCCTTTCTTGAAAGCAAGGCCCGGAAAACACGGCAGTGAAATGGGTTGCCGTTTCTTAGCCACATGTGCACCGGCCAGCGCAGTGTCGTGATGCCAGGAAATGCAATAATTGAAGGCCACCTGCATTGAACTGCTTCGTGGGCAAAAAAGGCTGTCCATCACATTGCAAACTGGCCGTGTCCCATTTCCACCCATTTTCCACATCTATCCAATTGTCCACCCATCAAAAACTTAGAATATTTCATATACTTCACAATATCTTCAATGATTTTCCCATCCTGTTCCTATCCTTCCCCCATCCTATCCCATCTATTCCCCGCCATCCATGCGCTTCCACCCAAGCATCCCGTTGTGCATCGGCAAACCGCTGCACGTTGACGGGTCGCGTCTCAGCTTCCCGAAGGCCCCGAAGGCTGGCAGCACGGCGCTGAGACTGCGCTCCTGAGGCGCCAGCAGCTTGGCTCATGGGATCAATAACATGGCATACCTCATGGCATACCTATTTCCATGTCTATAGAGCCTATATTCTATACCTAGTCTTCACTATGTATCTATCTCTACTATATGTATATCATTGTCAACACACACACACACACATATATATATGTATATATATTATAATAAGATATAAGCATATATATATAATTTATAAGACATATCGATTATGTATGCATACATGAATGAGTCAAATGATGAATTCCGCAAATCTTTGTTTTTCCATTGTCCACGTCCAGTTGATACAAACATGGGGTGTGATGCCAATACAGGCATCCCAGTTTAAGACCAAGCGATTTGCTTGGCGTTGCAGCTTTGATTCTTGGCGTTGCAGCTTTGATTCTCTGCGCTGCAGCGCTGGAATTCCGGCTCTCTTGCGGCATCCGCGGGGAGAGGCTCCGAGCGTCCTTGGTGGATTCACCCAAAGTTGGTGAATAGTTAAGCTCACAATTTCTGTAGATTTTAGGTTAACCCGTAACACACCAATAGTGAATAGCCAAGGTTCATGAAGGACAATACCAAAGATATGATTGTTGTTGAGGGATGTTGAGGGTGATTGTTGGTGGGCTGGGGGTGCCCCAAAGTTTAAGTGGTTCCAACCCATCCCCAAAAAATCTTGAAAGGCATACTTACTCCAAACAGAAATGGGTGGTGCCATGCAACAAAAATAAAGAAATAACAATCCAGGTAGGCTCCCAAACCCACAAACTCCCTCAACCAAATGATTTTGACAATGGATTTTCTTTAGCCATGTTTGATGTATACTTCCAGGGTTTGGCCTATATTGTTGCCGAACAACTGCATCAATTATTGATGCTTAATTAATCTCAATTCCCATTCGGTTGAACTCCCATTCTTGATAGAGACATGTCTGGAAACATATCTTTTCTTTAAAAGAAATGGGGTCGATTTTGCACATTTGCCATCACTGAGTTATTTGATGTTATTTGCTCATGCGTTGCAGAAACTGGTGGCCTCTGCATATCAATCAACCAGTGTGCGATAGGACATCTGATCCCATCATATCCCCATGATCAATCGTGAAATCCACACTTGTGATAGGTGAATTTGTTGAAATCTTGGGTGTTGATGGATGAATGAAATCAGTCCTTACTTTCTTGCTTTCTGTATGGATCCAAATTGACACAGTGGTACCACGTGGTACCGTTCAAATACCCATCTTCGATGACCCCCGGCCAAGTCTCATTGACTCCCTCGCGATTTCGCCCGCGCGGCACTGGCCGTCTGGCCGAGACCGAGCTGGAGCGCGGGGGAGGAAGCAGCTCCTGCAGCAGAGGCGTCTCGCAGCGCAATTTGCCTTGGGAACGTTGGGATTGCTGAGGAAAGCTGGGGACTACTATCGGGGCGGTGAACATAGATATGGGAAATGTGCCAGTCAAAGATCATTTCCTGGGTTTTCCACGTCTATGGTCTGGATTTGTTTTTTTCCCGTTTGTTTATTTTTTTTATTTCATGTTCTATCCATTTCCTTTGCTATTTGCAGCATTTTGGAGCTGGAAGCTGCCATTTCAACGGTATTTTGCAACATTATTGAATTTGAACCTCTCATTTATTCTCATTTTCATTGTATTTGCAACATTGTGATGCTTTTTGCCGCATTTTGGAGCTCGAAGCTGCCATTTGAACGGTATTTGCAGCTTCGAACCTCTCATTTTCGATGGTATTTGCAACATGTTGGTGCTCGAACTGTTCATGTAACATGGTAGTTCGCAACTAGGGTTGATGTAGGGTTGGTTTTTAGGGTTTGTTTAGGGTTTTTCTTGGGTTGGTTTAAGGTTTTTTAGTGTTAAGGTTAGAGTTTATTCAGTTTTTGTTATATTCGTTAGGGGTCTATTTAGAGTCAGTTGTAGGGTTTATTTAAGGCTATTTAAGCTTGGTTGGAGTAGTTTAGGGTTCATGTAGGGTTGGTTTTAGGGCTTATTTAGGTAATATACTTACTATGTAGGGTTGGTTTACGTTTTTTTTTTAGGTTGGTTTAGGATCTATTTACGCTTGGTCTAAAAATCTATTTAGGATTGGCTTATATTTAAGCTTGGTTTAGCATCTATTTAGGGTTGGTTTTAGGCTTTAGGGTTTATTTGTATAGGCTTGGTTTAAGATCAGGTTAGTTTACAATCAATCCCTAAATAAATAGCACTCCTTAATTTACCAGGCAAAACGGGTATTTGACCTCGAATGTTAATGTGAGTAGCTGGTGATTAAGGACCTTCCATTTGCAAGGGTTGCCATCTATGGATCGTGGCCTAAAGCCAAAACTGTGGGATTCTTAGGTCCAATGGAATGGATGCAGTAGATCTTGAGTTGGGGAACCCCATCTTCTGCTTGAATATGGGGTTAAATGAGGTTACGCTTAAACTATCCCAAGCTAGGAAAACATATGGGGGGGACCATGGGGACCCTAGAATTATTTTTTAAAGAATCAGTACGCGGAGTTGATGGTCGGGGTCTGGATCGTAGCTAGGGAAGTTTAACGACCCAAATCTATCCCTGGGCACCAAGCTGTTGAGATAGTTCTTGGGCACATTATGGCACATTTCTAGGTTGGGGCGGTTCAGCATCCGTCATGGGTATTCAACTAACGATAACGGCATATATATATATATATATTCATACACCACATTGCAAGGATGTTATCACATTGCCCAGATTATGAGGGACCCTCGTATGAACAGATCCAGAGCTTTACAAAAGTTTTCAGAGGGAACCCCTTGTAAGCATTTGCGGAAGGGAAAACATAAATGACCACCGCCAGTCAGGAAGTATTTACCCATATGTAACACCATGTAACACCGAGGCTCATCCCATATAGAACCATGTATGTATATATATATAATTGCCCCAGTATCGGACACCAATGTGAATACATCCAATACTCAACTATGATTTCTGGAGAGGCGTTTATTGTTCAGGGAAAAGGGTCTTGATTGGGTAGATGTAGGTGAGATGTTGGTATGCATGCTTGTACCTAGATGGTAAGCACGTATGCAGGTGGAATTGTTCAAAGTGGAGGGGACTGTGCATCAATATCAGATGGCAGGTTGAACAAATCATTCAGTTGACACGCGATACATAGTGAACGGGGTCGCTCCGGAGTGACTAGGCGATCATGGTGATGGCCGTAGAGAAATGGAGAGAATATGACAGGATATTCTGAAGCGTTGAAGAGCAAGACCCAAAAGGTATCCATTTTGATACTGTACAGTAGGCAGTGATACACCTGTTTGATATTGTTTCATCATGTCAGAAGTCAGAAGATGCACGGACCATGTAAGGCTCCTGGAGGCTGAGGTATATCTATGACATCATGATGCACACACAAAGATATATAAATATGATATATTATATATATATGTTATACTTATAACTACATATATATATATGTATATATGTACACGGACTTGTGATTATGTACATACATTACATTACATTATTTCATTTGATTTACATTACATTCCATTATTTCATTTGATTTACATTACATTACATACGGAAATACATATATACATACATATATAGACATATACCCGTATATGTATTGTTTATATGAACAACATATTATGGAAATATTATCACAAAACTGCTGCAAATGGATGGGTACCCCAACATCAACATCCCCGGTGGTACCAATCCTGCTGCTGCTTTCGCAACCAAGATGCTCTTCAATGGTGGCTCTGGCGGATCCTGCGCCAAGGAGCAAAGAGAAGAACTTCGACCTGCACGGCTCTGTCCCCAATCTCTGTGAAGCAAGGTGCTCGTCGGTAGTTCTACTCCACTGGCATTCACACTTTGATGATGATATATGATTGATGCTGTGCTGCCACATTCTCCGTAACTCCTGCCAAGGATATCATCATCATGTTGCGTGCCATAACTGTGCAAACTTGCACTCCCGACAAATGCGCCATGCTGACGTTGACAAGAAGGATCGTTCTGAGGTTCATAATTTGGTTGATTCCGGCCAGGTGCTTCTTGTGTATTCTAAATGGGTATGTCTGAAAACGGGGCATGTCCCCAAATGGCAATTTCAACAGAGATAATGAATAATTATTTTTGAGTATTCACGATTATCAACCAAGGGAGTTGGGAATATTTGGAGGTACCCGGTTTTCAGACAAACCCAACTTGCAGACGGAAGACAGCTCTTGCGGTTCGCCCGACTCAGGGAATTGGATGGCCCGTAGTGCAGGCTCGGACGGCCCCCTATGCGGGAAGTCAAAGCACTCGTTTGACGAAGGATCTGAACCTGGAAACCATGTGGTTGAGTCTTGATAAATCGGTCAGCTGTGATCAGGGGGAACTTGAATTTAGTTCGTCTGAAGAGGATGCGAACCAATGACACGGTCAATGCGCCAACTGCATCCTGCTGCCATGCACAAATCAAAACAACCATGTTAGCGCAGAGGTACAAAACTGGATCACGTAAAAAGACAAACTAAACAAGTAGGTGGAGCCTGTAAATTTATAATAAGATACATATCTACATCTATATGCAACATCATGCAACTAAAACTCGAAGTCACAGCAGCCTTGCTGATAGCACCTCCCTCCAAGTCGCTGGTAAAAATGTACAACCTACTCCTTGAATGGAGCACTGGTGCTATGTGCTCACACACTCATCGCTTCCCGCACGCCCCTAACCACTTTTACTATCTTTTACTATTCTCTCCCTGAAGAACCCCAGAATGACTAGATCCACTAAACCATACTAAACCATACTAAACCATATTATTTCGCCGTAGCATGCCGTAACCATGATTTCAAGGGTGATACTTAAAATTGGGGGGAAGGGATTATTTGCTTGCTCACATCTGTTCAGAACCGACAAGGCCTGGCCATCAGATCCTGGATAGCCCGCCATGGCTACATACGATGATCACCCAACTGATGATCTAAAGAACGCCGTGTGATCAGTTGGAAGCTGCTTTTCTGACTTCATGGACTCAGCACTGACCGGCCACAGGTCTCCGTGATTGTCAGGTTGCTGGCCCTCATGTCTGTGTGCGTGTCACGTTTTGTTGTTTTCTATATTGCAATGATGTCAAAGACACCTGCCACCGTCCAGTAGGATCCTCCATTCTTTCAAATTGTGTCTTATAATGGGGGTCTCGAGCGGCTCCAGAGAACAGGTTGACATGTAGTGAATGATAGTGAATGATGGTGGATGACTGTGGCAAAAACTCCCGCAGCAAGGAACGTGAAGGTCTAAGACTTTGTGAAGAACTTGCAACTTATTTGGGATCTACCTGGGCAGGCAGAAAGGCAGGTGTAGAAATGGCATGTTTTCAATCCTCCCTTGCCAAGTCAGATCACAGGAGCTCTGATGTTTGGGATGACACACCAGCCCCGCCATGCAAATTCCCACCATCCCCGATCTCCCGTCTGAGAACCCAACTAATCAGCAAGCGATGCACGCCATCACCCCATAGAGGAGTAAGGCTGTCTGGGCTCGTCTAATTTGACAATTTGATGGTGGAAGCCAGGGCCCGCATTTGGCTATAGGTAAATTGTGAAGAACAGGATTTCCCACTTGTTGTCACAAGGTTCAAGGAAGTACAGTTTAAATGACGTTGCACGAAACCATCATTCTTCCAAAACATGACTAGGTTTATTGCGTACTGCAATCTGAGCGTCTCCCTTCGAATGCTAGTCTTGGATTCAGCTCCAAACACCGGATTGGACCTCCCCAAATTTGATTGTTGATCTCAATTTCACTGGGGCTGGGACCACTGGGGCCTCCCTTTTCCAACCAAAATGTTGTGTCTTTCCCCTTTGCAAGGGTGTGATCCATGAGCGGCAGGGAGCAAAAGTGATCAGCAGCTTCGTCACGAGCGCAGTTTTCAAAGGAAGGCTGTCGTGTCATGGTGCAACACTCTGCTAAAAGTTGCTATTGAATATTTGGCTATATTTAGTTGGCAAGGGCAAACCCTTTAAAGGACAAGAATTTGAAGCTCATCATTGAATGCAAGGGCAGCACTGTCACTTGAAGCATTTCTTGACAAATCAGAGCGGCTATGCCCGATGCTTGGCATGTCTCCATATCTGTCGATCTATCTGCCTACCGTAGGCTGCCTACCTCTTGTTTCGTCGGTGCATCTACCACAACTGTCGTTTTGCCCATACATCCTGCCCATGCTCTGTCTATATCTACTACTCTTTCTACTTGAGGGATGGATTCTGTGATCAAAAATATCTGGGTGGTGGTTTCAACCCTCCTGAAAAATATGAAGCCACTGGGGATCATCATGCAATGTATGGATATATATATATATATATGGTAGAAAATAAAGCATGAAACCACCACCCAGGTCTTCCATAACTCTGGAATACTCTGGATAAATCATCATAATTTTAATTCACTATTCTGGACATGCCATATAGATCCATATTACATATACTTACCGCAATATGTATACAAGAACTACTATATTTAGTTATTTTAACAGTATCTACTAGTACTAATATATATTAATATTAGTTTCCCGACAGTTACCCCTGACGATCCAAGCGCCTGGCCTCGCGGCCCAAGTCGTAGGACAAGAAGTAGCTGTCCGTCAGCGATGCTCCAAGGCTCGTCTGCATGTGGTTGAATCTACCGCTGTCATGGATTTTTAAGGATGATGATGTCCATGAAATCAAACGACTCTTGCAATCTCAAAACTAAGAGTCTTTCGTGACAAAAAAAAGTGCACAGGTCATTTTCCGCCAATGCTGTATACTTTGACTTCTCATGAGAGGATAGAAGCAGCAGCAGAAGCAGCAGCAGCAGCAGCAGCATCATCATCATCATCATCATCAAATTATTGTACAAACACAATCCATGGCCATTGCTTTGTTGCAAAGCAATGGGTTCTCTAAGTTTTCAGCAAAACAACCACACACACACACAAAAACACATTCACACACACACAAAAAAAACACATTCACACACACACACGCACACATGTAAAATGGCACTGTTGGATCTTCAAAAGCACTAATCATCACTGATCAATCCCCCAAAAGCAGTGCAGTTGGTAGCCAGTCTCATCATGTCTCATCCCAGCACTCCGAGTTGCCTCTGTTCCAAAGCCGGCTCCACTACGGCTTTTTTGCATGGCTCCAGTGACGGCATCGGCCCCTGCTTGCGCAGCTCGCACCCAATCTGCCAACCTCAACAGGCGTTTCGGGGATGCAGTTCCTCAGCATCTACTGAGAGCCTTCCCAAGGACACCTAAGAAAGCCGAAGCCAACACTGGAGATATCTTGAGATCCAAGGGACCAGTAGGTTTAATATGGTTTAATCAACTTGGATGTTTTTTGCAAGGTGAACGAGCCAATTTTGAGATAGTTGGCCAAACAACCCGACTGCACCCTAGGCTTCGGGCGCGCCAGCCACCAAAGCCTCAACCTGCTGGGGAAAAACAGTTAATTGATTCCAAGCCCGGGAATCCAACTCTAAATCAACATTCTCTTCTCAAATTCTCCTATTCTGCCAGAATTCCGGCAACCTAGATATGCCATTCCAGCCGGTTCCAGCTCATCATACTCACAACCTTTGTAAATCATACTGTAGACCATTGGAATTTGACCCACAAACCAGGACCTAGCATAATGTGATGAATACCATGTGCAATGTGGTAAACCCAATAAAAAAGGGAAAACAACTATAGCCCCAATTTTATCAGAGATAAATTGGTTGTATCCCCTTTGGAATTTAGGGGGTTGGGTTGGGGGAGCCAGCACCCAACCCCCCCCCACTACAGAATGGTTGAAGACTCCCTACAAAATGGTTTTGAAATTTATTTTGAAGAAAAACAATTCAAAACCATTGTGCAGCAATTATTTTACAAACCATTTTGTAGAAATAAAATAACTTCAGATTTTCAGGAATTTTATAAACAATTCTGTAAGGCTCAATCATCTTTGAATCAATCATCTTTTGAATCAATGAGTTAGCATTTTAGAAAAAACAACTCCAAACCATTTTGTAGATTTGTTCGTTGTTTTTGGAAAAGAATCAAAACCATTTTGTAAAGCCAACCCCAACCTGTGGCCAAATCCAAAAATATTTTGTAAACCATATAGTAGTGTTCCAAAAAAATCTGATGTTTTTTTACTTTCTTTTCTGAAAAAAACAAAACCATTTTGTAAAGTTGTTCAGGATATAAACCCATCTGTGAAATTTCCCACCCAAAAAATCAAAACCATTCTGTAAATCCAAACCTACTTGTGAACTATGGATTGACATCTTTCAGAAAAACTACAAACCATTTTGTAGATTTGTTCGTTGTTTGCAGCAAAAAAACAAAACCATTCTGTAAGGCTCAATCATCTTTGAATCAATGAATTATATAGATTGAAGTAGCAATTTCCAAACCAAATAAACAAAGAACAAATCATGTTGTAAGATGTTGTAAGAGAGTTGTAAGAGCATGTAAAAGTATGTAAAAAATTGCAAAAGTAGGTTCCAGAATCCCCCTCCCACCACTCCCCCCAACAAAAAAATAACCAAACGGCTCCTGAAAACCAGTCCGCGCGGCTGAAGTGTTGTGCAGTGCTAACATATCCAACATCTACAAAAGGGATCAAAAGGGTCTCTTTGTTTTTTGATTTTGAGGTGTGGTAACCTTAAGATCACTACAGAATACTACAGAAATAGTTTTGAAGTTTCTTGGAAATCAGCATGTATCACAAATGAAAACACAAAGTTACTACAGATTGGTTCTGTAATTTTCTTGGAAATCTGCACTTATCACAAATGAGAACACAAAGTCACTACATTTTTTTCAGTTTTCTTGGAAACCAGCACCAAGCCACTGACACAGTCTACAGTTTGGTTTATATATTTTTTACAAAACTTGAATCAATATTTTTCAATATTTTTCAGAAACCAAGGTCACTACAGATTGGTTCTGTAATTTTCTTGGAAATCAACACTGAACACCGAAAATGACTATACAGATTGGTTTCGAAATTTTCTTGGAAATCAACATTTGGCACTTTGAGCACACCAAATCACTACAAATTCGCTTTTCAGTTTTCTTGGAAACCAGCACCAAGCCACCGACAAAGTCTACAGTTTGGTTTATAATTTTCTTGGCCAAAACTGAATGGGCACTTTTTAAAAACCAAGTCACTACAGATTGGTTTATAAACTTTTGTGGCTCTACATTATGGTAGCACCCAACCCCTTAAAAAAGCTGAAAAAAAAACCTATATCATGATGGTAGCGTTTCTGGGGGTTAACCCCTGCCATTTCGTAGAGGAAATTCCAATGGGGATTTGTTTTTAACCTACAAAATCGTTGCAGGCTTTACATGGGTTTACGGTTTACCACATTAAACCCCAAATCCACTCAATGTGGGCCTCCGGTCGGCTCAACTTTTGCGCTTCGAAGCTCTTCAACTCCTGGGAAACTCTACTCCCTCTCTCTCTCTGCCTGGGTCCCTTGTAGGAGAAAGGGGGAAGCTGCAAACAGCCCAAACAGCAGGGATGGATACGACTATATCATTCTGCGGGATATGCAGGAAATATGTGAACATATGGGAAATGATCAAGTTGAGCATGCCATCGAATTTCATCTAGAGTTGCGCATCCATATTGATGATGTAAAGATTCTGACAGCGACCCCCAAATGTATTCCTTTTCAACCCAGAAAATAGCTGACCTGCAGACCTGCATTATCCATTTTACTTGACCGGTGGGACACCCAACCTATGGGGTCCATGGGGTATCACTGAGCAGTTGTCCCGATGACACTCTTCAGTTGAGGAGGCCAGGCGATGTTGCTTCCGAGAAAGCTCCTGCAGCTGAGCAAAAGCCTCTGGATATTGGCTTTGGGGAGCTGAACCAACCAAGCCATACCATGCCTGAACCAGTCCGAGCACATTACATACCTTCAAAACCTGAAGTGCCGGCAGGCCCTGACAGTTTGCCAACAGTTTGTTCGTTCCGCCAGTGTGTCTCTCGAAAGACATGTGCAGTCGTGAGGAAAGTTCCTGGATGATGCTCCTGGTCAGATTCAAAAAGAGTGCAGTCGTGAGCATGCCTCAAAGTTTTCCAGGGATTCTACTCCCACATATCTTTCTCTGACATATTTCCCCAGATTCATCATATGTCACCCACCTTCGCATCCCCTTTTGACTTTGACTACCACCCGCTGAATGCGAATTCAATCACACAGCCGCACCATACTGCGCCGGCTGTTTGAAACAGTACAGCTTCAAGGGACTTCGTCTTGCCTCACCCAGCCTGGCCCTTTCATAATGCTCAAAAAAACGAGGAGAGAATGTAGATCGGGCATTGCAAGTTGTTGAATGTTACCATGCAGCTTTCCCTCATCCCACCTTTGTGAGTAAAAGCAGGTGATATGCAAGAACTTCCGTATCCCACAAGAATTGTCTTCAAAACCCTTTCTTGGGAGTTTTGCGGATACTCTTACAGGGTTGCACGAGCTCCTCTACTGCCCTGCAACACCCATCCAACTTTCCAAGTCTTCTTGGCAACTTGCATCCATCTTGTCGCAAAAAAACAAGGCTGGCCTGGGCTGGTGCGCCCTCACACAGGCTGACAATAGGCTTCCAAGATCCAAAGTTGAAGACCTTGGATAGTTGGACGACCAATTGAAGGACCTCCGGACCTCAAAAAGGGCGATTACTTCTTGTCAAAGGATTTTGTCAACATGTTTTCTTGGCTCACCTAGTCACCTGCATGACCAAGCCGCATATTCAAGAAGAAACATCACCAAAACAGAGACAAGTGACAGCGAAAGGACTATTGAAAGCCGGCGTCCGGCTTGAATGGAATGTATGGAGTGTCATCTTGGGGAAGTGCTGCATCAACCATCACACCACGCTAATCAAACATTGCAATCAATGGGAAATGGGAAATACGTGGAAATACACTATGTATTAAATGAGGGATTTTCCTGGCGACATCCAAATTTAAATCAAAATCATATGTGTTTTCCATTGAAACCATTCACATCCCTTCTTTGTACCGGGTTTGAAATTGCAAGGTTGGAGTGCCAGAGTGTAGCAACATTGGCCAAGGATGCCTAGTTGCTCTATCTCTGTTCCTTCACACTTTGGGCTCACAAAGCGTAAGGCCTCTCTCCACTGCGGAACTCTGGCACAGGCATCCAGAGCTGCGCTGTACGTTACCTCCGTAGCAAGAAGCCTGAGGGCGATGTTGAGCAGGGGAAACACAAGCAGAACCATGCAACATACTGTGGATGCAAGAAATCCTGGACCACTTGGTAACTATATGTAACCATGAAACACTGAAAATAATGGGATTATAATGGGATGAACCATCTGCCAACTAGTGCATGATTTCTCCCATCCACAGTATCACACACGCACACTTTATTTCATGTGCAAATGAATGCATACCCATCATATAAATATCATAGATAAACCTGTATATGTAGATGACCCGTATATCTACTCGATATCTATCTCACTATCTCTCTGTCTATCAATCTGTCTATCTGATTCTATCTGATTCTTTCTGATTCTATCTGAGTCTATGTGATTCTATCTGACTTGCTGTCTATCTGTCTATCCATCCATCTAGAATTAATCAACATATCATCTAATTCTACATGCATGCACACAAGCACCATTGCAGATTCTTCCATCTCACACGTGATTGTCCCATCAGGCAGCCTCTGTGCATCCATCTGCGCAAGAGCTTGGATTGATAGCTGCCACAAAGCCGCCTTGCCATAGGTGCTGATCGAGGCATTGCAGGTGATCACATCTGGTTGTTCGTTCAGCTTCCCCATCAACACCTCGAACCATGACAAGCAATGCCACCGCCCCAACATCTGCATGACCTCCCAAAAATGTGATTTTCTGGAGCCATCATAAGCCATGTCATCATGTGCAACGATTATGCCGCATCTTCAGTCAACGTTTAGAAATCAAGAGAAATCAAGTCATCCAACAAACTCTCACCATCACAATCTTCGATGTGTGGTGTCCAGCGCCGAGCCACCAGCAACTCTTGTGCTTTCTGCCAGGCCGAAGCGTTTTCACAGGCACTGAGGGTGGCATTGAAAGTGCACACGTTCGGCCTGCAAACAAGTGAGGCAGAAAATAGTGTTAACATGTGTCAACATATATTATATATGTATATGTGTGCGATTATATGTGTGTGTGTAAATGTAAACTTTCATAACTTTGTGTGGCGGCTACCCAAAAATATCTATATATACATGACATAAATTCTTGGTGTATAGTCGATGAGAGCCCTAGCTCAAAATGCTGGCCTTATGTAGAAGAAATCCATCTGCCCCAGCAAAGCCTCAGCTTACAGTTTCCTCAAAATTCTGACGCAACACCTGCAGAACAACCCAGCCCTTTCGTGAAACGAACCAACAATCGATAGTGACAACTGGCCACAAGTAGCTGATTTTTTACAGTCCAATGAAAAATATACCTTTTGTCTTTACAAGCAAACTTATGAGTATCCAGTATCCAAGGGTTTTTTACCATGCACCTGGTAAGATTCTACACCAACCCTCCACAAAGAACAGAGTCACCAAGGCCCTTCGCCACTGCGTAGCCTTTTCACATGCACTGATCAGCGCATTACATGTGATTACCTTGGGGGAGCCACTCATGTCGGATCCGCCACAGAATGTGGCGCAGCTCTTGAAACATGCACGAAAATCAAGGAAACTACACTAACTTACACACATGCCAAAAGCCTTGATCAATACTTATTGCACTTGATATACTTGATATCTTGATAAACCTTTAGGGTAAGTTAATTGTACAACACACATCCCCAATGTGTTTCCAAATTCGGGCAAACTGGTCCAAAAAGTGAAGATACCACTGAGCTCCTTGGAAACCCGTTAGATTACATAGATTCAGAGTTCTTTCATGTTTTTTCCATCACTTCCCGTCCCATGTTTCACAAACAAAAACTTAAAAAAATCCAGCGGCTGCACCAAGAAGCATTGATCTGAGCCAGTTGGGATCGTAAAAACTTCAAGATCGTCAGTGCTTGCTGCCATTCAGAGGCTTTTTCCTTAATCGAGCTTCGGGGCCAGCCTTTTCCGCAGCTGCAAATTTTCCAAGCACGCTGGAGGGTGTAGAAAGAAGATATGAACAACAAAACAAACACATGCAACTGGCAAATGGTTCCAACACATCTCAAAATATCAATCAATAATAGTTCAGGATGATTGTCTACCAGCAATTGTTCCTTTCAAACAGGGACGGGAACAACATGCCAATTTCTCATCACCAACCAGGCCGGTTTTCACATACGCTGATGGCAGCATTGCAGGAAATAATGTCCATCTGCCCACGCCCCAGCGCCAAGGCTTGGCTCAGAAGATTCATTGCTCGCTGCCAATTGGAGGATTTCTCCTTGCCAGGATGGAACAACTTTCCGGTTTTAAATGGTTTTAACATATTCATACATATTCTAACATGTTTAACTCCCACGAAAAATGCATTGATCATCATTGATCACAGGCAATCATCATCCGGGATGAACATCTATAGTAGACACTTGCTAAAACCACCTGCCTGTTTTTTCCAACTGCTTGGAATCGGAAGACAAATGCAAACACGCAACACCATCCAGACCCACATCCCCAACAAACCAGCGATGCCATGGCTCACATGCACTGATGGCAGTGTTGTGGGAAAACATGTCCAGTTCCAAGCCTTGCGATTGGCCATTCGGAATGTTGGCCATTCGGGTTCAGACCAAGGCCTAACCATGGAACCAACGTCAAGAATCAACCTGACTCCATTACCCAGTCTGTGTCGCTAACTGCCGTGTTGGTATAATGAAATGATTGTTCTGTAGAGCCCGTCCCGCTAGGATAACGGCGCATGGATCAACAAAAATCGGGAACTCCAAAATGGTGTGGCTCAATTCTAAATAGCACCAAAATCCCAAATCTTTGGGTTGAAGGTCTTGAATTTTACCATATTTTACCACATTTTACGCCACATCCAACTATCAAACAAACGCCCCAGAAACGCTGCCGCGAGATCTGCTGCATGAGCTGAAGCACCAGCTGCCATAGCGAAGCTTTGCCCAAAGCACCTACAGCTTGGGGTCAGCACCTCTAGGATCCTGTGGGGATGTGAGTATAGGCAGTAGTGAGCAGTAATTAACTTCGATTCATTTAGTGATTCGATATGATACCAGCGGCAACTGTTTTTTCGAGAGCTGGAAGCAAGCTGTTGATATCAACATATATCAACCCTTCATAAGTATCATCATGCCTGATGTCTATGCTAAAATTCTCATCTAAAGGTGCCAAAGTTTTTTTTTTTTGTGGGGCGGAGGTGCCAGTACGATATATTTCGGGGGCCAATCCTGAGTTAGATCCGCCAAGCCTTCCTTTAAGATCTTTAAGCCTCCAGCTCCCTCCCAAAATCAAGGCGCTCATCAAGGTGTTGTAAGTGACGATATCAGGGAAGACTTGTTGAGATCCATCCAGAAGGCCCAGTGCTTCTTGCCATTCAGTGGCTCTCTCACAGGCCCCAATGGCGGCATTGAGCATGATCACATCTGGCTTTACCATCCTCACGGTTGCGCCAGGATGGTGCTGCTGATTCTGTAGTTCAACCATTTTCAAATATCTGCGATTGTCATGAAGCATTGAGGTCTGCAATATCCTTTAAACCCAAGCCCCTGTGTCAGAAAAGTTTCGCACTCATCTCTGCAAACAGTTGCAACGCATTCTCCCATTCCTCGGGTGGTAGACCGAGCAGCTCAGCTGATCTGCTCACAGAGAAATTTGAATGTTGGCAGTGTCAATAGCTCTCTTGACCAGTAAAGGCACATTTCCCTGTCCGCAAGCGGCGATCATCGCAGTGACAGCCATCTGATCTGCCTCAAGGATTTGATTGGCAGTATCCACACCGGAAAAACACCAATTCGGAACATACTCAGTCCACCTTGCGTCCCGTACAACCCCGTACACATCCGTACACGTCAATTGTGGTTGATCTCTCAGTTTGCATCCCAAGCCCGGCCTGAAGCCGTCTGTTCTCCATCTGCTTAATCAAAAGCATGGCAAGTTGCCAGTCCTTGCTGCATTTCTGGTTGATTTCAGGAACAAATGCAGGAGCCTCCTAGGGTTTTACCATCCAACATCCAAACATCAGATGTTCAACAACTCAACGGCTTTCCCTCTTGGTTCAACCAGGTGAGCCACCGACAGCCGAGCACATGCCCAAGAATCTGATCCCATGGTTGGCACTGCGGCACTGTAGGTGGCTTCCCCCAAACAAGCTGAATCATCAGCAAGCCGAAGCAAGACGAGGGCAAACTGCCACCTGAAACCAAGGTCTAATCGCAAGAGCCGTGGGATGCTAGCAATCCATGAAAATTAGGTGATGCGGCTCACCGTCTGCTACAAAATCAATGGAGAATCTGACAACTAAAAAAAACTCCACTTCTCCGTGCCTCTGGTTCTTCTCAGAAACTTTCATGGTGGAATTGAACGAGATCGAATTCCTCTGAAGCCGTCCTCAAAAGGAAGAGATCTTACTGCTTAGAGCTTGGACTGGTAAGCTTTGACCACATGGGACGATTGGCAAGTGGAACTTCAACACTGAAAGAGTCGGACGTACACACAGACACAGAAATTGCATGAATTTATAAGGCATAGCTGGTCGCTTTGAGATCAGCAGCATCAACTGCACACTGGAGCTGCTAAATCATGTTGATCTCAAGTAGCATGCATAGAACGTTCTATCGTTGTTTCTTGAGATCACTGCTGTAGAGGATTTGGGGGGCATCTTTAATGCCTGGAGCAGCAACGACTGCTGGGACAAAAGGGTGCATCATGCGGGGCTGATGAGATTTTGGTGTGCTGAGACAGGAGGGTCAAATACACGGAATGGCTTTTCGAAACTGTTATCATATAAACTCAGATGTAATGATGTACAATCTATGGTTTTCGATATCCTAGCAGCCTAGCAGGGAAACCAGTCGGTTTGGGGGGATTGCAAGTCCAGTATGCCCATGTCCCATGAAGCTAATCCAGCATGACCCTGCTCCGTCAAGTTTCTGCTACTCATCGAAGTGAGGAGATCCAAAGCAATTTGCCATTCAGATGCAGCAGCACATGCACTTATCGCCTCTGCCGAGTATGATGGGGAAATGGAGAACTTCCACTACACCCAAGAGGTAGATGATAGGTGGCACGTGTTTCCATGTCATACCCTCGTTGACATTACAGTCACAAGGCATATAATATCATAATACACACACAATATATAATATATATATATATATATGAAAATAATATATATATATGAAAATAACAGTATATATATAATATATAATATATATACAGTATATGAAAAATTATATAACTTTTTGACACAACCTACAAGGCTCTCACTTAAGGAATCACTGCACCCGCTTCGCTTCGGGGATTCCGAGATCTGGTGTTCTGCCATGTTCGCCGAGGAGCGACATTGAGAGAGATCACATCCAAACCGACCAACTCACTTTGCTGACCGACCAGCCTGCTCGTCACGGCTCAATTTGTTCTAAAATCTTTCTTAAATCTGGGTAGCTTCTGACAAACACCAACAAAAATGAGGCTAAATCGGTGTCACAAAAATAACACGTCTTTCAGTGGACAGACCTAGGCATATATATTTACAGAAATGAACGTTCTTCCAGATTGAACCATTATTGGCAACATTTAGAGACCTGCAATTGCTGTCAACTCATTGTTGTCATCTGTTGCCTTCTCACATGGCAAACCTTTCAAGCCGAGCAACAACAACACAGCGGCTTCCCAAGCGGTCGCTCTTTCGCAGGCTGTCAGGCAAGAATTTATCATCACAGTGTTGCGGAGAGTGTGCCTGAGCCAAGCGTTTCCCGTTTTTTTGCCAGGTCTTCTCAGAGTTACCCTGTAGGAGTGGAAATAAATCCAGCACAACCCAGTGCAGAACATATGAGCAAAATTGGAGCACATGAAACTACTAAGCAGAATATAGCCAATATTATTATATATATATATTATTATTATTATCATCATTATTATTATTATTATTCTTCTTATTATTATATATTATTATTCTTAATTCTTCTTCTTCTTCTTATTATATAGTCAATTTGGTTGACGTCATCCTTCTTCTCTCTCTCTCTATCACGACCCAGTTGGACTTTGCATATCTTTACAATAGGGATCAATAGGGCATGCTTTTGAAATATAGCTCAGCAAGTCAAATCATGTCTCCGACGAAGCACTCCGTGGATTTCTCCAGCAACATCACTGCCGCTTGCCATTCTTCACCAGTCGCGCAGCTCACCATTGCTGCGCTGTACGTCTGCACGTCAGGAATGTTGCATTCGTCTGCGACATTGAGTTGGTTCAAAGCTGCACGCCATTGCTGATGATGGTCCAAGCCAGTGATGGCCTGCTTGCTGCTGGAAGGATCCCTTTGAAATCTTGCAATCTTCATGCTTACATATTCATTGCAACCCCTACAAAAATATCAAAAATAGAAAGGTTAGAACCCTGGAAGACACGGGGGAAACATCATCTAGAATCTATACCATCCTGGAAACACTGCTCTATTTTTTTTGGGGTGCTAGGTTGCTACAGTATATTTTTGCAGTAAAATCACACGTGGTTCAAACGTCTTCAACACTCAATACACCAAGCCACAGTGTTGTGAGAGCAAATGTCTGGAACCAGAGTCGACCTCTTCCTCACTGGAGGTTGTGGAGTGCTGTGGTAGTTGAAATCGACACCCCGAACACCTAACAAGCCTCATTGGATCAAGTCCGTTAAGTCAAGCTTACAGTGTTTCCGTCTGAAAATAAACATGGGCATTACATCTCGCCTCAAAAAAACACAAAAAATCGAACTGGAAGCACCAGAAAACCACAGCTGCCAATCAAATCCAAATTTCAGCTCACTCAGGACTTGCAGGGAACTCTCCCAGCCACCAGAGTAGCATCCCAATAGGATGACCTTGGGCAAAAAAAACCAGGGATCTCGTCCAAGTCACAGCAACAGAACACGGCACGCTGTCAACAAAAAAATGCGGGAGGATTGGGAGGATCATCCATTCCAAAGCAAACCCTGCCATTCAAAAATGCGGGAGGATCTGTCCAAGTCTAAGATTCTAAGATACATTGGTTTCAAACGGTTTATACATTTCATAACTCAAAACATCTCAAAACTCTTAGGACAAGCAGCGTTGTATGTCACAATGTCTGCCTCCAGCTTGGATTCCTAAGCATTCTGAGGCTCATTGCGGTGTGGCTTTTGGGAATACCATCGTGCCGTCATTTCTTGGGCTTCAATAGTTTGAAACCATGGCCACACGTCTTCAGAGTCTGTCATTTCATTGTAACCACATTGTGCTTTCAGTGAGTTTTCCTCTAAAATCAGCTACTGACTTTTGTGATTCGCCCGGAAAACCGCGCAGGTTTAGCTTTTTCAAGTACATAGTCAAACCAACATTTTGTCCTCTACATATAGGTTTTGAAACCCTTACATGATGGAAATACCGAGACCAACACTTGGCAAAGTAAACCTCAACTGAATTCTGACCTCACAGAGTGATCACACGGTCCCTCAGATCGCAGCCTGGTTGCTCCGAGGAGCTCTAACTGACCAATGCTTTGCCTCCAATCATTGGATTGGCCGGCTCGCACGCCAGTATTGTGTGCAATCCTTGCGAGGCTCAACAAATCGATCGTTTTCCATACCCTTACATAATCATACAGATCATTAACCTATATATATATACATATCCGTACATGAACACACACACGCACACACACATATATATATATACACATATGTATACAATAATCTTGTTTATTTACAATATATATATATATACGCATACCTACAGAGCCCGTACCACTACAATCCCACTTCCAGTGGCAACATGCGCTTGCATTCCATCTGACTTTCTCCGGCATCGCGTCCCATGCGTCCCAGCATCAAATCTGGGAGGAGCTGCTTGGATCTCATCTGATCCACCAAGTAGCGAGCCAGCGACCACCTATTCGGCAAGCAGCAACTGGCCACCTGTGCACAGCCAAAGTCGAAGAATGGTTGGTTCCCTTTGGGCTCCAGGCTGAATTTGAATTGGTCTTGGAAGTATGATCATTTGATAATTGTATATAAGTTTTTTGGATGTTCAGTTCTGTTGCAGGCTGTGTTCTTCTGTGTTTGAAAACTTTGTGGGTTGTAGTGGGTATAGTACTTCCTGTAGCTTTTAACATAAACAGCCAACAGCAAAACGTTTTCACATGTGCCATGCAATGGGGGCTCGCTCTCTCAGGCTGATCGATTCCCTTCACATCCCATCACCCTGATTGAGGGTGTCAGATTTGTCATGATGTTTTTTTTTTTGATATGAAGCAAAGCAGCGTCAGCAAGATCTGCCGGGAAACTGAAGTGAAGGTTACCGCATCCAATTGAAGATGTTCCTTGGGGTGCATGTTTGGGCTCAAAAACTCAACGAATCATGATTCAATTTCAGTTGCACCTTCTCTCAATTTCATTCAAACTCCATGTCTTGGTGTCAACCGCGTCTCAATCCAAACTGTACCGTGTGAATTTCAGGCTCATGCGTGACTGTTTGACATAGGATGTTATTTATACGCGCCATTGAAGCTGTAGCTCTGTATGTGTTCTCATCTTAATCAAGGAGAGAACACAGTCCAAGCTTATAGCGAGCGTCGGTCGCAGCCTCATTGAGCCACACCAATGCCTGCTGCCATTGCGACACCTTCTCGCACGCGTTGATGGCGATGTTAAAAATCACCAGGTTCAAGGAGACGGCCTCGCTTTCAACTGCAAGAAAGCTTGGTGCAAAGGAGGCCGAACTTGTGAAATGAAACTGGGGTTTGCTTTCGAAGCCCCTTTTCTAACCGCAGTTTGCCATAGTTCCGACCATTCTCAACATGACATGTCCTAAAGTTAAGTTTTTAGTTCTCCTTCGAGTGACACCTTCTCACAATAACGAAAAAGTCCAGGATGCTCCACTCTGAGACTGCAAGACTTTTGGATGTTTTTGGTGGGCTTATTCATCACTGGCTTTAACTCAAACACTGCAATGTGCATTTATGTGCATAGATGTGAAACCTAGGCGATATTATGCTGCAATGATATGATACTGATACAAATACTTACAGCTTACAATACACGTACAGGAATATCTGGCATCAGGTGGATGGACTCAGTCATTCACCAATGCGATACAACGCGGTTCTCCCCACCAGCCATCACTTGTGGCGGCTTCGTGGTCAGGTTTTTTGTATTTACACAGGTGCATGTACACAATATTGGGACTACATGCGATCTGAAACCCAACGTCCAAAAAATCAATCAATAATATGCCAAATGTTTTTGATCTTTCTATATTTTTGTTCATTTCAGACAACATGTTGCAATAGATGATAACTTCACTTGCCCCAGCGAAACCACATGGCATCACCTCCTGGGCACGTTGGAAGGTCTGCAGTGCTTCTTGAAACTGTGTGGCCCGCGCGCAAGCACTGATGCAAGCGGCGAAGGTGACCTTGTGAGCGCTTCATCTCTGAGTGGGGCTGAACCAAAACATTTAATTAGTATCTTTAGCATCTTTAGTATCTTTAGTGTCGAGTCTTTAACATCTTTTATTGTCTTATCGTGGCCTATCCAGCCTGCACCCAATTTTCTTGCATCACACCTTCGGCAGCCATGGCACAACACTGGGCCGCAATCTTGCCACCATCATCTTCTCCAAAAGTGCGATCTTAGTCAGCCGGATGGGCGGGGCCGATGGGCGCAGAAAGTCGCTATGCCGGGGTTGATGAACTGCCCGCATCTGGGAGTACTTTGATGCACACGTGCACAATACATCATTTGTATAATATTATCGGATTCAATATGCTATCTGACCGAAACGTACTGTACTATGTACTTATAAACCAAACAAAAAAGTAGTGATCATAACATGTTCATGTTTGAATCCAACCTGCAAGAGGCATTGATCAATTCAGTACTTCCTATGCCCCCATGTGCCAGTCATACGCCAGGACGCGACTGGCTGCCAATGGCCGTTGCGACCCATGGATGTGATGGCCATGTTGCACAACACCACATCCCCTGAAGCCTCTGCTGTCGCCAGGGTTGCTCCATACATCCCAATTGCAGTGGTTTCATGTGAGAAACATGCGACATACGGGCCATTGCGGGCCTGCACAAAAAAGGGACCCGGATATCGTACATGGGATCCCCTCAAAACACATGGGCAATGTCTGCGCAAAAAATACTAGACGCTTCTTATGTTGTCAGTCTTATGTATATAAATATGTAGATATTAGGATGGGATGACAGACTTGGTAGACAATCAATGACAATCAAAGGCTAGCACTTTTTTCCATCCCCCCGTAATTACCAAAGTGTAGCAGCGCATAGGAGAGGAGCATAGAGCAGCAGGGTTTGACAGACTTGTTTTGGGGAAAGGGCAGAAACATGCAGAAAAACAAATAGGGAACATAACCTGTGAGTATATATATGGTGTCAGTCATGATGCCTATATCCAGCCAAGAAGCCAATGCATCTTGCCATGGCGTTGGCCGCATGCTTGCTGGAGCGAGATTATCGTTTGATGGGAATAGCATACCGCAATGGTGTCACCTCCAAAGCTCCGGTTCCATCAAAGGATCCAACAATGGAGGCAAACGACACATCTCACCGCGGCTCATGCGCTCGACTGAGAAATAGAGCCAAGACTGAGGCTTGTATGATGACGTGCGCAATGCTCCGCTGTGATCTTTTTATCTTTTCAAAACAATTTCACATCTCTCTCTCATTGAGGTGTGTACGCAGGTTCCTCGAATCCGAAAACTCTAGTTTCATTTGGCATGCAGGGTCCAGCCACCAGCACTCAGTTTCATTTGTGAGCTGTCATAGACACACCTTTCGAAACAAATGCGTGAGCACAAAGTCAAGCAATCAAGGGGTTTATCGCTTTAGCATGTCATCAAGTATGACGTGAGGATGTTTTCCCCAGAAATTATCCCAGGATCGCGCTTGCCGCTGTCCTCCATTCGGCGCTCACACCTCAGTGAATTTGCATTTGCTTTGTGGTCGAAACGGTTTCATGCTCTATGACTTGAGCAGGATTCAGAAGAGAAGGGCCAATGCCATCTCACATTGTCATCAACTTGTTACTGCATGTGTGTCTAGGTTCTAGTCTAGTAGCTTCATGTAGCTTCAACATACGGCCTCCATATAATCCTCCCGCCGCATGCCATCATGCGAACTGCTCACAGCGGATCATTTCTCCAGGTGTTCAAGGTACAAGACATCCAACAATGGTCTGCCTCTTTTCAAGGGCTGACCTGGCACAGGGTGAAACACGGGATGCCTCAGCGGATGTCTCTGTGAATCACCTGGCATGCGGAAAGCCCGGTGAGTCCGCCGGTGAGTGCTGAGTGGCTGCACTGCTTGGCTCGGCGCCTCCAGGGTAGAACCAGCCCACTTGGGCCGATTTCCATGGCCTCCCCAAATATCTGTCGCCATACTTTTCCTCAGGGGATGGGAGACCTGGAATGGAAAGGACCTAAAGGACGTGCAGTTTTGGATGCCGTTGTGTCTAATCGACGGTCCGGCGAGAAAGACAGATTAAATGGGAACATCAATTGGAAAATATGCGAAATACTCTTATCTCTTTGCTACACATTTAGCACCTGAGCTATGCTTCCTGTCGCAAATTCTAGCACTTTGGCAATGTGGCTACTTCAGCTACCTCAATTTGGCAGGGCCAAAACACATGTGGTGACTCTTGCCATCAAGCTGCCTGATGTTGTCCACCTGTTGTGATTGACAGAGGTTGTGGTGTAGAGACAACATGTCAATGTCACCATTCAAACAGCTCATCAGCTCAAGCTGCCTCTGGAAGTAGCAACTGGCGGCGCAAATAAGCCTGGCCAGAATGATCGCACCGCAGCATGGTTGTTTGTATGGGGTTGAGTAGCTATTGGCAAATATTTGTGCTTCAAAACATCTGCCAAGATCGGTTGAATTTCCTGGAGTCACAACTGTAATCCTGTCTGCGACTGATGTCCTACCAAGATCTACCAAGCATGTAGCAACATTCTCACAGACAATAGTGCGGCTATTCATTATCTTTCTTCCTATGGCGAAATTGTTTCCCAGTAACTGATTACCAACAACCCAAAGAATCCCCCTGCCAGGGCTGACCACTGGCAGTGTCCTGGGTCCTGGCTTCTACTCCCAAGCCAACATCAGTGTGTGCCACCAAGCGTTTTACAACGTCTTGCAAATGGAAGACTGATGGGCAACGTAATTACTTGTCTATGAATGTGAAAATATAGTAAATATAGAAACAAACAGGTAGGTAGGAAAACTGATAGTCGGATGCTTTCAGCTGAATCTCCTGGTCCTGTTGAGATGCCTGCTAGGATTAAGGGGCTGTTCCTAAATATTCAGCCGCAAGTGGGCGCCAACATCATTGACCATGTTTGCTGACGTGAGCTAAATCCACACCCCCCGCAAACAAAACCCTCCATTCACTATCTTTGGGCATTGTTGGAATATGTTCTATCCCTGTTGTTGCAAATTAAAACTTCATAGTTTTGGGATGTTTTGGGTGCATCCCAAGTCTGGCCTTTGATTCCAAGGACTGATTTCGCATTTCAGCCTGCAGCTACTGACGGCTTTTGTGTGCCCTGTTTCTAGGGTTAAAGCCTTGCGGTGGGACAAATTGGCAGGGCCATCAATTAATGATCAAACAAGCTGAAAGCATGCGAAACCGGGCAAATCATCCTGTTGCTCCCACAGCAGACCCTGGATGTATGCAAGATGAGCCAAACTCCTCATGTGGGCGAAATAGGTTTTAGAGCCTTGCTGACCACCACTTTCCAAGCTCGCCGCACATCTTCAGACCCATATGGCTTGAACATCCCACCAGACTTAAAACGCTCACCATAAATGTGTTTTTGAATTTCAACCGCAGAACAATACTGACTGGACCAATGCCATGAAATTAGTGGGAGCATGTCGGAGCGGATCTGGAAAATCGTGCCAATCACAATGCATCAAGCAGAAGCACACCATGCGGAATCCCAGGGAATTGTCTTCAATTTGCTTGTGAGCGCGCGACGGAGGGAGTGAAAACATCAGGGCTTCAAATTCAGCATTTTTTTTGAAAAACGTTTCTCTCAACTCCAATATGATATGACACGTAGTGACATGTCAAGCATTTGGTGACCTTAACTGATTTTTGGATGACCCCGTCTGTACAGGACCCAGAATTTATAGGGCGAATGGAGAAGAGAATCTGACATATGATGAGCTGCTGAGCCATCATGGAGGATGCCTAAAAGATACTAAAAGGACCTTCCTTAAATCGTTCACTCATTGCTTCCGAGAAGCCGGTCTATACTTCTCCTGTCATTGGTCAGCTGCAGGTACCAAACTCTCCAGCATTCTGATTGAAAGAGTCACGGATCCACGACGAAAAAAACAAAAAAACAACACACTCGATAAAACAAAACTCCCTCTCCCCCTTCTCTATTATATATGTTTTTTGACATTTTGCGCTATAATCTAATTTATATATATATAATAATAATATAACACATATTTATTTATATTTACATGCGTACATACATACATATATGCAAAAGAACATGCAGGAACGTAGGTTTGTGTCATTTTGAAGCATCAAAATGGATCGACCAAGGCACCATCTCTCCCAGCAGTCGCATCCCTTGGCCGCTGAAGAGGCCAGGTGCACGGAGGTACGTCTTGGAAAGCGCCTGCCACCGCAGCTGGATGGTTTCAAGATGAAGCTGCAAACGGATTGACATGGTGGGAGGGACTGTGGACGTTTATGGATGTTTATGATGTTTATGGATGTTTATCAACATTTTAATTGCAAGTTGCCTAGTTGCAAGATGTTGAAAGTCAACCACTGGCCGTGTTGTTTTCGGCATATGAACTGTTCGCTATGGAGTCGAACACAGATTGAAAACAGCAAATGTTATTGACTTCAGACTGCAGAATAAGGCTGATGAGCCGGTTGGCCTGCTTCATTCATTCTATGTGTGCGAAAGACTGGGGTAGCTGAGGATACACTCAACACGGTGACGAAGTTGAAACATCAGCGGCACCTTGTGGGAAGCATAGCAGGACCTGGGTCTGGACGTGCTACAATGGGCTCAAACCTAATCATCCTCTTCATCCTATAAGTCGGTAATCCTATATAATTTTGACCCATTCCACTGCAGTAAGATGAGGTCAAATAAAGTCTGAAGATATATCTAAGCACACAATACACGAGACGACTTCTTTACTTGTTTGAGTCTGCTAAATTCTGCAGTGAAGCCTGCGGAACTAGCAGTTACCACCAAGGATTCAAAAGCAGGAACCACGCGGCTTCTTTAGAATCTTTCTAGTCGTTCCTGATTCTGATCCATGAAGTGTCATTGGACTCAGGACGCATTGTGCTGTTGGGTCTTCAAGTTGTTGAAGGTTGTTAAGGGCGGGAAACTTCCAAAGGATCTTGCAGCATGATCCAAGCGGCGGAATCAAATAGGTAGGGCTGTCCTCCCGAAGAGATGGTGCAGATCGTATACTCGACATCATCCCTGTCACAAGATGTCACAAGGTCGCAGGAGTCCGTACTACTGGCATTTGCGAACAGTTCCGAGCCTCATAGCAGTCATAGCACAGGCGACACAATATAGATTTTACAGGTTGAAATCCTTTTCCTCAATACCATCACTCCATTTTGATTCAAGGACACTGGTGCCATTGGTGCAAAGACACCTTGCCTGCCATGGCACCAGCCGTTGGCTGCAGCCAGGCATCAAACAGCAGTTGCTCTGAGCCAGGAAGTGGCATTGGAATGGTATACTGCAACATGATACAAATCTTGTCACATAAAATGATATAATATGATATAATTAATCACATATAGTATAGCCATATAGCCCCAAGAAAGGTATGATGACGTATCAAGTGACATACACAGGAAAGTTCAGAGCTGGATGATGCTGATGGACCACACCAAGTCTAAAACTGGTTTTGGTAAGCTGTCAAAGTTGGTACATGGCTGGGAAACGGGGATGTCGGTGATACAACTTGGTGCCACAAGCCCTCCTTACTCTCAAGGTTGGAGCTCCTTCAACTGCTCTTTCACATCTTTCAGGGCTGCCTCCCAAGCAGGAAAACTGACGCAGCCATGACGAGAAGAACAATGCTCACTAGTTCTTCATTTCAACCCTTCCGAACTAACGAAGAGATACTGAATTCCGGACTGCAGTCAGGACGAATCGTCCCAACATATACCACATATGCACTTTTCTGTGGAAACGGAGGTTCAGTGGTGCCGCCATTCGGTACCACCCTGCCTCTGTGATGTTTCCCACCTGGTGCCATATGGGATCTCTCTCTCTCTCTCTATGCATTTGGGTGCCTAAAACTTTCACCGACAACGCGTTTTTCAACACTCAACGGCCAAAGTCATGAGTCGCAGGAACCATCATTCTGACACACTTTCAATGGAAGCTGGAGCTCCACAGGGTTGAGAGAGGTTGTTCAAACATTTCTACTATGTAAGAATCACGTTTCGGACATGTTTGACATATATGACATTTGGCATTGAACCCAGTTGGCATTGCTGTTGACATGGCCATCATGCCCAGCGTCCTCAGCATGACTCACCAAGCGTTGATCAGTGATGAGGCACTGCAAGCGTCTGGCCACAAGGTGGGTGCCAAGATGCGTTTTAAAACCGGGGCCACAAGTGCTGAGGGGTAAGGTCAACGCTGGATTACTGAAACACTGGGCAGATTAATTGGGGCACTACTGTAGTAGCCAATGACTCGACCACTGTCTTTTGGGAACCACCCAAATAATCCGCCAGGATTTATTCATCCGGAGTTGATATTACAGCTAGGGAATATATAAATGAAACCTTGCGTTAACTTTCCAAAATGGCCATGCCATGGGATTTGAGCAAGAGAAATGGGGCTACCATGGGCTACCCATACCAATCTGATGGGCCCAACAAAAATAAAAAGGGGGCTTGACCCCTCACATCACTATTTTCAGCGGGAACATGGGGGATGAACCTGCCATCTCCATTCGGATGTTGGGGGTACCATATTCTTGGACAAAACCATGAGATAGGGTACCGCGTGTCAGTGTCCTCAGAGGGTAGGGTAAACTATATATACGTTGTTTTTTCAATATATCTACAGCTACAGACTGCTACAGGTATAGAATCAAAGTATATAGCAGAGTACTTTAAATAATATACTGTATATTATTTCTTTGAGAATCCCACCCCAACACCAGTTGAATTTCTCTGACTTTCAAGAAACTTGACCAGACTCCCATAAAACGATGTCAAGGAACGAGAAGCAAACTGGGTAAAGGCAAAAAAGTGATTCGGCATAAGTTCTAACCAACAGTGCCATTGGCCTAAAGCCGCAATAAAAAGAAGATAAACCCAGTCTTGTGCGCCTTTGTACTTGCCTCTGCACAGTGGCATCCACATCTGCCAGCGATGCCTGAAACAGTGGTGCGAATTACGTTGAAAGTATGCGTCGTACCTTCCTGAGACCCCGCAGCTTAATCTCATATACATGTTGGTGTTGTTTAAATTTATATTTAAAAATCATGATTCGCCTTCTAATCTTCTGGTATTTGGTGTACCTTGTGGTTATACAAGTCGTTGTAAGTACCCTGGGCGTGTCTAACCAGCAAAGGATACGGAACAAAAAATCACACGTGTACAAAAGCTCACCACTGCTTTGGCATCTGTTGGATAATTACTGCATATTTAGGCTTAGCGTCCAAAATCCGCAAACCTTACTCTCTCTCTCTCTCTCTCTTACCTTTGCGGGATTTGAATGGATTTGAATATTCTATAATCCGCTGAGCCACTGTGACGCCCATCGCACTCGGACCAGCCAGCCACACCTTTCCCTCAGCCACCGCTGCCAATGAAGCAAAATCAGTGATAGAGACCTGCACAGTCCAAAAAAGACACGGTTGTTGACAAATGGGCGCCAATATCCGATACAATATCCATTCTAAATTCCAATACAGGGGTCAGTTATTTGATCATGATCATGATCGAAACCTATATCGAAACTCGCCCAACAGGATTGAGGGCTTTCAGATGCTTTCAGAGTGACTTTCAGTTTCTTGCTGTGCTGTGGCCCATGTCCGTGCACCTTGGAGTCACAAAGTTTTTGCAATCGTCCCAGGTGGCCTTCTTCTTTGGTCCATGCCTGGCTCTGGTCAACTGCACAAGCGGTGCTCCAAGCACCGGGCCCTGGCAAGTGGCTTTGCCTGCAGGGTGCCCCAAAATCCCATGGTTTATCGTAATTTTCCATGATTTTTCATTTTTTTTTCCCCACTGAGCCCTTTGTGGGTCAGGTGGATGCTGGATGATGCTGGCACCTCCCGGACGATCTCCTCGCAGCAAAATGACGGGAAAACACAGGAAAACCATCTTGAAAATGGTCAGGTTGAAAATTGTCAGGTTTCCGTTGGATGTGATCAAAGCATCCACAAATAAACTGACATCAAGTTCTGGCACTTGTTCATGAAAATAATGTTATGTAGGAAGTTGCACCCGGCGGACCTCGCCAAAGTTCCACTCATTCTATATCTCTACTTTTGCCTCTCTGCATTTTGGGACCCGCTAGCTACTAGCACTTGCAACGAAGTGAGCCACAATGCAATTCTACAGATTGAGTGCTCGTAAAGTTGAAGCCAAAACCTCACGAAAACATGAAACTATACACACTGGATGGGTATGTTTTTGTTTGCCCTTGTGCTGTCATGCGACTGAATCGCATATTAAGGTTCGATACCTGTTCAAACCCCCAAACCAAATATTGGAGCTGCAACCATCCAGAAACCTTTAAGACCTATATTATATATATACAAGGGTCATTGCATACCCTGACAAATCATTTGCCTTGGACTCTTGGCTTGCCATCACCGCAAGTGTCCTTCAACTGCGAGCCGTTGGCCTTCTCCTGCAATGTGCAAACAACACCCAGCCATCGCTGAAACATCATGGCATGCAGGTGATCCAAGACCAGCGGCTCCTCCAAACTTTCTTGCAGCTGGTCCACCCGCTCTGCCTCAACATGCCGCATATATGCAATGCATATGTCGCAGAATCCCCCCATGGCATCGCAACCACATTCCCAAACCGTTGATGTTGGCGAACATCATCATCGACAATTTCCAGTCGCATTAGCTGTTGCAAACATGCATTCATCAAAAACTAGAACCAATCAGGTACTTTCATTCCAGCCTCCACGGACATACGATTTTTTTGGGATATATTGGGATCTTAATTTCCAGCAGGGCTTTGTGTGAGGCTTGCACCAGTCGTCTGACCTGTGACATTCGAAGAACAAGGACATGGCTGGCGATTGGGGGTGGCTGTTACCTTTTGAGTGCAAACATGAGCAGAAAGCAAACAGGCCAAGCGAGGTTCATGCCCCAAAGGAGAAACCACTTCCACGGGATCCAAAGATCACGCTTCAGATGTCAGCTGCGGGCTGAACTCCACTACTGCAAAGCCACATAACCTTTGTTTTTCACATTGGCCACAACCGCTATTCGCGGTTTCCTGGCAACGCAGTGCGCACCCGCCGTGGTACAAAGCCAAAGCATTACACCTGGAAGGTCATGACTGGATCTTCCCCTCGGCGACAGTGGCGGAATGCACCAAGTAGAACACTATGTTAACGTAATTACTGTGGTGTGGTGACGGAAAAATCAAACCAATACATGATGTGGGATGATCTAGGATGATTTGGGGGTGCCGATTTGAATCTCCTGATACATAACGCGTCCACATCCCATGTTCAGTTTATAGTAGCAGTGGGATAGTGGGATGTCTGCTTGTGATGTAATTACTAATTACGGTAAAAAAAATATATCAATGAAAATTCATGGGATGATTATGACACAATTATGACTAACCATGACTAACCAACTTTGTACAACTACAACACATATTCAATATCCAACTATTTGTGGGATGATTATATCTCATCATAGCTCAAGTAAAATATACTAAATTACTAAACCATATTATAGTTTTCAAATGTTAAAACAAATGAATAACTATCATGAACATACAGTTTCCACAATGATTCTTCTCCAAGGAACCAGGCCGCGGCACCAGCGCCAGTGCCAACCTCCGACGTTTCGGCAGCGTCTGCAGCCGTGGCCGAGCAGCCAGGCACACCACGATGGCATCCGCCATGAACGTACCTCTGGGAGCGGATGATGCCTGGTGGAAATCTAAGGATTGATGTCTGTGTCATGATCTTCAGAAAGCGTTTGGGGCAAGAATGTATACCACATTTTGAACCTGAGATAACCTAATACTTGTGTGGACCCTGAATTGAGACTATTGATACGTATTGCTCATGTTCCTGCATCAAAGGACCAAAGGAAGTTTATTTCGAAAATTTCCGAGTTACGGACGAATGTCCAGGGGCAGTCTTATCATCATCATCATCATCATCATCATCATCATCCTCATCCTCATCCTCATCCTCATCCTCATCATCATCATCATCATCATGTCATCATCATGTCAACAACATAAGAAGCAAGAGGGTCGTCGAAGTAGGATGTCTGTGTCCGCGCAGGTCGATGTGGGAAAGTTGTCGACAAAAAGTGTGCCAAACTGTGGCGAGAGCCGAATGTGCACTTCAAAATGTTGAAAAACGGAGCAGCCGGTTTTGCATGGTCGAGTCCGCACTGTTGATGCTGCGCGAAATTTGGTCGATTTGTTGCGATGCTCCTGCTATGCGGGTTTGCAAGCGGCTGTGACAAACCGCATTGACACCGCTGCTCGCAGTAAAGTATGAGTGATGTTGCGACAGTCTTGCTATTCGAGTTTGCAGTTGGAGGTTGCTCATTCATTCATGCATTCATTTCATTTCATTTCATTTCATTCCATTCCATTCCATTCCATTTCATTTCATTCATTCACTGCATTCATTCTTGGATTGATTCATTCATTCCTTCATTCATTCCTTCATTCGTCCATGCATTTGTTAATTCATCCTTTCATGCATGCATGCATGCACTCGTTTATTTATTGATTCATTCCTTCATTCAATCCTTCCTTCCTTCCTTCCTTCATTCATGCATTCCTTCATTCATGCATTCCTTCATTCGTTCATTCTTGCATTCACGCGTTCATTCCGCCATGCATTTTTTCATTGATTTGTTCCTTCACTCATTCATTCATTCATTCATTCATTCCGTCATGTGCCCAGTCATTGATTTGTTCCTTCATTCATTCACTCCGTCTTGCATGCAGTCATTGATTCCTTCCTTCATTCATTGATTCATTCATGCATTCATTCAATCCATCATTCATTCCTTCATTCTTTCATTCCTTCATTCCTTCCATGTAATTTCATATCATTCCATCTTTCTTCCGTTGCAAGCTTGATCTCATTTCTGACCAGCCTATAGGCGTTCCTCTTCCTATAGTCATGGCCTATTTTCGACACTTCCGCCCCGGCGCGTGCCAGGCACTATCTGGTAGCAAGGCATTATCCCTTTGTTGCTGAAGTCTTGCATAAGCCTCCAGGGCGTCAAAATCTGCCTACCATGTCCCAGGATCTGCAGCCAGGCACCATACTTGACGACAGCTGCCAACTCTGGGCGGTCTGCGCCAAAGTCATCGCAGCTATCGATGCACAGCTCTGGATAGAGGCTGTCTTCATAGCAAGCCTGGCAGAGCTGAAAGCGGCTGAAAGTTCTGTAACCGTTGACAAAATATGACAAAGCGGCACAAAAACACATAGGACATAGGAGTTTCCAGTTCAATCATTGAAATCAGGCACATCCATAGCATCACATAGCTGCGTTTCCTGTTCCATCTTCTCAGTGTCACATCCATTGCAGTGATTTCTTATGATTTCTTCATCATGTTTGGTTCATGTCCACGTCCATACCTGGTAGTTCACGCTATCTCGCTATCTTGCTAGCAATGGTTTGCTGATTTTCTTTGTCTTTCTGATTATATTCATTTGCTCTCTTTCTCCATCTTTCTCGCTCTTCTGTCTCTGTCAGCCTGTCCGCCATACCCTCAACAACGGCCTTTGCATTTTGCAGGAGATTGCCAAATGCAAGTTGAGCCCGCTTTACATCCAATGCTTTCTTGATCACATACTCCTTCCTCGGCATTGCAAGCGGCACCCCTGTGAACTCACATGATTCACCACGTCATGCTGAAATAGGATGAGGACCACGGGAACAAGGACGGTGAGGCACAGAAAGGATTGCCATTGTCTCGTTAAAATTTAACAGTCAGAGCATCATGTATGTACATGCGGGTGCCAACTATGTCTTATAAGTCTTATATATATATATTGTAGATATAGATGCATACATAATCATACGTACATATACTGCCCTCTCTCTCTCTCTCTCTAGGTCGGGCGTGACTGTCCGCAGCCGTCCCGTATATATTGCTCTATTACGCCCTCTCAAAACATGCCAACAAAAACAAGGTGGAAAGCTTCCGAAACCTGCACTTGGAGACAGGAGTCCCTGGTATCACGTTGAAGGGCCGCCCAGAGATGGTCAGCATTGGTTCACGCGCTGGAGCTGGCAAGAAGCCATTGCTGCGTGCCAGGGCTGGGCAAACCTTGGATGATCGGCCAGAAATATCCAAGACTTCTAAGACATGGGGGGGTTTGGTCAACCTGTCCAGCATGCATAAAATGGCATAAATAAGCAGTTTGTACTTTCTTATGTCTGAGTCACGTATTTGGCACCGGGAGCCACCAGCTGTTGAAAACGCAAATAGTTGGTCAAAGTCTCTGTGTAGGTAGCCTGCCAGCTGGAAGCAAAATGGATGGGAAATGGATGACTCATGGTGGGTGGCAGTTTTAGGCGGCCTGTGCCCAGAGGTTCGAAGGAAAAATACTCAGAAACCTTTTGGCCAGGCACATGCAAATGCGGCGCGAAGCTACCTGGCCCATCATCACTCATCATCCAATCCCAATAGAGCCATGGCGGCACGATGGTGCCATGTGGTGCCCACCTCGCTGGACCGGATGTTGGAGGGTTCGACGCCAAAGCCCTTCTCTTCCCCAAAGGCGGGGGGAAAGGCCCAGCTGGGCTGCACTTCTGCTGAAGCCTAAGGCATCAAGGCTCCCAGGATCTCCCAGATGCCCAGTCACCGGAGGGTAAAGGGAACGGATGGGAACGTGTCAGAACTGGGAAAGGTTGGAGGACTCTCATAATAATTCAGCTATCCATCGCTGCCTTTTCCGTAGGTCTCATGGACTCCTGTATCATTTGCACCTCAATTGGCCTCAGTTGGATTACAATGAGCATCAGTTGGATTGTGTTTCATTGAGTGATGAATCCCCGAGAAGCTCCCACTGCAAAAAAAAACCGGGGCACAGGAAAGTCGACGCTCTGCCACGCTGGCTGGGCTTGCCTGCAGCCACCCTGCTATCCCTGGAGGGGGAAACTTGCCCTGGGAAAGCTTGGGCTGGGAACCCCACATACACATCGTTTAAAATGCCAAATCCTCTCAGCCTTGAGAAATGACTAGCGGCCGAAGATCTGACATATGATGCCTTCCTCCAACTCCGGAAGGCTGGATTTGGAAAACTCATTCTAAATGAACCTGAAACAAATTACGAAATCACTTGAGTGATGTTGGGAAACGGTTCTCCCTACAAACTACCCCCGAATCCCCAACACAGAAGCTACTCCAAGTTTTGCACCATATCTCTGCAGGGATTGCAAAGGAAGTCGCTACTGCACAAAAAGCCGCCATGCAATACACATCATCGCATCAGCAGTTGCAATTGCTGCCAGGAAGCTCAATGAATGTGAACCTTGTCCCGAAGTTCTTCTGGCCTACCAGATGGCGGTTCAGTTTTTGGCAAACAACAAAGGGGAAAACCACCAGCTCTTCTTTTCAAATTCTTCAAACAAACAGGCCCTGGTACTCAAAGGCAACATCTCAAACCAGCAAAAATCCTTTCAACAAATTGTCTTTGACTCTCTGCGCCGCCTTCGCAAAGAGTTCAGCTGTGTGTGACTATTCTGTGCTATGTTCTTTCTACTGCTCCTATTCCCTGAGACTTCATCAACGGTCCAGGCCGATGGTCAAACGGTCAACATGGTCAAACCATCAAGCCCAACAGCCAGGTCCAAGTGGCAAAAAGCGAAGTCCTCCACGTGCTTTGTGCAAAGGCCACTGAGCATCCAAACGCTGGCCGCCCCTTTCACAGCACGAAGATCCTTCGTTGGGCAGCCCTGAACTGTAGATATGAAATGAATTGAAATGATATGAATATAATTGAATATATATATATAATAGATATAGATATAGCATGTTGAAGCCAAATTGAGTGAACTGGGCAACAATGGGCACCCGCAAAGATGGAACTTGGCCATACTTGGCCTTATGAACCACCAAAACCAGTGGATTGGGGTCAAGGTACATAGTGGATGGTAAAGGTAGCTCATGGGGGCTCACACAGTGACCCAGTGACATCCCAAGGTCATTCCGCCTCAACTTTGAGACTTCGAAAAAAATCTCCAGTGCCGGTAGTAGTGCGATTCAGTGCTTCGAAGCTGGCATCTACCTGCACGAGGATGGGAAATCCAATGGAAATCCAACATCCTACAAGACCTGGGATCAGCAGAAGAAGAAGATGTTTTCCAAACAAATCTCTATATATGAACCGTTGCCTTTTCGGACACTTGGGCTTCGGGAATAGGCATATGAATTTGTTTGATGGCTGGTTCTGGGTGTGTCTGACTTTAAATGAAGGGCTACACACCACTGCAGAACAATGACTAGGATTCCAATCCCGGACCGCAGCTAGCGCCTTCAAGTAGCTGCACATCAGCTTCAAAGCACTAAGGCTATCACTTATCACTGGCCTTGGACACATGCCCCAGAAAATCTTAGCAACATACAAAGCTGTCTGGAATTGGTTGACGTCCAGAACCCACGTGCAACCAACTGGAAGCACATCAAGAATCATTGAACGAATTCAAAGGCTGCCGCTCTTGATCCACTTCGACCAATCGAACTTGGTAGGTCAGCACTTTTCTGTTCAGAACAAATGACTTGAGCCCAAGACTTTTTGGATTCAGGAATCATCAGCACTGTATCTTGACGCGAATACTATAATACCCTCAATCTCATTTTATAGAGAGAGAGAGAGAGACTCTCTAGAGCAACCCTCAAAAAAAATTGGAGACTTGGAAATTATGGAGGAAACATCATCCTGGAGACACTATTCTATCTTTTTTGGGGGCCTCTTAAAAAACAGGTAACGTTTAACCTATGCCAAGTTGCAGCACTTCAACACCAGGCGCCAAAGCAGCTGTCAAACGGCTGGCCAGCTGCAAGCTTCGCCACAGGGTGAGGCCGCCAGCCGTTTCATAGGTCCTGATGAAACACCATGAACCACCTGTGGAACCCTGGAAGCAAATGCTGGTTGCTGGATAGATTGGATAGTCTTGTGATGGTTGATCTTGGAGTGACTGTGACGTTCAGGAAAAAACTGGTAACATCTGGGAACGGGAATATATGGGAATTCATCGAAACAAGAACGAAGGAACGGTCAAGAAATGGCCATGCTTGGCCTTTATCCTGCATGGGCTACCGCCAACCCCGATTTGAGAACACAATAACGAACTTTTTCACAGAACTTTTTCACAGATTGATCAATGGTCAAACGGTTGAGATGCCCCCAACCAACTATATATCTACGAGTACCATGGACATCCATAGGCCATAGATAGGTCACCAACCATTGACATGTGAGAATTTGCTGCAATAAACTCAGCATGATTATAAAACAAAAAAACATATTCCAATCATCGTTCTTGTTTCCGCGATTCTGACCCGCAACCCGAAACCCTTCTGCGTTTGAGGATGCCACTCATGGAGCCTTGATAGGCTTCCTATCACCTTTTAATGAAATGGAAGGTTGATGAAATATGGGTCATCCATGGTCATCCCCACATGATCCCCAAGGTCCTGCCATCCAAGAGGATAGTGGCCTTGGCTTCGGTCTCTCCTTTTTCCAGGCGTTCCAAGTTGGCACTTGCCGCCTGCCCGGAGCGGTTCTAAATGGTCCCTAGTCTGTGGCATGGCCAATGCCATGGCAGGTGGCTTTCGGGTGCCTGGAAAACAGTCCTTGCACCCTGTTCAAGTGGTACGGGTTAATATATCCATCTGGTGCACTCCGGAGAGTCCTGTCCTGGGAAAATATCGTGATTAATTTTTGGGGTCCTGGCCTTTTTAAGATTAAAATCCTGGTGCTTGACCTTACTTGCCGGAATTTATAGTCTCAGACGAATAAAACTTGCAGGCAATAATTTCCTGATGCTTAAGGTTTCCAGAAAGGCATTTCTCCCCCTCTAATATCAATTAAATTCCTGAGTGCCAACCCTTATATAATGCTCAACAAACAACCCCTCAACACATGCTGTTAACCGACTTATTTCCTGGGACCCAAGGTTTACATATGAATGTTTCGAAGCCCATGACAGATTCGAGTGGGGGCTATCTGAAGACGAACCCAAAACTCAATTGTTTATCGAATGAATTACCACATTCCCAATTACTTGGGAGTATGTAAAATTAAGAATCAGATGCTTTGGGGCTTACCGCAATTTCACAACCACCCAAATTAAATCACGTGTTAACAATTTCCTGGGCTGCACGGACCACGACTTTAGCAAATAACCCGCGCCTGGAACATATTAAATCGTGGATCCGAACGTTTCCAGCTCATTTTATGCGTTGGCGAAGCTGAACATATGTCATATGTGTTTGCACCCTTTCGCATGGACAAATGCGCGTTGACACAAAATTCTTGAATTTGTCACATCATTTCGTATCTATGGATGGTTGGCCTGGTGATGCGACTTTTTTTTCCTGTGGGGCCAACCTTTGGAGATCATCCGCATGTATTCAGCCAAAAAAGGTCCAGCCCCTTGGAATTTATTTTTGACACCTGCGCCTCGGCCTCTTCAAGTCACCTTTTTTGGTTGGTGAAGCTGAACATATGTGGTTGTAGCCTTTTGCTAGGACAAATTTATTTTCAGCAAAAAAACATGTGTTTTGCATTTTGAGCGCGCATTGGCACAAAATTCTTGAATTTGTCACATCATTTCGTATCTATGGATGGTTGGCCTGGTGATGCGACTTTTTTCCTGTGGGGCCAACCTTTGAAGATCATCCGCATGTATTCAGCCAAAAAAGGTCCAGCCCCTTGGAATTTATTTTTGACACCTGCGCCTCGGCCTCTTCAAGTCACCTTTTTGGTTGGTGAAGCTGAACATATGTGGTTGTAGCCTTTTGCTAGGACAAATTTATTTTCAGCAAAAAAACATGTGTTTTGCATTTTGGGCGCGCGTTGACACAAAATTCTTGAATTTGTCCCATCCTTTCCTATCTATGGATGGTTGGCCTGGTGATGCGACTTTTTTCCTGTGGGGCCAACCTTTGAAGATCATCCGCATGTATTCAGCCAAAAAAGGTCCAGCCCCTTGGAATTTTTTTTTGACACCTGCGCCTCGGCCTCAAGTCACCTTTTTTGGTTGGTGAAGCTGAACATATGTGGTTGCAGCCTTTTGCTAGGACAAATGTATTTTCAGCAAAAAATATGTGTTTTGCAAATTTGGGCGCGCGTTCAAGACAAATGTACCCCTTTGCAAGGACAAATGTATCTTTGGAATTTGTTCCTGATGTCTAACCTACGCACATTCAGCATTATAATCATTATAGCACCATTTCCACAGATTTAAATCCTGGTTCCCAACCTTTTAGAGTCATGTAAAGAACCATACCCCCTCAAATAATCATGGGGCATTTTTTTCCTGGGGTTTGACGTACATATATGTTCCAGTGAACTCCCCCCCCATGAACATTACTTTCCTGTGGCCGGACGTTTGCAAAATAATCTTGAAATATTTTTGACATATTTTGAACCAAAATTGTTTTCCTGGGTTCGAAGGGACGCAGGGTTAGCATGTGCAAATCGGATCAAATCGGTGATTTCAAGATTATTAATTTGGTAGTGGACCCCCAGGAAAATAATCTGCATCACCAGATGGCTATGGTTAATAAAAATGCTTGGCAAATGGGGAAAAACAGTCCATCAGCTGGCATGAACTCACTAGGTCACTAGGTCAGTCACTCAGTTCTTTCATTACAAGATTCCCCTAATGGATTGTTACAATCCCCAAGATTTTGGATAATATCACAACATATCACACCCCCTTTCATATTCCTCTACCAACAGGGGTGGAATGCAACAAACAGCACCCAACACTTTTTTCTCCCGCCTGAAAGGCCAACAGGATGATTGCCAAGCGATCGTCCGAATCATTGTGATCGATATCCACCAGCATCACCTGAGATCCCAGCAGATCGCAGCACAGGTCAGGGCCATAGCTTTTGTTGGAAAGCAACTGCGTGCGACGTTTGATTCAAAGACCGATGTAGAAGGCAGCGATTCCGGATTCTGTAAAGACGAAGAACTCAAGAACTCGCATAGGACAAGTCAACAAGCAGCGATGTTGTAAGGGCACAAGGTCGAAGTATGTCGAAGTCAGGATGTCAGGATGTTGACCCTACTGCAATTGCTTCATGTACCTTGCGTCATCCTTCCAAGTTGCTTGGGTCTCCCCCATGCTGCTGAAATATTCCTTGGCATCGGACCAGCCAAAACCTGAAGCATGCGATGCTCACCCTGGCTGCCAATCATCATCAATCATCCGGGGCCACCCCAAGGTCCACACTCAGCAGTTAATGGGCTTTTCAAGCGCTAAAGTGATACAGTTTCAATGCCCCTAGGCATCTCTAGTTTAATGATTAAGCATGTTTCCAAGCATTTCCGTTCAAGTCAGCAAGGTTGGAAGGGGTTGACGACGCACCGCATCGCACCGCCATCATCCAAAAATGGCCCCGGCCAGATTCCAGTTGCTGTTGGTATTGAACAACCAGCATGCATAGTGCCAATATTCGAAGCCCAGTTTCACTCCCATTAACACATTTGTATCATTTGTGAAGGTGTACACTTTGAAATCTTCCAGCAGTTCTACCTCTCCGACTGTTACAGTATCGATCATCTCACCCCCACACTCCCATCCCATCTGTGCTGTCTCACTTGCCCATATGCTACATGATAATTCCCGTTTGTTTCGGGCATCACTTCCAAAGCCAATTCCACATCCAACCTATGCAATCCCTGCCCCTTCAGCCATCTCCAGGGGGCTTTTGTAGAAGCTGCGCAAATTGCTTTTGTCAAAGGCTTCCGATAGCTGTTCCACACCAGACCTTTCTACGGGCTGTGCTCCACTCTGCAGCAAATACTGATTATACATGATTTATACCAATATGGATCAATATGGAACGAGTTGCTAACTTCACAGCTGCGCAATCTGGAACACTTGTGCATGATACCATGTGATTGATCAGTGGTTACAGTACATCCTTTACAAGTAAATTGTACAGTATCATGAATTAATCCCTTTCAACAAATCCACAATGCAATGAACAGAACCCCTCCCAGTCACTGACTTCCTCACTTTGAACCAATGCAGGAACAGCTGCAAGAGACACGCTTCTGCTTCCGCACTCGAGGGCAGAGCGAGATCGATGTTGACCTGAAACAGCCAGCCGCTGCCCGAAGTTGCGCCCATGATCCCACATAGTAACTGGTAATTTCCTCGGTTTCTGAAGTTTGTGCTTATATCCTTGCGACGCCTGAAAAGCAATGAAAAACATCTCTAAAGACTGGTGCCTACTAATCCTTTCCCCCTATTACTAAACGTACCCACATACTAAAAAAATATAGGTTCCGTTTTCAGTTTTGGGAAACTTGAAGTTTGCCTATTGATTTTCAATTGATCGCCTTTAGAAAACAATTTAAACATGAAGGTCCCATTTGAGGGTTTCACCCCTAATAATAAAAACTAGTCAGCATTGAGGTGCTTTTAATTAGGGTCCGCCCTTCACAATTGAACATTTTATTTCTAAAAAAAACATATATCTAATATTAGGGTAGTCTTCGAAATCCAAGTTTTGGCAATATTTTAATTAGATTTGAAAAGGAATTTATATATATATATAATCGAGTTTGAAATAGGAAAAAACAGTTCTTTTATTAAGGTCTTTAATTTAGTATTTTATTAGGGGGAAACTTCGCCGCCTTATACTAAACATTTCCTAAAATGAAAATTCCCACAGGTGTTTATTATTGGGGGGCAGTGTAGTATTAGGGGGAAGGGATTAGTGCTGGTCAAAGCGTCCATCAGTTTTATTGCAGATGTGCCTCTACCATCCCCTACCATCACCTACCATTCAGGCATGGCCAACTGCCTTGCCATGCTGCCATTGGTCACGTTCAATCCACCGTTGTAACCCCCCACCCTGGTGCCTCGGCGTGCAACTGGCACAGGCCGCTCAACAACATCTTCTCCCAGGGGTCATCCTCAGAAGCCTTGCCTTCATCCAGGAGGCTTCTGAGCTGGTGATGGGCAAACTTCTCCTTGGAGAAGTGGATGGATGTCCGTGTCACCCTGATGCTTGGGAGCTATATCTGGTGATAATTGGTCATAGTAAATATAATGTATATCCGTCACACACACATTATATATAATTCTCAAAATTAGCCGAAGGAAGTTTAGAAGTCAAACGTCCGACAATATGGACAGATGAAAAGCAGAGATGGAAGAGAGAAGATGAGAGGAGAGAAAGAGTCAGAAGAAAGACGATGCAGATGCGCGAAAAGGTAGGAAAGTCGCGAAACAGCGTATTTTTCTTAATGATTTGAGGCTCCGGAGGGCCGAAAAGTAGGCGCTAAAGCGGCGGGTGCGGAGCCATCTGGCCAGATGAGAGATGAAAAAGTGCACGCCGTTGTGGCGCGAAGCACATTTCCAAGTCAAAATGTACAAAACACGTCAGCTTCGGACCACTTTTGGAAGTTGCGATGTCGAAAAAGTGCACGCCGTTGTGGCGCGAAGCACATTTCCAAGTCAAAATGTACAAAAGCACACCAGATTCGGACAACTTTTGGAAGTTGCGATGTCGAAAAAGTGTACGCTGTTGTGGCGCAAATCACATTTCCAAGTCAAAATGTACAAAACTCACCAGGTTCCGACAACTTGTGGAAGTTGCGATGTCGAAAAAGTGTACGCCGTTGTGGCGCGAAGCACATTTCGAAGTCAACATGTTAAAAACAAACCAGGTTCGGACCACTTTTGGAAGTTGAGACGTCGAGAAAGTGCACGCCGTTGTGGCGCGAAGCACATGTCGAAGTCAAAATGTTAAAAACAAACCAGGTTCGGACCACTTTTGGAAGTTGAGACGTCGAAAGTACGTACGTACGTATGTATGTATGTATGCATGTATGGATGTATGGATGTATGGATATATGGATGTATGGATGTATGCATGTATGCATGTATGGATGTATGGATGTATGGATGTATGGATGTATGGATGTATGTAGGTATGTAGGTATGTAGGTATGTAGGTATGTAGGTATGTAGGTATCTAGGTATGTAGGTATGTAGGTATGTAGGTATGTAGGTATGTAGGTATGTAGGTATGTAGATATGTAGATATGTAGGTATGTAGGTATGTAGGTATGTAGGTATGTAGGTATGTAGGTGTGTAGGTGTGTATGTGTGTATGTGTGTATGTGTGTATGTGTGTATGTATGAATGAATGTATGAATGTATGAATGTATGTATGTATGTATGTATGTATGAATGTATGCATGTATGCATGTATGCATGTATGCATGTATGGATGTATGGATGTATGTATGTATGGATGTATGGATGTATGTAGGTATGTAGGTAAGTAGGTATGTATGTAGGTATGTAGGTATGTAGGTATGTAGGTATGTAGGTATCTAGGTATGTAGGTATGTAGGTATGTAGGTATGTAGGTATGTAGGTATGTAGGTGTGTAGGTGTGTAGGTGTGTAGGTGTGTAGGTTTTTATGTGTGTAGGTTTTTATGTGTGTATGTGTGTATGTGTGTATGTGTGTATGTATGAATGAATGTATGAATGTATGAATGTATGAATGCATGAATGTATGAATGTATGAATGTATGAATGTTTGAATGTATGAATGTATGAATGTATGTATGTATGTATGCATGATAGTGTTCCAAACTTCTGTTTGTCGCTCGGTGACACGGGCACGCACACAACCATGCTGCATACATGTATACCGGCCTTCTTTCGTCCATGCACGCACTCATTCAATCAATGAAGCTATCTACAACCATTTGGCCCCGCCTCCTGGCTGGGTAGCTCGGGGTTTACGGTGACCATCCCTTTGTGTTGGGCGGCGTCGCGCCCTGAAGGAAGCGTGGCCCTGAACTGCGGGGGGTTGTAAAAGATTCGCTCCGTCTCAAGGTCCGTGACCATGTCATCCAACAGCCCCCAAGCCTCGCTGCCAATGCTGACATGGAAGCTCCCCACACGGTGTGGATCTGAAAATGAACAATAAATTCCCAAGGTGATCCAATTTTTATTTTGGGAATATGACGTTTTTAACCACCGGATTTTGGAGTAACTATATAATCTTTAGGTAAACCCATCTCTGCTGTTCTCACAGTTATGACCTTTGGTATAGAATGGGGCCAGTGCCATCGGCCAAGCCTTGCGTTTCAGCGTTTCAAGCTTCCATGTTGTGAGGGCGAAATTCTTTGCGCGTGTAGATAGTATGGTAACCACCACCCACCACTAATTTGGGTATGCATTGCAACCCTGTCACCTTTCCGTCCACATCCCGAAAATGAAGAGAAGTTGGGTTTGAATCCAAAGTCTCAATATTGTTTCTTGGTTTCGTACTGAAGCACTAGAGTACCACGACGGTTGTCAAAATTGACTTTATTCACATGTATATAATTGAATATTTAAACATAGAATATTTTATGGATTTTTATGGCGCTACTGTTGTGGGTTGCTGACGGGCCAAGGTGCTTCCGCGCATCCGGTCCCAATTTCTGCCCACTCCTCTGTGATTTCAGTGCCATTGGGCAAGACGTGGTCCAGCACTTCTGTCACGGAGAAGCTGGCTGGGAGCGGCACCGTTGTTGACGGAGTGGTCAAGAGTGCCAGCCTGGAGAATATTTTCTCCATAGTCGCGCCGCGCTCAAGCCATGCCTGAGTGTTTGGCGCCTAAAATCAAAAGGAATGGGTGAATCCATGTATATATTTTAGACATGAACCCAATCTGAACACAAGGGAGGATATCATCAATCAATTGCTTCTCTAGAATCCGTTTGCTGACTGTTTGAGTCCGAGGTAAGAGCTGCAAAGTACAGTGCTTTACCCCAGTGGATCCTTGGGCCGCAATTGACCACCAAAAGGACGCTATGGACACTAAGATACAATTTTGCGGCTCATTGGAAGGCAATGGGGGGCGGCGATTTCAAAATGATTCTGTCCCTGAACAATGGGGAAAAGGAAAAAACTTGTAGAAAACTTCCGAGGTTCAGAAAACACAGCGTATGCAAAGCTAGGCAGCACATGTGATTTCACTTTGGGTGATTTTGGATGTGACATTCAAGTGGGATCTGGTTCCTTGGGGGAGATGTTAGCCAAGGACATGGGGTTGCTCAGCGATGATAAACTTACTGATGCTACCTAGAATGAACCAATGGAAGAAAACACACATATGACATATATATATAATTTATATAACTATATGCGTTTGTAAGCACGCGATCCCTAATAGACAATATGTTTACCGAAAAACGTATGAAAATGTGCATTGAGGAGCGGCTGCTGTCGGACTTGCAGTCAGTGGCTTTGTGGAGTACATCGTCCGACCATCCTCCTGGACAGAAAGCTCGATATGATGCAGCCGGGCAGCCGGGTCAAAGTTTTTTCTCCGATGGCGCGTCCGCCTTGCCAAGGGCCTTGTCTCCCCTTGTGCCCCTTCATGTCTCCCCTTGTTGGATGGTGCGTCCGCCTTTCCGGAGGTCTTGTCTCCTTTGTTGGATGGTGCGTCCGATTCCCGGGGGTCTTGTCTCCCATTGTCTCCCTTCTTGTTCCACAAACAGCGTCCTGTACTGTTAAGGGGTTCTTAATGCTTTCTTGAAGTGTCCGCCTTGGTGTTGGATGGCGCGTCTGCCTTCCCGAGGCCTTGAAAGTGCACGCCGTTGTGGCGCGAAGCACATTTCGAAGTCAAAAAGTTAAACACCACATGCTCGAGCCACTTTTGGAGTTCAGATGTCGTTTCGCGTGGCAGGCGCAAGGGATTGTGCACCTTGTCAAAAGTGAGCAAAACGTGAAGGTTTTGAGCATTTCCAAAAACCATGGCAGGCATGGGACATTTGCAGAGGATCATCTAAGATGCCTTTTCCGTGGCAGGTGCAGTACAAGAGACATCTTCATCAGAGCTGTTAGGAGGTCCGGGCGCTGATTTCCTGAGAGGGGTTGCATTTTGGAGCATCCGATTTTCAGGTTTGCTGAGATGATTTTGCGTGACAGGTGCAGCACTACGTATGACCTGGCATCACTTTTTCGTGGCAGGCGCAGTAGTTTAGACAGGTGGACTGAAAAAAATGGCGAAACACATTGGTACGAGGCCGTCAGCTCTGCACTCAACTTTCCATTTTTGAAGGACGTCTCGCAGAATTGCTTCGTTTTTGATGTTGTCTACTTCGAAAAATGAGGAGTGTCGCAGAATTGCTTCGTTTCTGACGTTGTCAAGTTCAAAAATTGAGGATGTCTCGCATAATTGCTTCGTTTTTGGCGTTGTCAACTTCAAACATTGAGGAAGTCTCGCAGAATTGCTGCGTTTTTGATGTTGTCAAGTTCAAAACCTGAGGACGTCTCGCAGAATAGCTTCGTTTGCAAGCTTGCAAATAGACAGGTAGATAGATAGACAGACAGACAGACAGAGAGAAAGATAGATAGATAGACAGATAGGTACACAGAAAGATACATAGTAAGATAGAAAATGAGATAGATAGATAGGTAGATAGATAGATAGCTAGCTAGATAGATAAACTGATAGATAATTGGATGGATAGATAGATGGATAGATAGATAGATAGAAAGATAGATCGATGGATAGATGGATAGACGGATAGACGGATAGATGGATAGATAGATAGATGATAGATAGATAGATAGATAGATAGATGATAGATAGATAGATAGATAGATAGATAGATAGATAGATAGATAGATAGATAGATAGATAGATAGATAGATAGATAGTATTAGATAGTATTAGATAATATTAGATAGTATTAGATAGTTAGATAAACAGACGAGAGACAGAGAGAGAGAGAGAGATATAGATAGACAGACAGACAGACAGATAGATAGATGGATAGATGGATAGGTGGATAGATCGGTAGGTAGGTAGGTGGGTGGGTGGGTGGGTAGGTAGGTAGGTAGGTAGTAGGTAGAAAATCAGAGAAAGAGAGAAGAGAGAAAGAGAGAGAAAGAGAGAGAAAGAGAGAGAAAAAGAGAGAAAGAGAGGAGACCTTAACCACCTTTCGGTCCATCAGTGGATTCGCTCTGCCATCCGCGATTCACAACAACCAACCTCTCCTATAGGTTTCCTATTATTGAAACTTCCGCCACCGCCTTGTGCGGTACTACTGGTACTTATATAATATATAGTAATATAGTATGATATATGCATATACTGCCGGAGAGTTAGACTCGTAATCGGCTGGATGAAGCAATATCTCGAGCTTTTTCAAGCCTTTTCAAGCAACATGTAGTGGTGTGATGTGGTGTGGTTAGCTTCCAGCGGTTGATGCTGCTATGAGTCTGCTTTTGTAGCGCCACTGGGTGTAGGCATAACGCAGGGTCAACGACGAGGTAGGAGTCGCCCCCTCCGGGCTTCCTTGCTAATGCTCCTTCCGCATTCTGACTCGTTTGCTTGATGCCTTGAAGCTTGAAGGTGGGTGTTTTTGCACTGACTGGCTAAGGAGAAACAACATGAAACAGCTATTAATTGTTACACTGGTGCGAACAGGGATTGCCTATGACTATGATGGGATATAATATGATATAATATGCATATCTGGGGAGTCTGTTCGATGTCAAAGCTGAAATGAGTGACACCTCACGCTGCTAAGCTCAAACGCTGCGGCGAGGACACACTGCGTTCATTCTCATGGCTGTATCGCATATACTTCAGAAGTACTGCGTCCTGTGCTGGATTGTGGTCAATTCCAAATCCCAGTTTTGACAATGCATCATGAGGGCAACAAACACTGAAGGAACGGTCCGGAATAATTCTTGATACAGCAACTCACCCAACCACATTACAAGATATTACAAGCATATCAAAATTATGCCACTTAAGCTACCCATGATTCCCCATCTATATAGATCCAGGTCATCCGGATCCATAAAATCCGTATCAATCCATATATGGCTTGCCTCGCTGTTGGATTCAGCCACCACTTGGGAGAGGCCTGCCTCGAGCATGAGGACGATGCTGATGTAAAGAATTACATGTCAAATGCACAATGTGTATCCATACTGTATATTACAGAAAACAAATCATACATGTGAAATATTATGAATATGATGTACTATGAAAATCTATGAAATATTGTCATGACAAACAAAATATCTCTGCACTTTGCACATATTTGATACACAATGAATAACCCCCCGAGAATCACTGCATTGGTAATCACAGCATGCTTATGCATATGTACAGTACGAATACCCATAATCAACACGGTTGGGGGTTCAACCCTGCAAATATCAGCCTGTTTTTGGGTGTCCATTAACCCTGAAAATCATGTGATGAAAAACAACTGTATAACCACATGTAACATCATGTAACCTTGAAAAGCAGCCAACAAACAATGATATAATCAGACATCTTGCTGAATTGTGTCATACAGTATGACCAGCCAGAGTTGAGATTGAGATGCGCAGCATCTTACAGCATTTCTGACATCGTCGAAACAACTATCTCAAAAACTTGAAGGACAATATTTTGCCACCCAAAGCACACAGACATATGGAAACATAATCCAGCGCCCACTTCTGATATCTGTTCGATTTCATGCCAAACACTTTCACCCAAGCTAGTCGCGGCCTCAAAGCCACTGCGCCATTGGTGCACCTCTGCACGTTGCCTTAACTATCATTCTGTTTGTTTATCCATTGATACAGCAGGATTAAAAAAACATGTGTTGATGCAAATGCTTCCTCGGCTACGGAAATAATTGCCGGCAATGAAAGCAATTCCGAACCGCTTGGAGAAACCATCAATTTATCAAAAAAATATCAGTTTCAGCATTACCTTAAGGTGAGTGCTCTGAGGTCAAAGCTTTTCCATAGCCGCATGCAATTCACCAAGGCTGTTGCGCAGCGCCTGGGATACATCAGGCGACTGGTAGTTCAACAAAGTAGGGACAGGTGCTAGGAAAAAACAATTCAAGGGGCATCAAATAATGAACACATGCAACATGTATGTATAACATGTAGTTTAAAGATGGTTAAAGCACTTGTGATGGGTGGTTGCGGAATGTTGTGATTGTATATTCATATTGCCATAAATATATGTTTAAATTATCATATTGCTCATTCACAAGCCATTCATTGCATGCCAGTGTCAGCTGGGGCGGGTCGTCGCCTGAACCTCAGAGGTGCTCCTTCGCTGCCCTTCTAGCACCGAGTCTGCCTGCGAGTGCATCGTGAAATGATGCATGTAGGATCTGCTGTGGTCAGATGGTGATCTAGATTGTCTTGTCTCCGGATCAAACCCGAACATCATCTCTAAATGATCCTAAATGCCTTTTGTATCTGTTCAATCCTGCATCCCAGTGGATCCCTTTTATTGTTCGTGGGTGAAGCGCGTATGGAACCCATGCAGAATTGTGGGTTCCTCCGTTGGCCACCTCCTCCTCTGCTTGAAGCCGTGCATCGCGGAGCTCCGAAACGTCCGCCTTGGGAGATGCTGGGGTGAAGTTCGCCTTGGGGGAATCCGCATTTAAGGAGGTAAAATTGCTGATAAAAGTGTTACAGTACATGCTAGAGTACCAATGTATATATATATATAGAGATAATTATATCGATAAATAAATATACATATATAAGTATGCGTCACCCAAAAAAACATGATTTTTGATGTTTTCTTTTCCGGCAAGTGTGCTGCAAACTTCCTCGTTCATGTGAAAGGCTATCACCCGGCCCTCTTAGCATCAAGATCTCCTTTTAACATCGTTTAACTCCTTTCACGTCTCTCAAGTGTAAGGATGTGACAATCCAAAGGTTCTGGCAGGTCTTGGCATGCCACGCTAACAATGGAATAGATCTCCGTCATATTTATGTCAAGCGGAACCATCCTCAACCATCCTCTCGATCATTCTTAAATCAAAGGGATCAAAGGGGAACTATGGGGTTGGATCTCGTGATCCGACAGCCTTTTCAATGCTGAAAGACATTGCGGCAATCCCAACCTTTATCTCCCTCCAGCCTTGCGGCGTAAACTTTCGTACAGCTCTTCTTGCATTTCGCCGGTGCGTCGCTCCAACTGCATGCAGAATGCAATAACATGTTTAAACCACCTAGCACTCCAAACCACTTGGTTCAAAGAAGCTGCCTACAAGATCGTTTCAAATGTGATGAATGTGTGCGCAGCAGCTTATTTACACTTGAAATGTGTTGAAACAAATCAAATTGCTCCAACTGCATGAAGCAGTCTCAATATAATACGATATGTTCAAATACCACCTGTTTCCAGATGCAGAGTAGCAACCCACCACTCATCCATATTCCGCTCGCTTGCTCCCAACTAGAAGAAAAGCCCAGAAATCCAGAGCATCCAGGCCTCTCTTACAGCATGACTCTGCGCATGCGCCACATCACACAGTGCCTGGCACTCGGACATTCTTGGATGTTTTTGGTTAAAGTCTTGATATATAAATATATATATATATATATACATCATTATATATATATCTCTCTCTCTCTTGATTGATGCTTTTTGGTGCATTCTACCTTTCCATCCTTCCAACATCTACCCATCTCCAAAGCCATAGGCACAGCAGCTCCCCAAAGGCCCAAAGGGATCCCAAAGGGTTTCACCTGGAAGACCGTCTTGATCACACCCTGCACATCCCGCCAATCCTGGAGTTGGTGAAAGCAGCTCTGCGGCTTCTTTGATGTGGATGCAGTCTTGTTGCAAGACATTGTGAGTCATTATGTTCTGTGTTGCCATGTCTATGGCTATATCACTATATGTCTATATGTCTATATGTCTAGGTCTCTGTCTCTCCCTCTCTCTCTCTCTCTCGCCCTCTCCGGTGCCATGTGGCATCATGTGGGCATGTGTCATACGACCTGTTTTTTTGGGGCCCCTGTCCTGACCGCAATGGAAAATCATGAGATGTTATGTACAAATATTTGATCAAACGTAATAGTCCACACGACTCACGACTCTTGTCGTCTTCTTCTCAGTACTCAGCACATATTCCCCAAATAAGAGCAGTTAAGTGTTTTTTTTCTTGACATCTCAACATGATCCTGAATTTCTCCCGTGCAGCAATCAAAACAAATGCAAAACACGCCTCACCACAGCACCACAACGGCCAGTGACCCGTAAAGTGAAAACCAGTCGAAAAGAGACAGGCCAAGGCACGTGCAAATTTCCCATGAGCCGCTCCAGCTGCTGGGGAGGATCCATTGCAGCGAATTCGTTTCTGGTCACTCTATGAGTATTTTGTATGTTTCTTGAATGTATTCAGGTAATCATGATGCATGCGGTGTGATGTAAAGATGCATCTCCACATGATTCCATATGCAGCAAATGCATCATATCGTCACTTGCAACCTGCGAGGATGATGCGCATCATGAACTGCAGCACTTGAAATCTGACTTTCAAGTACAACCGGAGAGGGGTCTACCATCATATGGACACGTAAAAAAAATGGACACGAACTTCAATGGTCTGCAAAATGGGGATGTTTACAAACTGGAAGCCCTTCTGCCTAGTTGTGGTAGCATACCTGACTGCATGCGACATCGCAAGAGATCTTGTGTTCTGGTTTTCTCTTGGTGCTGAAACTGCGGCTCCAGTGAGGCCAATTCAAGGGGCCTCCTGCAAGAAGTTACCAAACGTATCATGCTCTAAATGGGAGGATCTGAGAAAAGTCTGGACATCCTTTGGCACTTTTATGGCCTAGGTTCTCTAAGAAATGATCCGCGACTTTTCCAACCTGGGCGTGGTCCGTGGCCACGTCCGGCTTGACAGGCTTGAAGTCATCTGTATCCCGTTGCGAGGCTTTCAAAGCAGGTACAATAAATCTCCATCATCGAATCATCAGGACCGGCTCTGCACAGCACGGGCCGTCGACCAAGCAACCTGATAGCCTGATAGCTGTGAATTGTAGCTGGCACAGCTGGCGGATGTGCATCCAAGAAAGTGATGCGATGTACGTACTAATCTGATTGGTCTTGGCCTCCTCTTTGGTAGTGCGTCCCTAATGTCAGGGCTCGAATAGAATCGGGCAAACACTTCAAATGTATTCAAATGTGCCATCCAACGGTCCAACATGGTCAAGCGATAGCCACCCCTCAGACTGAAACCCAGGAAGGAACTGCAATTTTCAACAGCAAATCACCAGCTGTTGGCTGAGGCCAAGATGATGTCCACCGACACCCCTCCCACATTGCCATGGCGAAGAGTGTTGAGCCGCCAGTGCCGGGAACTGCTTTTCAACATCGCAGCTTGCAAATCTGAAGTCTGTGCCTTTGGACCTCAGATATTTTGGATTCACAGAATTTAAGAAACATGATTATATGTATTTAAACATGTGTATTCTATAATGTACGGTATGTGTAAACATACATGCATACACACATACATTATATTACATTACATTACATTACATTATTTCATGACATACATGACATACATGACATACATGACATACATTGCATACATACCATACATACCATACATAACATGCATTACATACATTACATACATTACATGCATAACATACATTACATACATAACATACATACATACATTACATTACATTACATTACATTACATTACATAACGTTACATTACATTACATTACATACATACATACATACATACATACATAACATACATACATAACATACATACATAACATACATACATAACATACATACATAACATACATACATAACATACATACATACATACATACATACATACATACATACATACATACATTACATACATACATACATACATACATACATACATTACATACATACATACATACAGACATACAGACATACATACATACAGACATACACACAGACATACATACATTACATTACATTACATTACGTTACATTACATTACATTACATTACATACATACATACATACGTACATACATACACAACATACACAACATACATAACATGCATAGCATACAAAACATACATAACATAACATGACATAACATAACATAGCATAGCATAGCAAACAATACATACATACATACAAACATACAAACATACAAACAAACAAACAAAAAACATACATACATTACATTACATTACATTGCATTACATTACATTTCAGTACATTTCATTATATTACATTACATTATATACATTTAAAACCATAAGGTAACATAACATAACATACATACATTACATACATAACATACACTACATACATTACATTACATTACAATACATTACATTACATTACATGACATGACAAGACATTACATTACATACATAAGATACATAACATACATAACATACAAAACATACATAACATACGTTACATACAAAACATACATAACATACATAACATACATACCATACATACATACATAACATAACATTACATATCACTACAGTACATTACATTACATTACATTTTTTACATTACATTACATTACCATACATTACATTACATTATATTACATTAGATTTCATTACAAACCATAAGATAACATAACATAACATGACATAACATACATACATTACATACATTACATACATTACAAACATTACATACATTACATACATTACATACATTACATTACATTACATTACATTACATTACATTACATTACATTACATTACATACATTACATACATACATGCATACATACATACATTCATTACATTACATTACATTCCATTCCAGTCCATTCCAGTCCAGTCCATTCCATTCCTTCATACATACATACATACGTACGTACGTACGTACGTACATACATGCATACATACATTACATAGATACATAGATACATAGATACATACATACATACATACATACACACACACATACATACATACATACATACATACTAACATAACATAACATAACATGACATAACATAACATACATACATACATAACATAATAACATACATACATACATACATACATACATACATACATACATACATACATACATACATACATACATTACATACATACATACATACATCCATAAATACATACATACATACATACATACATACATACATACATACATACATACATTACATACATACATACATACATATGTACACACGTACACACGTACGAACATACATTACATTACATTACATTACATTACATTACGTTACATTACATTACATTACATTACATTAATATACATACAGCAGAGTGTATATACTATAAATGTGCAAACTTGTGTGTAGACGGTGGCTGATCTAAAAAATACTTGGCATGAAACAAAGGAATGAGCAACAAATCTGCAGGTGCATGTTGTTTCATTTCGGGCAAACTCCTAGCAAAAAAATAATGGTGATTTACCCTCCGGTAGTCAAGCACGGCAATGAGAAATTTCCCGTAATGGGGTATTTAAATTGGAATTTCATCTCGAAATGTGAGGCCCCTAAATTCCACTGGTTTATCATTGCTTTCCAAAATAGAATGTTTGCCCAGTTGGGCATTCTCCATTTTGAGACAAACCCATAGTTTGATGGGTCGAAATGTTTTAATCCCGACAATGGAAGTGTGGATCATCCATTGTTGCTTCACTTTTGGCCCACGGCGATAGTGCATGTAACACTCCGATGCAAAATCTATTTTAAAAAACAGTTTGTCCAAAAATCATTAACTTATTGGTTGCCAATGGACCATGGAAGACGCCGAATTTTCATGACTTTTCCATTGCCATGTTGTTTTTCACCGCATATTTCTTGCGCAATGTTCACAGCAAGTAGAGGCAGGTCTGCTATGGTTCATTCTTCATCAACGCACCAGATTGCTGGACAAATTGCCGCATCACTGAGGTTTCATCCCCTACAACCATGGTTTTCTGGTAGATTTTTAAGACCTTAGTGTAAGAGCTTAGTTCAAGCTTAGGGGAATGGGACTGGTTGATTGCCCATCACATCTATATTCCCATTAATTCCAGTTACATTCCATTCTACCCATATCATACCACCATTTTTGATGATTTCTGGGGGATGATTCATGAGCCTGCAGCTGAGCGGCAGATCAGGGCCACACGGCCCTGAGGTTTGAGGACTGCATCCAATGCCTGGACCAAGATGCGGATGTCCTCGGCTGGGGAGGATACATAACAGAAATGCCAGCCATACTACCAATGCGTAAATACGTGTAAATACAAATAATCATTTAAACACACACACAAATACATATATATATACACACATACATACATATATATATATATATATATTATATGGTCATGTGTACATGTGGAATCATACGTGGACAATGTCACAATGGTGGGGGAAAACATCACCGTATCATCACCGTGGCCGTGTATCATTTTTGCTTGTCCTGATGCCGGCTGAGGCCCTGCCCCTGGCAACCAAGCATCAAGCATTCGAATGGTCACGCCAAAGGGCAATTCAGAGATAACCACCTGGGGTCAAAGAACAGCAGACTCCTAGGGTTCAGTGATAACTTTCAAGAACAAGTATGTAAGGGGATGTGAGGTGATAACCTAGGAAACATTCAGGATACCTAAGTGGCACTACCTAAACAAACAAATGATCTCCCGAACTGTCAGAAACATGCCCAAGTAAGAATTTCTTTTCAGTGGGATATGAGGCTTTTGCGACTTGGCAACTTGTAGGTTACAGTGGTGGCCAAAAGATCCCACCAAGGGTTGGTCGTAAAGAACAAGGCCAACAAGAAAAAATCGTCAACATGAGTGACATCCCATGACAAAGAGGCACCATCTATGTGTTATTTTGAAATGTAAAACCTTCCAATGTAGTACCTAAATAAGAATACACTGTATAAACATAAACAATTTTTCCAATATAATATATATGTGTGTGTGTTTATGTTTATAGAACCAATTATGAAAATAACATGCAGAACCAATCACATGACCATGACTCAAGAAGACTCAAACCAAGCCACATCGAAGCAACTACCATCTGCCAGACTGAAGTCAATCCACTCTGCAACACTCCTGCGGTGAGGCATAATTTGAATTGTGGCAGCCAACGCAACTGTGCGAACGCAATCGCTGTGGCCTACAGTTCCAATGTTTAAAGCAACACCAATGGACGAAATTGCCTTAAAACCTTAAACGCTGTTATAAAATATACATAAGCCTCCCATCAACCAGAGTCTACAGTGTGCCAAAGTAACCCTGTAAAAAAAAAGTAAGTCATAAGTCATAAGTCATCTCAATTGTTTTCACCAAGAGTGGGGTCAGGCGAAAACGCTGATATCAGAAAGGCCAAGTCAAGCAGTCAGCCTAGTTGAAGCCCTTGGCTCCTTCTGAGAATCTTCACTTCAGATCCTGCCGCGAAGAGGTCTTCACGCTCTGCCACCTTCCTTCCATTGTGACAGAATGAACAAAAAATGCATCCCAAAAATGTGTTTCCAGCCATCCTGAGGTTGTCATGGCAAGGAAGAAAACTGACACAATTTCACATAATATCACATACTATTTATATATATATATACCAACTATGATATATATATATTTATTTATACATAAACCATATATATATATATGTTATATATATAAACCATATATATATATATAACATATATATATATATACATGTTCTATATATATATATATGTATATATAATCCCCCCTTTAAGGGGGAGGTGGGGGGCGTAAAAACTGAAATATTTCAAAAAGGGGGTGTCGCGCTCCCCAAACCTAGAAATATTTCAGCTAAAAAAATATGGTTTTTAATGGTCTCTCCAGGGCTAAAATGTGGCATCCGGAGGGACCCCCCCCAATCCTTTTGGAAACCCAAAAACATGTGGGGAGTGGGTATATTTCATGCAGTCAGTTGAAATATGTCCGATAAATTTCTTGTCCTATCCCCTCCCAAATATTCCAGGGTTAAAGGGGGTGGGATTATATATATATATAACATATATATATAACATATATATATAAAACATATATATATATATAACAAATATATATATAACATATATCTATATAACATATATATATATATATAACATACACACGTATGTATATATATATATAGAACATACATATACATAAATATATATAATTATATTTAATTATATATATATAACACACGCATACACATATATATATATATAACATTTTTCTAAGTAGTTTCAGAATTCAACTGTTTAGCTTGCCGTTAGCCCAGAAAGAAAACAATCCTTAAAGTACTTTACCGCAAACACCTCTCCATAACATACAGTATATATCAATATATCATAGATTTTCATGGCACTTTCAACAAACTGATCATCAGCAAAGGCTCAGGTTCTCATCTGCCAGCTTGCAGGCTTTGGCGCTCACATCCGATGACACAGCTCTCAGATTTGCCCAGTGCTGGGCTGCCTCCATGGCGATGGTTCCCATGCCTCCACAGAGATCCAGCATTTGCTCCCCCGGGCGCAGTTGGGCGAAGTGGAGCATCAAGCGGGCCGTGGAAAAACCTGAGCGAAATCGTCGACACAAAACGTCCATGATTTCCATCCACGCTCATGCATTTCCAGAAAAAAATCATCAAATCTTCTCCAGCATCATAGCTCTCCTGCATCACTCCCAGCATGACGATTCCTTCAGAAAGAAAATGCCACGTTTGCAAGATTTTATAGATCTTCCAAGTCTTCCACATGAATCTCCTCAGCATTTCTCAGCATCAAATCAGTGATGCTTTTACCATCTCTCACCGTTCTGCTCGTGCCGCTTTTTCACAGGTCCCAGCGGCGCAAATGCCTGGCGTCGGTCAGATGCCAGGGCCGCTTCTCTCGTGGAAGGCGCGCGGGTTTCGTGGCACCAAGGCGCGAAGTGCCCAACGTGGCGCAGGAGATGCCAAAGGTCACCTGGGCCACTGGGCGGCCGATTTTTTTCCAGGTCAAATGGATGGTTATAAGATTATCATATATAAATCCTCGGCCCAAGTCTTTCAAGCTAGCAGGGCTGTTTACAACCGATGCTTGGGAGATCGTTGCACCATGACCTTGTTTCTTCTCTCGTGTGGTTCCTTCATCAGAAAGGCGCTGGCTGTTATTCTGCATCCCCTGATGCTATCTGGTTTGGGCATCACGGCTACTCCCAGTCGTGTAAAGGATGTGATCACAAACAGCGCTGCTCTACAGGTAGTCCGCGCACGTCTCATTGCCTGTCTCGATTTCAGTGCCTTGATTACTGGCTTGCTTGTTTGGCATCTGGCAGATGACTCTTTTCAGCCGGAGCCGCAGCTGCAAGATTCCAGTTGACATGGATGCTACCCTGAATGGCCGTCTTGGTTTCTACCTCAAGAGCACTTGTGGGACAAGGTGGCCCGCATGTCCGATGCACGTGGCTTGCTACAACTCTGAAGTTTGTAGATTTGGTAGTTTGATGTCCGACAAGGCACCGGTATGTCTTTGGGGAGCGGCATCCTTCGGATTGAGACAGCAAGCGAGCGGGGCAGCATGTCGACAGTGATTGCACGTGGCTTGGGCCGGCTCAGACTCCGTGGGTCGCGCTTGTCGTATTTTTTTACCTAGCTTTGGGGAGACCAGTGCTCAGCATTGTTTCTCTCATTTTTTTTTTGTTGGGGGGGTTGGTTCTCTCAATCGGACTTGCACAATTTGGATTTTCCTTTCTTATTTAGCGCGCTCCACTACAGTTGCGCGAGCTGAGCGTTGGTTAATGGCCGTGCCTATCTAATTCAGGGGTCAGTCAGGGTCCCGACATCCCAGTGCTGACGCCATCTTAGGGTTGTTCTATGACGTAGTCCCACAGCTTGCGGACTACCATGGAAGCCTGGCGGGGGCAAACTCTCCCGTCGGCCTTTGAGATGTGTACAAAGCAGTCTGTTGGACATGAACCTCGTGCTGCGCGGCACTGCTACCGCCGTGCGCGCACCACTTAGTAACTTAGAAGCTGTCCGCGCAATAAGATTATCATAGATTATCCTACTCAATCCTAAGGATTTTTACTCACACGTTTATCCAAACAATATCAAAACATAATACCAGTAGTACCGCACAAGGCGGTGGCGGAAGTTTCAAAAATAGGAAGCCTGTAGGAAAGGTTGGTTGTTGTGAATCACGGATGGCAGAGCGAAGCCACTGATGGATCGAAAGGTGATTGATGTCTCCTCTCTTTCTCTCTCTTTCTCTGACGATCTACCTACCTACCAATCTATCTACCCATGTATCTATGTATCTATGTATCTATGTATCTATCGATCTATCTATCTATCTATACATCTATATCTGTCTGTCTATCTCTCTCTTTCATTTGTCTATCTGTCTAGCTGTCTAGCTGTCTATCTATCTATCTATATGTCTGTCTGTCTGTCTGTCTGTCTGTCTATCTGCCTGCCTGTCTATCTGTGGTGCAGTGTCATTCAGTGTAATGTAGTGTAGTGTAGTGGAGTGTAGTGGAATGTAGTGTAGTGTAATGTAGTGTAGTGTAATTGAATGTAATTGAGTGTAATTGAGTGTAGTGTAGTGGAGTGTAGTGGGTGTAGTGGAGTGTAATGTAGCGGAATGTAGTGAAGGTGTAGTTGTAGTTGTAGTTGTAGTGTAGTGTATTGGAGTGTAGTGTAGTGTAGTGGTGGTTGTAGTTGAAAATGCTACAAAAAAAACCCTCACGTTTTGGTCACTTTCGACAAGGTCCACAATCCCTTGCGCCTGCCACGCGAAACGACATCTGAACCTCCAAAAATGGTCCGTGCATGGTGTGTTTTGTACATTTTGACTTGGAAATGTGCTTCGCGCCACAACGGCGTGCACTTTTTCGACATCTGAACCTCCAAAAATGGTCCATACATGGTGTGTTTTGCACATTTTGACTTGGAAATGTGCTTCGCACCACAACGGCGCGCACTTTTTCGACATCTCAACTTCCAAAAGTGGTCCGACAATGGTGTGTTTTGTATATTTTGACTTCGACATTCGCTTCGCGCCACAACGGCGTGCACTTTTTCGACAGCTCAACTTCCAAAAGTGGTCCGAACGTGGTGTTTTGTACCTTTTGACTTGGGAATGTGCTTCGCGCCACAACGGCGTGCGCTTTTTCGACATCTCAAGTGCCAAAAGTGGTCCGAACGTGGTGTGTTTTGTACATTTAGACTTGCAAGTGTGCTTCGCGCCACAACAGCGTGCAATTTTTCATCTCTCATCTGGCCAGCTGGCTCCGCACCCGCCGCTTTAGCGAGCCTACTTTTCGACCCTCCGGAGCCCCAAATCATTGGAAAAACACAGTGCTTCGCGACTTTCCTACCTTTTCACGCATCTGCATCTTCTTTCTTCTTACTCTTTCTCTTCTACTCTTCTTTCTTCTAATCTTTCTCTTCTCTCTGCCTCTTCCCTGCTCTGCTTTTCATCTGTCCATATTGTCGAGTTTGACTTCTAAACTTCCTTCGAATACATTACATGTGTATACATGTGTAAATATATGGTAGATATACAATAATGGAGCATGTGGGAAGGATGGAACACTCTGGTAATATCAACTTAGGTATCAGCTGAATTCAGCTGACAATCATGGGGAGATTTACCGGCAACAATGTTACTGACAGCACAAATCAACATGCTATCATAGTATCGTCTATATTGACCAGGAAGGCTGGGGATATTCACCAAAGTCAACAAGAACAGGCAACTCAATATCTTGTGAATCCATCCGTCTATGGTTATATATATATATAATGGTTATGTACTGAATAATTTTGGCGTTCTCGGACAGATTGCAAATTCCTGGCAGCCCAGAACCTCCCAGCGCTTCCGAGACGCATTGCTTCGATGAATCACAGCCAGCACCTCCAAATCGTAACCTTCCCAGTGCTGGCTGAGCAAATGCCCAAGCAGCCAAACGCTTTGGGGCTGGCAGAATACCAGTCCAGTGACTTGTGCTGGACAAACATGAAACCACCCATATGAAAAAGCATTCATGAATCACCACACTGAAACGTCATGTGAACATGTTTGACTCATATGTTTGACTCAATCTTCAGTTTGTCTGATTCCTTCCCAGGGTCCGTTTTGCCAAAAAAACAACGTTTTTTTTCTCTGAGGCACATGTCATGTTGGCCTTCCATGGCATGATGCTTCCAACTCCACGGCCGATCGCCTTCATGGCTTCCTCTGAGCTGAAGCAATGCCTTCAGGCGTCCAAGGTGAAACTTTGGTGTGGGAAGTGTTCCCACAAGAAGCCTTGGCAGAGTAAACCCCTGCCCAAGGATTAATTTCTACAACACACCGTGCAAGCCCTAAGGAATGGCTAGATTATTCAAAATACATCTTAGTGCGACACCCTATATCTTGACTTTCGAGACTTGAACACTTCCCACAGCGCCCCCCCAGCTCAAACTGATCCATTCTGACCACCAACTCCCCTCCACATGTTTGCCAATTTGCTCCCCATCTCTGACAACGGAGGCCCTGAAAGTCGGCTCTGCATCCACAATTAGCTGGGCAGCAGTCTGCAAGGCCTCCCGTAGACCACTGGAAAAGTCCTGCCACCAGGGTCAGAAGCTGCTGTAGGAGGCAACGTCTATGGCATGCAGCTACTACAGCTGTCCATGCTGGATGATGAATGTGGCCTGATTATTTCATGTTTGAAACTTCCGCCCAGTTCTGAGATAATTCGACTCGTTGGTCATCTCGATGTAAGGTCAGCAATTTTGAACCATCATTTCTGCAGCTTCATCCATGTTCATCATGGTTCATCAGTTGATGTCAGTTGATTCAGGATACACAGCACCTGCCATACTATCCGCCATCAGGAGGCTTTCAGCCGGGTGACAGCGTGCCTGCAACTCCTTCAAGCCTTCGGCTTTCTCATCCGACAGGCCACTAGCAGCTGCAACGAAAGCATAGGACTGGATGATGCCAGGAATCTCCACTCCCACAGAGAGAGGCTTCGGGCTGCCTCAGGCTCTTGTAATTACAAACAAAGCCCTAGATGCTCTAGTGATCTCAGTAGATTGCAGTGTGTTGGATCCCAGCCTTGTCATAGTGGCACCTTGCATAGACAAATTCAGAAGATACCACTTCAATCACAGCTACATTAAAAGATATTCAAAGCATCTACAGTGGGAAAAATCCACAGCCCTAAAATCCCCAGCCCCATCAGTTGGCTGCGCATTCTGCGCATTCTGCAGTCAGGGGAATGAAAGGAATGAAACGCCTACGCCTCCAAGTGACTCATGAGCAACTGGCCTACTGCTGCATGGCCTTCAGAAATCCGTTCCGTTCCTTGCCCCACGAAGCGCCGTGATTTCTGACATCGTGGGTCAAACGAATAGGGGTCTTAACTTAGTCTTAACCCTCCAGGTGTGGTCGCTATTTGAACAAACTGATGACGAACCCTGAGCGAGAACCAACGCTGTACAACTTCCTCCCAGTAGAAAAACATGGCTCAGGGAAGACACCATTCTCACAAAAACATACACAATCCTATCAATCCTTCTGCAAATACGAAGGTACCGCCAAATGATGAGGCCAACCTCTGAAAGCTCACATCATGCCCCAAAACCTGGCCGAGAAATGCCAAACAGTCCAATAACTTGCCACATGGATCTGCATCATTGCTATGAACCTATGGCTACCTGCTCCCCCAATTCTACCAGTCTAGTCAACCCAGAAACCGGACTGGAAATAGCACAATGAAAGAGCAATATCACCACACCTGGCGCACCAAATCTTCGGCTTCGGCTTCCAAGCCGCGTGTGCATAGCAACCTGGGATCTGGTTGAACGGAGAGCCAACAGTTGAAAATAAACACCAAATTCTCCAAGTGGCCGATCAACCAACAACACAATCAAAATAAGTCAGTACATCAACATAAATAATCACACATTATTAGTTAAATATAAATAACCACGATATAATCATGAATAAACATAACCACAATCTAAAATGTTCTTTTGTTAATCATTTTAAATCAATAGTCACTAATAATAAACATAATCATTATATATAATTATATAAATTTATATAATCCTGACAAAACTATCACTCTACGCAGCCGCAAGCAACCAGTAGAGATGACCCCTCCGTGGCGTTGGGCGCAAGCTGAGCGCTGCGAAGCCTCGGCCGAAGCCTCGACACGTCCAGGCCACCGCCACAGCAGAAAGAGCCAGGCGTAAGCGCCCACGCATGGCGCTCCATTTCCACAACTCAAGGGCCCAAGGCGAAGTGAAAAACACATCACAACATATTTATATGATTGTATATGTATAGGTATGGTATATATATATACATGTGTATATTATAAAAGCACACAAACACACACACACATATATATATATATACACATGTGTATATTATAAAAGCACACAAACACACGCACATATATATATATATATATATATAATACATGTGTATATTATAAAAGCACACAAACACACACACACACCCCATGTGTATATTATAAAAGCACACACACACATATATATATATATACCAGATATATATATATATACACATGTATGTGTATGTATATTGTGAATTTGCAACATGTCTCTGAAGAACTTGAGGTGTATATGGGAACTTCTTACAATGCGTTGTATTCCAAGGTTCTCACTGGTCGATACACCCTTGCTTCCATTTACAAGGTTGCGGCTCAGGACTCCAGTTGAGGGCTTTAGGGTAGCCCCCTGCACGTCGGATCGTGCTTCTGTGACGCCATTTGGAAAACTGGCGTGCGCTCCGGTGGGCGCTTGGTGTTTGGAGTGTTGGACCAGGGGTCCTGTGGAATTTCCTTTGGATAGAAGAATAGATAGAGGGGGCCCGTGCCAGTGTAGGGATCCGATCCTACATTGGTAGCGGAGCTACCCACAGCCGGAAAGTTTTCTTCGCTGCAGAGTCGCCTCTGAGTTTCTTTACTTTCTGGAAGCTGTGGATCCAGGATGTCTGAGGGTCAAGCTGAGACCTCAGGTGTCATGCAGACACCAACAGGTGGACCGTCTTTGTCCCACCTGCCGTGGTCGATGATCCCTCTGTTCAAGCCTGGAGATACTGACATAAATGACTATGCAAAGAAGCTTGAGTTTCTTGCCGGCCTATGGCCACCAGAACACCTGAGCCACCTGGCTCCAAGGGCTGCCATGCTGTGTGAAGGATCCGCCTTCAAGCGCATCATGCGTTTGGATCCAGCCAAGCTGAAAGTTAACACCGTAGACGGGGTTAAACTGCTGGTCACCACTCTTGGTGGAATCTGGGGTAAGAGCAAGCTTGAAGACAAGTTCGAGCGATTTGAGCGTGCGATTTTTTCCACTGCCCAGAGAGCCGATGAAACACATGAGAGTTATTTGGCAAGACATGATTTCCAGTTTGAGGAATTACTGCAAATGGGGGTTGGTTTTGACGAAGTCCGAGCCTATGTGTTGCTTCGTAACTCCAATTTGGGGTCTGAGGACAAGAAGAAGCTCATTGTGGATGCTCAAGGTGCTTTGGAATACACAAAGATCGTCTCTTCCTTGAAGTTGCTTGGGTCCAAGTTCTTTCATGAGCTCCAGACCGGAAATCGAACCTCAGCCCGAAACAAAACATACGATGTCAATGCAGTGTTTGAGGACGAGAACCCAGCCTTTCCTGCAGAAGATGAGACTGCCTATCTAGGTGAGAGTTATGAAGATGCTGAGATCATCTATGATGAAGGTGATCCGGATGCAGTAGTCTGTATGCAGTTCGAGGAGAGTCTTGTGGACGCCCTTCAAGCTGATCCTGACATTGCTGCTTGCTACAACTCCTACTTGGATGCCAGAAAACGTCTCACTGACAGGAACAAGAACCGTGGTTTCTGGGGTACCTCCAAAGGATCATATCCCCCCGGAAAGGGTAAGGGTAAGGGTAAGAACAAGGGATTTCAGAAGGGTCGCAAGCCTCTCGCCCAAAGAATCCTGGAAAGTGAATGCCGAAGGTGCGGTGCTCGAGGACACTGGAAAGCTGAATGTCCGCTCAACAGAGCCACAGGTGCCACCAATGCCTCGGGTACTTCCAAGGATGGAGCCTTTGCAGGAACCATCATGACCGCTCTTGCCCATGATGACCCGGATGTTGACATGATCCCCATCAATGCCAGTGCCGATGTTCCTTATCAGCAACACAATAACCTCATGGGGTATGAAGTTTGCAATATGGGAGTAGGTGTAGCTGGAGTGAATAATCAAGGGATGACACCATGCCGGCTGTCCAGGCTTTTGAACTCATTGAAGGCCCGACTTTGCCCTCAACTGAAGAGTCCGCCTGAGTCCCAACCGATGTCGTCAGTAGCCTCAACTGATGCTGAAGCCATGTTTGTAAGTCACGGCCCTTGTGGAATTGTTGATTTAGGTGCCAGTCAGACAGTTATTGGCAAACAACAGATGCAAGACCTCATGACACATGTGCCGAAATCAGTGCAAAAGCAGATCCAGCGAGTGCCGTGCCACACAGTCTTTCGTTTTGGCAATAGTAGCACCGTCACCTGTCATGAAGCTGTGCTCATCCCATTGTCGCAGTGGATGGTCAAAGTTTGTGTAGTGGACTCCCAAACCCCTTTTCTCATTTCAAACAATGTGTTTCGGACATTGGGAGCTCAGATTGACACAGCACAGGACGAAGTGCGTTTTGCCAAGCTTGGATTTTCCATGAAGCTGTCGCTTTCCGAGAAGAAACTGTATTTGCTGGATTTTTGCGAGTTGCTCAGGTTATCACATGTACATAGCCACCCAGTGCCGGATCCGAAAGCCATCATGCACATGTGTGAAACAGAACATGCGCCTCATGGATCGACTTCGCAGAGCCAAGTAGCACAGTCAAGCCAACCCAGTGTGCCCAGTTCCGAGTGTCCTGACGTCTCGACCGTCTTGTCCACTGATGTCGTCCAAGAGCCTGGCAGACCGTTTTGCCGCCGTGACGGAGCAGAAAGTTCAGGAAGACTTCATGAAGATGTCTTATGCCGAGCTAGCCGAACTCCGAATCACGTTCGGGGAAGCCAAGGTGAACCAGCGTTACATCGACGTAGTTCAGCAGGATCCCAAATACGTCAAGTGGTTCACCCAGAAGTACCAGAAGAGCGAGAAGCTGGCCCACAAGACATTCCTGTTCTTCATCCAGCTCTACGTGGAACGTCTGGAACTGACTCAGGGGAAGGATCATCAAGATGCTTCTCCGGAGAGTCCCAAAACGACTGCTCCTCATGCCAAGTCCAAGAGTGCTCCCCGACCTGCTCAGAACACAGCATGGTCGGACGAGGAGCTGAGCGACTCATGGAGCGTGGACGATCAGGTGACCCAGCAAGGACACCGATTGAATGCGATGGAGAGCACACTGTCTCAGATTGCCCAACAGGTGCAAATGCTGACCCAAGCGATCATGGCCAAGAACCACCAGGAGAACTAAGTGATCTGAGTGCTGGCCAAAACGTTCGTGAGTTCCGATCATGGGTCGCTGATGGAGTAGGCCGTCATACCATGCTGAGTCAAACATGTGAAGTACATGACCCGCAGTACTTTTTGGACATTTTGTTTCAACAAGAGGGCAAGTACAACTGGGTATATGAAGAGATGTGGACATATTGGAGAAAGAAACATCCCCACTTGTCCTATGATGAAATGCAACGACATTTTTCTTCTTCCCGGTGTGATCTTCTTGAAGTGTACTGTGCTGAACACAGCCAACTGACCCATCAGGCCTCCCAATTGGGGATGCGAGCATTTCGATTCAGCCTACGTCATGGTGATTTGGCCACTTTCTCAGGCAGGTGTCAATTGTATGAGCTTTTGTGGGTCATTCGTCCACGACACATCTGGGTTGCCCCCAAGTGCGGCCCGTGGAGTAACTGGAATCGACTCAATGCTGCCAAGTCGTTAGCCCTGTCTGAGAAGATAGCCAGCGACCGGCGATCCGAGAATGTGCACCTCCTGCTGTGTGATGGTTTGTTTCGATTTCAAGATTGGAGAGGGGATCAATTTCATTTTCATCTAGAGCAACCTCAAGGTTCTGAACTAGTATATCAAGAAGAAATGGAGAATATCGTCAATCACACGTACAAAGCCCTGTGTGACATGTGTGTTGCTGGAAATTTGAAACATCCCAATAGCCATGAACACATGCGAAAGAGGACCCAAGTTCTCTCCACATCCGAAATCCTTTGTAGAACCATCGAGAAATTGCAATGTGTTGGAAATCATCCTCATGATCATGTTGCCGGTTCCTGCAAGCCTTTTGGATATCCCCGAATGCCCGTCACCAAATATGCCGAACTGTACACTGCATCATTTGGACGTAAGATCAGCAAGGCAATCCAGTGCAGTAGCCATGTCCATGAGAAAGCTTATGGTAATGCTCTACAGTCGGTGTTTGCTGCCGAACCATCACCCGAGGGGCCTGAACCTAAGCGGCGCAGACTTGCAGGAAAGTTCAATCCAGAACAACTGTTTGTTCCAGCGTCCGGAGAGGATGCCACCTCTTCCAGCTCCCGACCATCCCAATCATCTACAAAGCCGAATGAGATCACTTCCATCCGACCGAGTCTTGATGAAATCCTTGACATGGCAGACAAAGCCACCCCGAGAGTAGGTAAGATTGTCATTCAGGATGGACCTTTATTCGAAGCCCTTCAAAACAGGTATCCCGAACAGCACCTTGTGGCCATCGACTGTTGCAGGGGAGTCGACCGACTCCGAATATGTCCAGTTGGTTCCAAGGGGTTTGCTCCCTATCGTAGGTGTCTGGGAAAAAGAAGAAGCAACCTTTCAGCCTTTGAAGATACTACCTGGGAGGCATGGGAAGAGATCTCAAAACGCCAGCAGATTCGGAATGGCATTCCGGCATTCCATCGAAGTTGCTTGTGACAGTTTTTGCCACCCAGAAGCGCCAGAATGAGAATTTGTCGGATGAAGCATCCTCTCTCAAACGAAGCCGGACTGATCCAGGATTAGACCGCATATCAGAAGTAGGACCAGGAACTACTTCTTTGGAAACATCAGTCTCAAACCCAACAACCAGCAATCCACATGGTAACACGACCGCGGAACCTATGGACCAAAATAATCCTTTACCATCACTTGACAATACCAGTGTAATTCCCCAAAGCTTGCCACAACCGGGTGTATCACATGGACCAAAATTCTTGAAGTTGGATCCCCAAAAGCAAAACATGATCAAGAAGATT